GTGGTGTGAAGAATTCTCCGGGCAGACGCAATGTCGTGCCGTATACAAGTTCAGTGGCGGAACATTGGATATCTGCCTTTAAGCTCGTTCTCACCCCTAAAAGAACGAGCAATAAGGTTTCGTGCCAGTTGCCATTTTCGTGTGCTCGTAGAACACTTTTAAGTTGGCAGTGAAACCGTTCAACTTAACCATTTGGTGCTGGGTGGTAGACGGAGATGCTTATGCGTATGCATTCCGTACCAAGCAGCCGGGTCAGCGAGGAGAATCGTTAATAGGGTAACATTTCTCGAATAAAGCGTGGAATTCATCATCACGCGAATAAAAAGTGACAAGGGTTCGGTACACATACGTGTGAGTCTATTATATTAATACTATTCTTATATATGAAAATATACGACAGACGTGGATAGATAAATCATAGACTCACCGAATTGGCTTCTTTGGAAGATTTGATCAGAAGTTGAGGTGTGTTCCAAAATACGGCTCACCAATTGTATTCGGATTGAGATTGTCAATTGTAGCATGGCGTCGCGTTGAGATTAACTGTGAACACCGCTACCAAGAAACACGTGCCAAGCGAATCAGAAGGCTAGGTTTGGACGTAACCGAATAGATCCATAAAATCCCCGAGAAGCCAAATATCAGAAGACAGTTAATGGACCAAGTCGAGGTTTATTAGCTGGCGATCTCGTGGCATCGAAAGGATACCGAGATCGTGCCAGGATACAACCTTGGTTACAGAAGGTAACCGAATTCGCGCGAAGTTACAATCGAAGTGTAAGCGAAAGAATGGAAGCACAAAATAGCTGTCATTAGCACAGTCAAACAAAAGCACGTTAAAACAAACACTGGTACAGTTGGTTATAATAATAATTGTTTTTAATAAACCAGTCGTGTTCTCGTGATAAACGTGAGTCACTACAAAGTGTCCGAAGTTGAAAAGGCCTAGGAGTCGTGGTCCTCTAAGATCTAAAGTCTTACACCAACTTGACAAAAATGGAAGCATAATGTCTCCTCAGTCACTCTGAAAGGATAAGAGTACACTGCAACGTCTCCGAAGGCGAGCCACAAAACCAGGACTCAAATCTAAGTGGTATGAAAAGCTCATCAAATCAGTGGAATTTTACCCACTAGAGTATGGACGTCAGAGAGTTAACTTTCTAATGACATATAGCATCCTAAACACCCTTAGATATCCCGTTAAATACTCCGGATCAGTCCCAACGTAAATCTCAGGGGCAATACCCAAAACATTAGAGGCATTACATAACAGTGGATTGTACGTTCACTTTCTACTCTTTGGAAGTGATCAACTCCTGGGACTCGCTGACGTCTGAAATGATCCGAGTGAATCCCCTGAAGTCCTCCGAGATGGAACGTGACATGTTCTTGCGGACTCGGGACAGTACGTCATTGTAATTAATTAACATTTCTCTTTAACTGGTCTCTGAAAATACCATCATTCCATTATTTAATCCGGTAACTTGCCATGAAGTTTTAACAGACGTTTCGACTGTAAAAAGCAAATTAAATCAGCACAATTACTTATTTCTAAAGATTTCAACAAATACCACGATGACACTAAAAATCAACAATAACACTAAGGAGTGACTTGTAATGCATGACGTAAAATGTACTTAGGTTCCCACCTGGAAAAATCGGTGATTTGTTGCTAATGTATACGGAAGCTCATTAGATAAAAGCTTCTTCGATTCCCTCCACAACCATATTATCATTGTAGCTCCCAAACCGGCCAGAATTAGTGAAGTCGAGTGAAGCCGAAGACCTGGAACCTTACCGAGACAACGAAAAGAAGGGATCGAGAAGAAATCAATCGGTTTACATGAGTTCCTTACTAAGATATTGGATATAGGAATTATTTGTTACCTTCTGATATCACACCTTCCGTGTTACACCATATTCCTGAAGCTAACAAATAATATATTGAGCTAGTGAGTGATAGACTAAAGAAATTTGCCACAGCGTGTTTGTAAAGTTATTTAAAAAGTCGGCAAGTTGAACATTGTTAGGTTGGTTCTGTAGCGTGGCGTCGCGTTGAGATTAACTGTGAACACCGCTACCAAGAAACACGTGCCAAGCGAATCAGAAGGCGTAAGAAGCTCGTTCCAAATGACTCCATAAAATCCCCGAGAAGCCGAATACCAGAAGGCAATTAATGGACCAAGTCGATGTTTATTTGCTGGCGATCTCGTGGCATCGAAAGGATACCGAGATCGTGCCAGGATACAACCTTGGTTACAGAAGGTAACCGAATTCGCGCGAAGTTACAATCGAAGTGTAAGCGAAAGAATGGAAGCACAAAATAGCTGTCATTAGCACAGTCAAACAAAAGCACGTTAAAATAAACACTGGTACAGTTGGTTATAATAATAATTGTTTTTATTAAACCAGTCGTGTTCTCGTGATAAATGTGAGTCACTACAGGAGCCGCCCGCTAGAAAGGGTTTACACTTTCGATAAATAGCGGTTTGAATCGTGGAACTGATCGGCTGACGAGCGATTGTAGGACGGAAGAATTGGCGAACAGGAAAGCGATCGTTGATCGTCGAGTTTCCAACGAAGGTCGTTTCCGGAGAACGGTACCAGGAGCGATGTGCTGTATGTATTGCTTGAGTTGGCATGCCACCAGAGTGGTTTGTATCCAGAATCTGAAGAGGGCGTTCGTACGGCTCCGGACCATAAACGCTGCAGACGTAGGACGAAACCACGTTGAGCCAAAAGACCAGAAGCGACCATAACGACCAAGTTCGAGACCAAGCATATGCCAAGCATTCGAAACCAATATATCGACTGAGTACGTTGACAAGAGCGTGGATGGCCAATCCAGCTTTCGCCAAAGTTGACTGAAGTCGACGGAACCAAACGTAGATGGTCGAAGGCGTGGGCTCAGGAAACAAAAAGAAAATCAAAAAAGAAGAGTGTAGCATGCGTGTAGCATGGGAGTAATCCTACACCGTATCGGTTGTTGACTGTGCGACTATTCGCGGAAGCGTACGGGTAATCGTACTCGGCGACCGGAACGTGAGACGGCAGTCTCGTTCGCGTCGCGTGAGCCTGCAATCTCATCCGAAGTCAAGGGCGGCGTGGTCTGCTGATCTGGACGTGAGACTGTCGTCTCGTCCGTAGACGGTGCAGATGACGCGTGCTGTTGACTGGGACGTGAGAATGAGGTCTCAGATGCATCTAGCGTGGGACCTGAAGGAGATTTAAGGATCCCGCTAGTAGGTTTGATAGGTCTAGCATTGAATCTCAGGGTGTCAGATAGGGCACTGTCATCGACGTGTGCTGGTTTGAGACGATCAATGCTGACGATCTCGACGCGTCCATATCGATCAACCTTGAAGGTCTTTTCGTGACGAGCGATCACGTGAAAAGGGCCTTCGTAAGGTTGTTGCCAAGGGTTGCGTACCGAATCTACTCGTACAAAAACATGTGAACAGGTAGATAACTCTCGAGGGAGAGCGACCTGTCGATGTTGTATTCGAGTTGACACCGGAGACAGCGTTCGCATAAATGCAGACAGTCGATGGACGTAGTCTGATTTACCGAAATTAGGTCTGCTCCGTGGTGTGAAGAATTCTCCGGGCAGACGCAATGTCGTGCCGTATACAAGTTCAGTGGCGGAACATTGGATATCTGCCTTTAAGCTCGTTCTCACCCCTAAAAGAACGAGCAATAAGGTTTCGTGCCAGTTGCCATTTTCGTGTGCTCGTAGAACACTTTTAAGTTGGCAGTGAAACCGTTCAACTTAACCATTTGGTGCTGGGTGGTAGACGGAGATGCTTATGCGTATGCATTCCGTACCAAGCAGCCGGGTCAGCGAGGAGAATCGTTAATAGGGTAACATTTCTCGAATAAAGCGTGGAATTCATCATCACGCGAATAAAAAGTGACAAGGGTTCGGTACACATACGTGTGAGTCTATTATATTAATACTATTCTTATATATGAAAATATACGACAGACGTGGATAGATAAATCATAGACTCACCGAATTGGCTTCTTTGGAAGATTTGATCAGAAGTTGAGGTGTGTTCCAAAATACGGCTCACCAATTGTATTCGGATTGAGATTGTCAATTGTAGCATGGCGTCGCGTTGAGATTAACTGTGAACACCGCTACCAAGAAACACGTGCCAAGCGAATCAGAAGGCTAGGTTTGGACGTAACCGAATAGATCCATAAAATCCCCGAGAAGCCAAATATCAGAAGACAGTTAATGGACCAAGTCGAGGTTTATTAGCTGGCGATCTCGTGGCATCGAAAGGATACCGAGATCGTGCCAGGATACAACCTTGGTTACAGAAGGTAACCGAATTCGCGCGAAGTTACAATCGAAGTGTAAGCGAAAGAATGGAAGCACAAAATAGCTGTCATTAGCACAGTCAAACAAAAGCACGTTAAAACAAGCACTGGTACAGTTGGTTATAATAATAATTGTTTTTAATAAACCAGTCGTGTTCTCGTGATAAACGTGAGTCACTACAGTTCTATGTTATATGCATATCAAACTAATTATCTTTCAAGATAGGCAATCTTCAGTCAAATATGCTTAGTATAGCCATAGCCTAAATCAATCAGTAAATGACAGAATTAATCGCGCGGTATTAAAACTATTATGATTATTAATTATTATACGTTTTTTTGCTTGAGTTTCTACGACGACGCATTCTAAAGGTCGTTTTTACATCCTATATGAAGTTCATACCAACATTCAGTCTAAATCATAACTCTCTCAGCTACCAAACTATGCACTTGCACAGCTGCAGAAAACGATAATTAATGGGAAATTAGTGTGGAAATCATGGATGTAGTAACAAAGATGTCTGTAATAAATTGTAGATTTCTCACCATGCATCCCTTCACATGTTTCTGTCTTCTTTTAGATCCGTCATTATGTCATACGTGGAGGCACTATTGTAGCATATAAGAATACAAGCAAACAAACTGGAAAGTATTAAAATATATTATATTTGAAGATGCGGGCATTTCAACAGCAGGGTCAGTCACATGAAGTAAGTTTGCATAAAATTAGCTGTAGGGAATTCGGCAAATGACTTGGAGTTGCGCCAGAAGCATGTAGTAACATAAGATAGTAATGTATCTACTAATTATTAGGCGATATATTCGTGTTTTAGCTGTTTCATGATAAATGGATGAATAAAATGGACTATTGTCAAATCTCTAAAACATTATTAAACACAGTATTTTTCTTACATAAATGTGTGTTGCTAAAATTCCAAACTGTGTAGTGGAGTCTGTTCTTAGGCACCATTAGTAATTATTGAACATGATCAGTATACTATGGCCTCAACGTGTATTTTGCTAGATTTAGCTTTCAAACTATTCAAATCCCATCTGTCTATCTTATGTATCTTTCCACTTACACCCATTTCAGTTTTTGCTACTAATGATATCGATTTTTACCTGTATTTTAGCCTCTGTATTGAAAACGTCAGCCTGTTTTACTTTAGCAAGTGTTAGACTCAGTCATGTGAGTAGAGCTTTGTCTTAGTGTTCAGAACACTCGATTTTTAACAATGTATCATAAATCCGACCATCATTCTATCTCGTTACGAGAAACGTCTGTTAATTTAACCGTCGCATAAAAGATACGACTGAAAGCCGAATAAAAACATGTAGGTACTATTCCAATTAATAGAATGAAGTGATAACAGCTTACTACAAAACGACTAAACTACACTTTAAATAATCCTGAAATCATTTTTTTTATACTTTTGATAATGCTTCATCCTAATGAAACCTCAAGTTGTATACAATGACTTTTTTTATCCAGGGAAAACATATCTGTCCATTTTACCTAAAGAATCGATGCATATATGGCGATCGATGCATTAATTCACATTGTTTACCAGAAAACAAGTTCCAGACTTCAAAGTGAGTACCCTTATGTTTTACAGAATTTGTTTGCTCACGATTCCTATGCAAGATCTGAATCTGCCACTTTTTTAAGAGGAAAATCGTGTTAACTTGTATAAACTAAAATTTGTCTCTACATCTTTACCTGTTGTATTTATTTCTACGCAATCAACTTTTTATCTACCGACTTACCTATGGGCTAACTGTAGCATATCAGGTCACTGGAATTCTGGATAGTATTAATAATCTTAAGTACTATTAGTTTGCATGTACCGATTCAGTCAACTCACTCAAATATGAGTTTATATATGTACCATTCTACCCTTGCTTTCACTATTATGTGGCTCATCATAAAGATTGTAATGTACTTTGCTTAGCTTAGATTATATCCTCACTGGATTAGGTGTTTGGCGTGTGAAAAAAGATAATCAAGAGTATATCGACAACATAGTATCTGAAACAAATGTGGTGGGGCTATAATTTACGGGAGTCTTTCGGGCGACCCTTATGTGACCTTCAGACTCCACCTACTTGATAGGGCTGAGTGAGTTATAAATTAGTGTGAGGAATTGACACTAAGGTTTGCAGTTGGACATTGGAGTTGGGAATTACGGTTGTGGTTTCTACAACAAACTGATATCAGCCATAATCTTAGAGCGCTATTTAGGGTTGGGGATAAACCCCACATTGTCAAGTTATCTAAGTGTATTGTAGTCAATTGTAGATGTTTTGTAATAATCTTTATCATATAATTAATTGGAGGCATATCGTTTGCTGTCTTGTAATTTTTCTTTCTACACTCGATACGTCCGTGGTATAATGGAGTGTTATTTTCGTTGTAGAAAACTTTACTTCATGTAAGCCAGCGAAAGCGACAGATAACGAAACACACGCTCCATCATGGATTAAAATATTGTATATAATAATTCCCGCTTCATTTTAACTGGCAGCCTGGTACAAGTGTGAAATTAAGGACGAGAGTAGAGTTTACCCTCACCCGTATGTAACTGTTTGGATGAATGAATTTTGCGCCAAAATGCAAGACCCACTGTCCTAAATCTGATTGGTTCGTCCATAAAATAATCTCGCCTGTAAAAATAAGAACTCTAACAGTAGCGGAGTTTTATAGAAGCAACGAAGAAATGTAGCGTAAAACTAAAAGGAATACGAAGAATCAACACTGACAGATTTGGAGCCATATTGCTTTAAATCATTCACCATGTATATGAGTCATTTTGCAGATTTAAATAAGGTTTTTGATTTCTACCTACCCAAAATTAAGTCAATAATCTCATAAGCGTACTTAATAACGTGTTTGATTGCTCAGTCAAACCTTGGGGATAAGATTCGTTTCAAGGACCTTTGGTTATACTATCATAATAAAACCAGTAGATATACTTAGGGTCTCAGTCTATAACATGTCACCATACTTCAGCTCAGTAGACCTAAAGATCGTGGATGCGCAAGGCCTTCCAGTGCTTCCAGGTTTCCAAAGGTGGTGGTCCAACATCAATCGGTTCATGATCTCAATCAAAGACCTAAAGTATGTTTGCCAGGCCCGTAAAGCTCAAATCACTTGAAATTTTCACACTCTGTATCCTGTCTCATTCTTACAAGTCGCAATTGAACTTCTATAGATATAACGACTGGAAATGTAAATTCTTTAATTCATAAATCTCCATCGTTGCACATGGTGCTTTGTTGTTTTTTGTCTGCTCATGTATTTTGGCCCATTTAGTGGTGGATGTTTAATACAGATGAATTCTATTAAGTGATATTTTGTACGGTTTATGCACAATCCATGATATAATATAAAATGTGCTGGGCAAATAATATACATTTCATTGCTTTAAACATTTATTTTCTTGTTGTAGAGCTTTAATTAAACATAAAGCCCTCTTTTTAACTTTAGATCTATTCCTTGTAAATTTTATCTACAAGGTTCTTGTCAGAATGGAATCAAATGTACATTTTCACACAATATAAATGGTAGTTGTGGTAACAGATAAATTTGGTTTATATTTCATGTGTTATAATATTTTCAATTCTAGTGAGCTTTTAAACTAATCCATACCTAAACAAACTATGTATTTCTTTTAGCTGATGGTTAATCCTTGAGTGGTATGAAAACATCAAATAATAAGACTGAATATCATCAGGTGAAATACTGAAATATGAAAGACAATTTTTTCAGTATGAGGTTATGAAAATTGTGAAATTTTATTGATATCACGAAATAATCTGGACGAAGTTAGATTTGTGCACCAATAGATTCCGGTTCAATGGTCTGAATAAGCTAAGTGTTCGCGCAAAACTAATAGTCCTGGGTTCGGTCCCCACTGGCATGGTCGTGGATGTCTGCTACATAGGAGTCCCATACTAGGGCGAAACGGTCATCCAGTGCATCCACGTTTCCAATGGTTGTCTAACATATATCGGCTCGTAAGCTTTTATTGTTGAATTTTGTTCGGGTTGAGCCCATAACGTTCTGTCCATCTGTTGGTTTAGATTTCGTTAGCTAGTGTTTCCTAAAACTAAGGGGTAATATAGTGCAATCACTTAGTCTGTAAGGTTAAATGTTTCATTAGCATTTCTTCACTCTCAAATGCTGTTTAAGAAATGCCACGTGACATATAATGTTAGTCATCATCGAAGGATGGCTTAATGCGCAGCTATCAGCTTTCCATTACATAATGATTGTAAAATAATAGCTCCACAGTGGATGTCAGCGAGGTAGCCCAAATATATGGCTGCATATCTATTGATCGAGACGCAGATGAGTCCACCCTTAAATCTTCAGTTTAGTATTATTTCCTGTTTTGGCATTTAAACAAACATCAGTAAGATGTAGTTTAGTTTCCTCGTAATTGTTGTTTCATCGATTGGTAATTGATTATACCTCTGAAACCTTGCGTATTCTTTTAGGTGATTTTAGTTGAAATAACATTGAACTTTTCATTTATTTAGCCAATTCATCTCATACCTATCGCAGAGATTTGAAGGAAGCCATTTACTCAAAATATTCAAACAGTCAGTCAAATAATCTCACCAGATGCCTAACTAACATTGATACTAATATTGTCAGTAAAACCAATAATAAACCAATATCACCTGGTTTAACAGGTTTTTCATTCCGTCAGACTGAAAAAGTAATCAAAATGCAGTCATCTCGATATCGTGAATGGGGATATGAAGCTTCGGAAATTTATAGCTCCAATGACCAGCTGAGTGAAAAAGAGCTATCTATATATCGTTCAGCTGGGAATTTTGTTCCTGGTACAATTCCTTTATCTTCACCGTCAGAAAATCTATGTACATTTTCTTAAAAATGAACTGTTTTATTCTTGTATCATGTGTCTAAAATAATTCTGTACCAATTCATCTACTTCTTGATTCTAAACTATGGACCAAGATTTTCGTGTACCAGGGCTTTCACATAATCTACACATCCATAACTTACTTTCGAAATCCGATCTAAATAAGGATAAGCTATGATTTGATAACAAATTATCGAGTATGGCCTATTCCAACAAGTGTAGACTACCCGACGAGTCCGCATGATTGTCGTAGCCAGTAGTTAGAGACTTTAAATGAGATGACTCAAAATCGTTTGTAATGGCGCACGTTCATCCATTCTTTGTTTTGCTCTATATTCTGAGCTTATAAATTTCACTAATGTATATTTCCTTGAATCGTATCTTCGATGCCTAATCTTTTTTATTACCGTTAATACTACAGCTATCTCTACTGTTCTAGGATTTGTCCTGAAAGTTTCATTTCTCTGTCCTAATGGAGTATGGTAGCTTGAACTGATGCGCATACATGACAGGTTTTACGTTGGGACTGACTTGCTAATTCAGACAGATCAACATGAACAAAAAATTTAGCATAAATTCGTGCTGGTCTGTATTGCTGACTTTGATTTCTAACCATATGCAAGCTTTTATATTAATGTTTGTGCCGACAGTGACAGGGGAAATACTTTCTAGCGTCCTTCCACATGGTTCGTAATTACTTACTCCTGTTACCTCTCATGGAAGAGCATAGGCCACCCACCAGCGCTCTCCATCCAACCTTGTCCTCGGCAATCCTTTCCAGTTGCTATTCATTTTTTTGATGTCTGCTTCCAATTCCCGACGTAGTGTGTTCTTCGACCTCTTTCTTTTTCGTTTTGCTTCAGGACTCCAAGTTAGGGCTTGTCTCGTGATGCAGTTTGGTGATTTCCGTAATGTATGTCCTATCCACTTCCAACGTTTTTCTCTAATTTTCTCTTCATCTGAAAGCTGGTTTTCCCTCTCCCACAGTAGGCTGTTGCTGATGGTATCCGGTCAACCGATATTGAGTATCTTGCGTAGACAACTGCTTACAAATAATTATACCTTTTTGATGATGGTTGTAGTAGTTCTCCGCCTGTAGCTCTTCTAGAGTTACTGCCGGTCTCAAGCCCGGGTAAAGGAGGAGGGCTGGGCGTCGGGTCGGCAACCCCATCCCCAAGAAAAAAATCTTGCTGAAAAACGCCACACAAATTACACAAACTAAACCATTTAAACTCTGCCTTGAGAGTTGCAGGAAGAATTATGACGCCGCACGATGAAAGATTGGGTTCTTCTGAAGTCATGAGGTCGATGCCTCTTCTAACAACCAGAGCAACAATTTTTATAGGTAAATGGTTCCTAAATAGTTTAGTCTATTTGTAGTGTCGCTTCACAGCATGGAAAATCTGTGAGAATAGCAGTAAAAGTCTTACAGCAAGTTTAAATGACTAATAGACAAACAAGTACATCACTCTAAAGCCTCACAGAAAGTTGCACCGGTCCAAGTTGCTATATCTCGGAATGACATAACAAAAGGAAATGTATATGATGAGATTGTAGCAAAATAACCTGGCATTTGAGCACAATATAGGATTTCAATTCGTATTGCGTGAAAACTTCACTAAGCATTTTAAACATATTTATTTAGTCTTTTACAATTAACCACATCCAATATATGCTGATCTTTAACACGATAGTTTTGAGTCACTTTGATATTCTGTATCTAAACTAAGTGATCTTCAAACCAGTATTATTTACATATGAAATAACTTTTACCTGATCGATTTTATGTCGTATAAGTGATTTATTCATGAAATAGTGAAAAATAATACGGTATTCGTTCATCGTAATTTTGCAGTCACTTCATGTTTCTACGTTTAGTTGATAAGTATGTATTATAATTCATTTATTTCCACATACTTTACGTTATTTCCGTAAAATAAAATTTTATAATAACATTCTTTGTTTTACTAAATTTTTGTCAGTTCGTGCTTAAAGTATGTATTAACAATCAAATCTAAATAAAAGTGAAGGGTTGCGAACTGTCCAGATTAAGCAAAAGTTTAGTATATGTCTCTTCACTTAAAGATATAATTTTTATCCTTTAACTCATTTTATTTATTTATTGGAACATATAAATCTTGGTACAAAAGGGTACCGAATGCATATGCGCCACAAAAGTCACTTGATTTATGTCTGGGCTGTGATACTACCCGGATACCCAGACCGAAGCGGGTGGTTTTCTTAGGGAGCCACGCCCAGAGCCTTCGATATAAAGATCTGATCCACATGGCAGTGGAGCAACGTCAGAAGATGCAGTCTCATAGCAGCCGGTGACCAACAATTGGTTCATACTTCATTTCTTCGCTCAGGATCCTGGAGCCTATGTGCACCACTGATTTGGAATCAGGGTTTTCCAACTCCCACAGGTGGGTCCTCAATATCCACCAACCCGGTCAGAGTCCCGGACATTCGCTTTTCATCCTCTCAATTTCGTAAACAACACCCCTACCGCAAGAAGACAGTGAGTAGGACTTTCCTGGCAGTGGCTGTATACTCACGGCCACTTGAGAGCATTTCAAGAGGGAGAGCTAACTCTTCCCACTCTCGGCCATCCCAGTACATTTGGGGGCCAATATAGGTTTTGACGTGGTTGGTAGATGACTTATTGATGGCTTTATTCAAGTAGATTGTAGATTTAGTTTCACCAGGATTCTCAGTCGTTTTATTCATTGTGGTATGTTGTTTTATTGTATAAATTGTACTCCAAACTGGGTAATTTTAATGAATAGTGTTTGTGATCAAACTGAATTGATGGTATAGTGTTGCTCAGGATATCTTACAACGCCAGATACAACATAGATACACTTAATGATATTGATATTTATAACTGCATTGAAAAGTCCTTGCGTTCTTTCCTAACGCCCCTTAGTCCAAGTCAGTATTTAGGATGCTTTTAGACTTATCTACAATGTATTACTTGGGCCATGGGACAAGCGGGTTAATAATAATGTTAATTAAAAATTCATTGACCCATGATCTATCAACGGTACAAATGTTCGTATAAATGCAGATCATTATTTCTGTATAGAAATCGACATATGTCTACTTCATTTCAGGTTGTAATTGACTCGAACATAAAATTCTTAATCTTTATTGATATACTTCTTAATAGACTTTGTCAGAATAAATTTTATATAAAAGGAATAATGATCATGATTATCATGTACTTATATGAAAATTATATTTGTTTGGTAATATACGAACTTAAAAAAAATTATTCAGATAAATAGAAATAGACTATTATTATTATTATTATTATTATTATTATTATTATTATTTATTTAACATCACCTAAAAGAGCAACTCCCCTTAAAATCCAATGATCTGCATCTACTGCACTACGAAGCATTAAAGGAAATATGTAATTCAAATCGGTACGTTTAGGCTTTTTGTAAACTGGACATGAATAGAATATTCCAGGTTTACTTTTCTCACCGATTGATTGAGAAAATGCAGATACATGCACTACTGGGAGTGGAGTGTACAATAGTTTTGGTAGCGGTTCCATTAGTCTAGCTTGTTTACGATCCCAACCAGCTCCATCTAAACTAAGACCGTGAATATAAACACCTTCAGTTGGACCTTTAGTTAATTCTTCACGCATTAATTTCGTCACATCGTTTGTTAAAGCTACATCATCTAGGGCATATTTATTTGCTCTGGCCACTTCTTGTCTCATAGCAGTGAGGAAGCCCTAAAATAAGATAGTGAATAGTTATGAGAATTCGTAATTGTTAAAACGGTTGAAAAAAGTTACTTTATCCATGATGAAGTAATTAAAAGTTTTAAAATTGGTTTTTTGTTGTATAAAGTTGATTCTTTAAACTACGAAACAAGCACAAAAATTGAAGGGGTTATTTTAGTCACATGAATGCTAAAAGTACAATCACTGCATAAAATAATGGTATTGAAAATGAATGTTCTCACAGGAGTATCGACATGTTGAAGTATAGACAAAACTAAAAGTAGTCTCAATAGGAGTTTTTTTTCTAGAAGTTTTTTGCTCAGAGTTGTCATTTTAACCTACTCTACTAGATCTTATAGTTTAAAATAATTTTATCTAAAGGAAAATAGTAAAATAAGTTCGGAGAAATTGCCACTTATCTGTAGTAAGGGGTCGAATAAACGACTCCCATTCTGTAGTAGTTGAAATTCATTTAAATGTGTTTAGTTAGGATCGTAAACGTAGTGGTAGATTGCTAGAGATAGCCTCCAAAACCCTCTGTAGGCCTTAATAATAAAATTTGCTTCTGCAACTTTGGTTGTACAGGCGACTAAACAACTAATCGTTTGATTTTTTCAGCAGAAGTGTATTTGACGAGTCAAATACTTCGAGAAAAGTACACATAGTTATTTGGATAGCATTATCTACTTGTTAATGTTTCTCGGAGTTAACGATTGTGACCTAAAAAACTGAAAAGACCAATCGCAAAGGTCTCCATTTGATGTTCGACAATGGGCTATTAGTTTGCATCTAGAAATTATCTTTAAAAATAAACATTCCTACATGAAACTCACTTGGGGATTAAAAAATCCTGTCATCCAATAGCAAATTGGACGACCTTCAAAAAGCCAATTACTAAATTGAGCATTCCTGTCAAGTAAATCCGTGAACCAAAATCCAAGAGTTGCTGATTCCCATGACATCTAGAAAAGGTTGGCAAAACAGTATTTCTTTTGTAATTTCAAACATGGTAATATCATTAAAAACCAGGGACTGATTTTGTTTTATGTAGAGGGGCTCGAATAACTTGTCAGTAACATATAGTGTGAACCGGATGATCCGGGTTTTAATCCCGCAGGATGCTTCAGTTCCCTCAAGATCATAGCCACCCCCTGCCGAAAAGTGCCAACTAGCACGAAACTAAAGTTGACTGCCTCCAACCACCTAACATTTCAGCATGGTATACGAGTCACTTAGACTAGTGTGTTCATTGTAACCTGATCGACAGGATTCGTTTGTCATTAAAGGATTAGTGGTACGTAAGACTAGTCACCACTCAGTGGTCAATTAATTGTTAGCTTAAGCTCTCCTGCAAAATCATCTTCTATTTACCTACTTATGCTCGTGTGTTAGTGTCGATGTGCATTGCATCTTGGCACCAATGATCTTATGTGTTCCTCAACTTTTATGTTTTCAGTGTATGCGTATATATACAATGGGAAATATAAAACCATCCAGTCAATGATCCAGTGGTTTAAAGATTGAATATTCTCCATAAGAACTGAATTTCCTGAACTCGATATTGTGAAAAATCAATCAAGTTCACTGTTAGGTAGCAATCTCAATTTAAATTTAAATAACTATTATGGTTGCGATTTTTAAATTGGTTCCGATTGTTCAGAACTAAACAAATTTTTCCCCCTTTCGACCAATAGTCAGACTCGTGTTCATACTTTACATTTTTACATAAATCACAGTTAACTTACTTTTCTCCATGTACTTGGAATACGCGCATCAAATATGTTGTCTAATGCATCACGTAAATTTTCTGACATTATAATTGTACCATCAATTGCTAATTTTAAATCACTCAATGTTGTACGAACATTGGATATAACACGTTGCATACGATCAACTTCTTGTTTTAAAAATATATGAAGCGGTTTTAAATGATCCATTTTAATTAATCGTTCTTTTACCTGGATTAAGGAATAAAGATATGAGTATTTATTTTAATTTGAACTAGTGAATTCATTGAGTTAACTTATTTGTTTTACTGATGTATTTCAGGAATTAGGATTTTCTCCATTAAGAATTGTTTCCATTAAACTAATCGCATTCTCTTAATAAAAGTAGGTCACTACAGGAGCCCCCCGCTGATACGCGTTTGTGTGAGCTTTGAAGCCCGTGAATTCGCTGTTCGACGAAGTATCAATTAGCTGCAGCCTACGTGAATCGACTAGCAATTCGTAGTGCTGTAGGAAATCAATACCGAGTATGGCTGTGGGAACATCGGCAACGATGAACGTTCACAGATACTGTCGTCGGTTGCCCAGGTTGACCGTGAGTTGTCGTGTACCATAGGTAGGAATGGCTGAGCCATTCGCAGCGCGTAGTCGAAGCGTCGTAGCTTGTGACTTACTGTTACCGAGAGGTACGACAGAAACTTGGGCACCAGTATCTACTAGGTACCTAGCGTTTGTGCGATAATCGTGCACATAAAATAAACGGCCAACCTGAGTTGAAAGGTCGGCGAGTAAAGGCGGCCGTACTCGCCGGCCTTGGAGTTTCCCGCCTTGTATGAGCACCGGACCCGAAGGAGCGGTGAAATCAGCACCGACCTCCACTTGCTTCCGAAGCCGCTTTTCGGCGTGGCTTGAAGGATGTCCTCGTTGGGCGAGTGGTTACGGCTTTTCGAGAGCGTGATCTGGTTCTTTGGACTTAGGATTCCGGTATGTTGCAACAGTCTCGAAAACTAAGACGTGTATGAATACAATCGTCCCTATCACCTTGAGCCTGGAAGTGACTAGCGTCCATATCTACGTTCGAACGTGCCGTTGAGGCAACTATGTAGTTGTCTCTGTTGCTAGTCCTTGCTAATATTTTGTCTGATGTGAGGGCCACCTGGTTGAGTGGTGCGTCCTCGAGCAGTGCCGTGACTGTTGGTTGGATATGTGATGGTAAGGATTCGAGCCACAGTCCCTTAACAATTTCAGAATCGGCTGCCGTAGGTTCTGCGAGAGATTGCAGGCGCGTGAGGTAGTGGCTCGGTTTAGCATCACCGAGGGGGTGACGTGCTAGTAACGTCCTCAATCGTTCCTCCCTCGATAAGAGGAAATATCTGAGGATCGCCTCCTTGAGACGATCGTAAACGTTGGGCACGTTGGAGTTGAGGACTACCTCACGGATGGCTACTATATGATCCCCAGGTAAAGATTCGAGAGCGTAGGCGTGGTTCTGCCTTTGGCTCGTAATATGATGGGTCTCGAATTGAGACTCCAGTGCGGCAAACCAAACTTCCGGGTCGTGGGGGAATAAAAGATACAGGTCGAAAATGTATAACCCGTTTTCTGGTCCGCACCACTTCGAACGCAATCCTCAGATCATGGATACAAACCACTATGGTGTGGTATGCTAACTCGAGCAAAAAAATACAACACACTCCTCCTGGTACAGTTCTACGTAAAAGACCTTCGGTGGCAACTCGAGGATCAACATTCGCTTCCTGTTCCGCCAACCCTTTCGTCCTACAATCGCACGTTTGTTGATCAGTCCCACGAACTAAACCACTACCTATCGAAAGTGTAAACCCTTCCTAGCGAGGGGCTCCTGTAGTGATCTACTTTTATCAAGAGAACGCGATTGGTTTAATGGAAATAATAATTATTATAACCAATTGTACCAGTGATTGTTTTACTGTACTTGTTTGTTTAACTGTACATTCTTCCTTCCGTTGGTTGTGACCTTGTACGAACTTACGTTTGCTCAGTAAATCCGCTTGTACGATCTCGGTATTCTTTCGATACCACGAGATCATCAACAAATATACTTAGCTACAACCTTCAATTGCCTTCTGATATTTGGTACGCAACCTTCCTGTAGTGGTTATCATAGTTAAACGTGACTCGACGCCACGCTACACTTGGCTGGCAAGTCACTTAAGGTTCTCGGTACAGGATGCTTTTACGACATATTCCTAATTTAGCATGCAGTTATAATTCCCACAGTATACGAAACTAGATTGTCTTTCAGAAAAGGATTAACTCAGCTATTTCAAATACAGCCAAGCATTGACGAAGTTATTAAATACCTGCTTACGGACGGACAAACGCATTCCAACATTTATTCACCTCAAATGTTTATCACCTGGTTTTTTGCTAACCAGGAACCTGGTTTCAATAATTAAATGTGTAACTCGATTGCATTTGAAGCGAATCGTACTGGATTCGAGTCCCGGGGTGTAAATCAAGAGTCGGATGCAAGCACATCTACTTGACGAGTCCTAAATAAGACGAGGCGCGTGTCCTAAATTCTACAGCTACTACCATCCATCTCTGCTTAATATACAGAACTCACCTCGAATGGATTAAAATCGGGTGGTAATTTCTGTAAAATATCATCAGCCATTTTGTAAACAACAGATTCTCTTGTTTCACCTCCACCTCCTCCGCTATCTTTTGGTTGAATATTAACAATAGTTGATAACATCGAACTGACTGTATTTGTAGAGTAGCTGAAATGAAAAAAGCAACCAAATAATTGTATCAACATGTGTAATTGTTGATAGAAATAATTTTATCAGTATGAAGTTAGTGCTGATGGTTGAGCATTATGGACATCAAATACTGAACTGAATCCAACAAGCATTGAAAAGCTGAAAGGATTGGATAGCTGTTTCGTTCCCAAAAACTTCAGTCTAGCGACAAGCGCTTAATCATTAGACACTGAGCTGAAACCTAACGGTATACATGTTTAACTCTGATCGATTTGCGATAATGTGCAATGACCTTCGATAGCTTTTGATGCACACCTCTGAGTAGTCCCATATTAAAGCGAAACAGTTACCCACTTTTTCATTAGTTACTTTACTCAGTTCGGTCTTTTATTTCATTAAGATACCAATTTTAATTTAATTCCTTTGATTTGGAACTTATATTCGGGGAGTGTAGATTCATGTTTAATAAAATATGGAATGCCTTCTAATTGACTATTAGATCTAGTTATAGGAGTAAAATAGGTACTTTTTGGTTCCTACGTCACTATACCACTTAGTCACCCAACTTTACTTGACTAAATAAAGCTTAGCTATCTTCGGGAACGAAGTTCATTTGACAGATGACAATTTGTAGTTTGTAAACTATTAATTGGAATAAAATGGCAACCCTAATTTACTGTTGACGTGTCTGGTGAAAGTGAGTTGCATTTATCCAATGAACGCAGACAAGCAGACTTGTGCTTTGTCATAATATATTTTGTCCTGGTCATATCTTGTTTTTGATCGTTGGTCAGATGATAAGATGTAAACATGTTACGTGAGTAGGCAACTTCAATGTTATAAAAACTCAACCTCAGTAGTCATTTCTGTTTCGATACCAAGTATGTTGTACCGTGAATAAACATCACACTCAAATAAAGCAATGTTATACTGAATAAAATATCACACTGAAAATATAACAAATGTTACACTGAACCGGATTATAAGCGGAAATTATGTTGAACAAAAATCACAATGAGTAAAGTAGTATAATTTTGCCTTTCCACCCCATCTCAAAATACTGTTATTCTGAAATTGTAGTTCAGCAGTTCACGTGGTTGCTCATTTTGCTGGTCAATATCTAGCAAACAAAATTCAGTGTTGCAGGTGATTGTCTCTTGGTTTATATTTAGTAACATATCCATAACTTTCGTTCAAAGAAGGATAAATATACTTCCGTTCCTTTGTCGGATATACGCTATGAATACAATTGGAATAAGACATTTTTTTCTGGTAGGATAAAATGATGAGTAGAAAGTAAAGTTGTTCTTCTTCTTCTGGATGGTATATGACCACTTTTAACAGTTTGTTATTTCCCGTTAATATTCAAAACTGCAATCTATGCACCCTGACCGGATTATCTCAATACTGCCTTTTGTTGACATATTTAGTAGATTTACGTTATTAATAACGTTGAAATACACTACGCACATTCCTTTGTATTTAGGAATCGTTAGATGGGTTTGCTTCGGTCTCAGTGTTGATGTTTAGCACCAAGATTCGAAACTAGTATTTATCGCTCCAAGTGCCGACACATTGTTTACTTAACAAATGATTCCAGATGGTCACTAAGTTTTTCACTGAGTATGTGGTTATTTGTAAGAGTGTATTTTATCGTTCTTAATAGTAAATACTTAGTGTCAACGTCAACACTGGGATCCAAGTACCTCCAGCTGACGCATCATAAATAGATTGAAGTGAATATTCTGGATTCTACTCCAAGTTGATTAATTTAAACTAGTCATTCTGATCTCTATACCTTTACTGAACCATATAGTGCTTGATCACAATAAATTATAATCAAACTCTGAAACTTACGTAATATCTGCATTCGAGTGTAAACCAAAGCATTCAGGTGAATCAACCAATGGTAAATTGTCAATGTTAGTCTGATATTCATCTAGTGTTCTACATTTGGGTACATTGTAACCTCGATAAAACTCAAAGGTATCACTGAATATATTTTCTGAAAACCACACTTTGGCATAAGTATTAAGCAAACGCTTATCATAATCATCTGTAACGCGACCACCATATTGCACTTCGCCAATCATATAACGAACAGTAGGCCATGAAATTCCCTGCAAAAGTTTTTAAAACGGTTATATGTAGCAATTATGTTCTAATAGATCTTCCTTGTTAATGTGTCATCCTTAAAAAAATCTACAGCCGTGTTTATAAAAAAGAAAATAAGTGATAAATCAGTTCAGTGGTGTGTATAATTTTGCTCAGAATGAGTGAAATTCGTGGAGTGCAGTTTATACTTAAATAAACTGTCATATCAATTAGTAATTGTATGAATAATAGGAGATCAACGGTTGATCCTACAATGATGTATAATTATTTCCACTGTGAGTTATATAAAAAGTGGGTGTCTGAACGAGAATAGAATTTGATTCAAGACGATGCTATGGGAATGAAATAAACAAAAATTAATAAATCTTAAATAGGAGTTTTGTAATGTTTAAAGTTAAGCAGACAAGGATTTACAAATCTTAAGTACATATAGACAATCTAGTATGTATTCAAATTATTTGTTACTGAGATACCACAAGATTTATCGATACTATTCTATTGGATTCTCTAAAGTATGATAGCTTAAGCATAAGTTCTTCATTGTTGTCTGGAACCACAACCAGTGGAGCTAAACTTTGACGGGTGCGAAAAAGTACTCACGCAACACCATAAATGGTGGTGGAATATCGTGGATTGATTGAATTCACACTTGTGCATCTCTGGATCCCGGCTCACTGGTCTGTAGGTTGGGCGTTTGCGCATGAGACCGAACGTGCTCACTGTTGAGGAGTCCCATAGTGGAACGAGACGGTCGTCCATTGTTTTCATGGATTCAGTAGTGGTCAAACTTAGCTCGGTTCGTGATATCGTTGAAATTAAACAATCTCCACAACGCTATATTGACAGCTAAACAAAGCTTTTGACACAAGTGCCTAGAAAATATCCACATGACTAGATAATTGCTCCATTTATTATTCAGAAGTGGACTAATAGTTTTGACCCTTTGTTTACACTGTTGATTCTACTAATTTCATTGTTTTTTAATCGCTTGGTTCCACTTCTCTCTGGTCTGTCTATAATTGCTCAAACAAAACTCAATGTAGCATGCAAACATCCATGTGGTTACTGAATCGAGTTAAGTTTATGTAATCAACCACAGTTATCGACAATATCATACTAACAGAGATTTGCGGGGATTGTCGAGGTTTTTGGTTTACATCACGGACTAATCCTATTTAGACAACCTCCAAAACCAGGATTATCGAATAATTTTTTCGCTCTGGTATGGGATATGAATTAGCAATGACTATCTATGACCTCATCAGGGATCGAAAGCAGGACTTGCTGGTCTATATTTTCCCGAATTATATCTTCTAGGCCTGATCCTCTACTATCACATGTACTTTTACTATTTATACCACTTATGCATCTCCCTGCTCTGATGTCATGTAACGACTTAAACTAACGCATATATGTACCAGTTTCTATGTTGCATGTGTCTAACTAACTCCCTAAGTGGTTCTAAACTATTAGATCACTGAATCAGCATTTTTAACTTCGATCATTTCTCGACATTACACAGCCATCTTTCAATGTCATTGGTGAGTAACCTCGAATCCAACATGGCTGAACTCCACTGGTCATGATTTCTTACTGGGACTTCGAGAATCACCTTCCGGAATTAATTACTTCCTAGTTTTCAATGGTTGTCTAACTAAAATCGATCACTAATGTAGATAATATAACCATGGGACTATATTTGAAATCTTATCACATAAACGATCAATGCAAAAAAAATGTTAAAAATACATGTCACTAGTTTAACATTTCTTCCCAGTCAATTACAAAAAAATGTCATACTTTTTTTGGATCGATTTCATCTAAATGATTTTGGATAAATTGGACTGTTGATGTAAAATCAGATTGATTAAATTCATACGGTATATTCCAACCGATTGGTCCAAATTTTCTACGTTCTTGCACTGTAGTATGCAAAAATGCTACACAATATAATAAAGGTTTCCACTGTGGCAAATTACTAATGTCTAATTGATCTTGTGTTAATAAAGCATATGTTCTACGTAGACCAGCACGTATACCCATAGGTGGATCATAAGTGAATTTAATACCAGATTGCAATAGATTTATTGGAAATTGTGGGTGAGCTTCTGTAGTTAGCCAACAGCGAAATGATTCATGTACACCTTTAGAAGTTGTTACCTGGAATAAATTGTAAAAAAGAAATAAAGGGATAATGATGATTTACACTAAATGACTAGCTGATTACACAATATGCTAATCAATATTCTCAGTATTTAGAAGTAGTCTATCTATAATGGGCAATTTTTCTGTTGTATGTATCTTAATTCATTGTGAGCTGATTGCTTCATGACCAACCTGGAAAATATGGTACTTCCATCAATAATTGAGAGATTTCATTTATATTAAAGATATATGGATGATACTTTGATTGTTTGTGAAGAAATGGACCTCAATGAAATTTTGAATCGGTTCAATAGTTGTCATCAGTTAATTCAATTCACATTGGAAGAAGAGGCGAATGAGGAATTTTTTCTTATGTCCAGTTGAAAAGAAGGTCAGATGGTTCTTCACGGAAATCTGTGTATAGAAAACCGAAGTGGAATGGTCAGTATACGGATTTCCATACCTGGGTCCCATTGAATAGAAAAAGAAAATTAATTCACTCTTTATGCTCTAGGATTAGGTGAATGTGTTCTAATGACATAATAGATGAAGAACTGCTTCATCTTCGACGGATACTCATCAGAGATGGTTATGTAAGCTGTATTAGGGATTTTAACGCTTGTCTTTAATGTTAAAACATTTTTTTGAAAAAGTAATCTTGGAATTTACACCTGTATCATTCAATGAGGTCAATGGAAATGCAATGATCAATCTATTCTAACTTTAGATGACTTGTCAGTGCATATATAGTGAGTCATTAGACTACAAACAACACTGTGGAGGAAATATAACTTGAAATGGATATGCAATATGAATTTTTGAGTATTTTTAACTATATAAAATATTTTTGATAAATGTATACCATTTTTTAGTCATTTATGACATAATACATTTTTACTTACAATTTCAGTAAGTTCATCCATAAATGTTAATCCTAGATGGCAATTTTGCAACAGTACCCATCTACCTTCTTGCATACTAATGCTTAGTAAACGTCGAGCGTGAACTTCTTGACCTTGTCCCATTGAAATCGCACCACATCCTATTCAAAAAATAATTACAGCAAAATATTTGGAAAACATCTCATAATAATTTAACTTGCTCTTAGATTAGTCAATAATAAATGGGATGTTTGATAATAATTATTCCGATTGAAATACTGTCTGAAGAGATAAAGGTGAGATATTCAATCATGAAGGAGAAAAATCTAAGTTTTATGCCGATGAATCTGATCAGAAGGACAATAAAAGCCTGATTCGACTCAAAAAATGAAGCTCTACTAAAATCATTCATCTGAGTTACGAATCTTCTGTACCACTTCAAAATAATTACTTCAGATACTGTTTTAATTGTCGACATTTCTGTAAAGATTGAACAGATTTAAGAGTATAAAATTAAAGTCTTAAATAATAAGTTGTTCCTCTGAAAACTGTTAATATCGTTTCGACTTACGAGCCACAGATATATTATGACATTAATGATAAATGTAACTCTGTACGGAATCTTATCTACTGTCTAATAGTGCTATGAACATCATTCTAAAACTAAACGATCGAACTTATTTAAAGTTTTACATCACAGACTGACTGTAGTTAAACAATTATTAGAAAACTAGTAACTACAGGACTACTGTCGATGATAGGAAACTTCAAATTTATCATTTTATAATAACAAAGATCAGTTATTTATGATGTGCTTAATATGAGTTGAATTCTGACGGGATTAGAAGTTTATATTAACAAAGGAGTCGAAATACTTCTGAAGTTTTTATTCTTGTAAAAAATTCATTCGAACAGTCACAGAAATATGTGACTGTTTCGTTTATAGACGTGAAATCGGGAAGTAAATTGACTTATCACACAATTGAATAAATTTCCTCGGATACACTTTGAGGAAATTAATTGTGTCATGATCATGCAGTACGATAGTCGATAAATATTTTACTACTAATATGGCTGAAATCTGCCAGTCAGCCACGAATTTCTATTACGACTTTAAGAAATCACCTGGGATTAAGTTACTCGTGGTTCCATAATTATAATTTTTGGTAATAGGCTTCAATAAGATGAAGTCAGGTATACATACCATTGGGTGCCAAAAAGAGGTTTAATAGGTGAGTACTTGTTACAAAAACTTTGGACTTGTGGGTGTATGCCACCAAGGAGCCCCACACTAGAGTGAAAATAATTTCAATTGTTTCATCAACCGAGGTTAATCTTTAGCAAATACCATCGACAAACTACATTGATTTAAACAAAACCCTTCTACCAAAGTCAATAATTTGCCATACGTTCGATCAACTTCAATATGACCTCGATGTGTACGAATACTGTTTGTTAGCTGAAAGAGGAAATATTTAAGAATAAAAACACAGTGGGTTATTCATTCTCAATATCTGTATTTTGTTTGCATTTTTTCTTGTGATAAGGAAATTACTCATTTTCAGCAACTTTCTTGAAAATCGAAGTGTATGTTTGCATTCTTTACCTTATAAGACCAGAATCACGTACATAACTAAAGTTCAATTGCATAATTCCACAGTGCCTTTTCTCGATGTTGAAAACTTCGAATTATAATACTTCATCAGTGAGCGTACTGACAGTGGATACAAACTAGAATGAAGAATATACCTTCTTCATTGAAAGGCATTTGCGTCAACCAGCTTAACCTCGAAGCCTTATTGAGGTGATCTAAAATGGTTGTTGCTTCTAATTATCCATATCGATCAAAAGTTGTAACTCAGGCATCGATGAATGAAATCGATATTCTCAATGACTCATGAGTTACTATGTGATTCAAATCAGTTTCTAAAAGTGAATAATGAATTCAGTTAGCATTAGAATGAATTTAATTCTTTGGAGATATGACATTTTCTTGATTTCTCTTAACAATATTAAAGCAGTTAACTCACCTAAATCAGTTTAAAATGATATTTTATTTTTATTGGAAAACTCCACACTAATCTTACATATAATCAAATTTTTAAATCTGGATCTGTACAACTTACTTAAATTCATCTTCTTTGCTAATCTTTCAATATTATCTGTTGGATCTGATCCCATTGATAAGAAACAAATCATCGGAGTCGATGTATCGGATTCTTCAATCATTTCTTCCAAATTTGTAATAATACCATCTGCATACGCTAAACCCATACGTTCAGCGATATATCGTTTAGCCATTGGAATGCATCTATCTGGACACCAAGCTCTTATCAATAATAAACGATGAAATGTACCCAATTTGTCATAACCGTCTGGAATTACAGAATCTTCTGGAGCTTCTGTATCAAACCAATTTTTCCATAACTTAAAGTAAAAATAAGAACGAGTATTTAAAAAGAATCGATCCCATTTGATAAATAAAATTCATGGAAGTATTTTCGAACACTTAAATAAAATTAAAACAATGATAACAAAAACCGTTGAATTCTTCCGGTTTCCACAGATGTATTAATAATAAATCTTGTCAGTATAGGGTTGCGGAGATTTTTTAGTTTCATCGATATCCCAAACCGATCTAAGTTCGACTGCCATTGAAAACCTGGAGCCAATGGTTAGCCTATTCATTCTAGTATTGGTCTTCATAATAGTGCGCACCCACGAATCCACCATAGTAGATCGAACCGAGGAACTTCAGTTTCACACGAATGCTTAATCACTAAGCCGGTTTATTTGTCTAACTTCAATCATTTCGTGCTATTCCACAACTATCTTCCATTGTGTTCGGTGGGTAACTGCCTCACACCCAACATGGATTAGCTCCAATGTTCACAGCTTCCCACTAAAACTCCAAAAATACCCTCTCGAAGCTATTCACTAGTGAGCATGTGGTTTACAAGCTAAGCGTACGCCTGTGAGATAGGTTTTGGGTTAGATTTCCGGTTCTTGGGTCGTGAATGCATTCTGTTGAGCGGTCCCACAATAGGACGGAACGGTCATTCGGTGCATCTAGGTTTTCAGTGGTTGTTTAGCTTAGATCGGTTCGTGATATCAGTAAAAAATCTTGCGGCATTAGTTTGCGGCTAATACAAAGACATAAATTGAAATGAATTCGTACTTTTCTAGATGATTACATGCCTTCATTTTGCTCAAAAATATTATGAAATCCTGGTGTACTGACAAGCATGGTGAGCCATTCAAATCCTCACGAAAATTTAAGAATTATTCAAACTAATCAATGTTAGATAGCTTGAGGTAAATGATTGGAAGATGATAAGTTGACTCGTCTTTATATTACTTAATGCCAACGTAATAAATCAATCAATAAAAGCCAAGAAATACTGTCTTTTTATTGAGAAGTGCTAATCACTCATCACTGTTTGCATTTTATCAAGCTCAGATTTGGGTACTATCTCCCATAATGCCGTAAATCTTCTCAAATGAGCAGCCCCGAATGAGGATAAAATATCTGCCCAGTCTTCTATAGTTTTCATGGGTTCACTAACTGAAGTCCGTCCGTGATTCAGATGAGGAAACGAAGGAAATAAAAATCACTTCGGTAATTGAGATTAAAATTAGTCTTAAATATACTTGATAACAGTCTTCTTCAATAAATGGAATCAGCTATCGATCGGAAGAAATTTACGCATAACCTGTCATCAAATCATAATCTTCAACTATGTAAGCTTTGTCGTCTCCACTTGGTCGGACTGGTTATCAGTTATTCTCTTCAAAGAAATATGTGATTGTAAGAAATCTCACCACAGTATAGTTGTTATTATTTTGATTTTTCGGTTGTGAACATCTGATGAGTGTTAATCTTTAAAGCAAAACACATCTAATGTTTAAATGATTGTAAATTCTGTTCACTCAACTCAAAAAGAAACGAAAACTTCTAACATACTCGATCACTTGAAGTTACTTGATCTGGCAACTGATTGAATTGATTTAATTTACTTAATTCAATTAAATTTAACCATGTTATATCTTGTATCCATTTTTTGGGTTTCGGTGCAACAGCATTCAAATCTAATGCCGCACCACCTATTTGAACGAAAAAAAACATTCGCATGAAATTTATTACAATTTGTTCTTATAAAAATGCATTTTATCATTACACTAGTGTGAATACTCTTAAGCACATGCAAGCAATTTCAAAGTATCTAGCCTCTAATTTTATTAAAAATTTATCCATCAACTTTCAGCGTGATCGGTAGCTCAAATTAGTGTACACTTCTGTGAATTCTCTTTTTCGTATTGAATGGTTGTGAACAACTGGTAGGAAGACGCGAGTTTAAGTTTTTTTTAGTTGGAACCAATCAACAAAACATAATTAAAATCACCAATAAACTGATGTCAAGAATGCAGCAACCCCTGCATTAGTAGGCCTCGACATACAAAAGGGAAAAAGTAAGATCTGATAAGTCTTCTAATTGAACGCTAAATTCAGTACCTAAGCTCCCCTAGTAACCTCTTGGCTAAATCTACACAGCAACTTCAAGGTTCGTTCATGTATAGAAAATCTAGGGTTTTTATAGTATTTTTGATGGCCTTGGGTTTCCAGAAAACTCCAGAATGCTATTAAACTTAGTAGCAGTATAGGAAGCTATCCAATCAGAAACTCAGTATGTGACTTTTTACTTTCTAGATGTTTCTGGTAAAACTTCCGTTGAATGCTGATTGGATAAAATGTTAATAATAATGGATTGATCTTAGTGAAACTACCATAGAAAACCTAAAACACTGGAATACCAGTTCGTCCTACTATGGGACTCCTCAGCAGTTCATATGCACGACCCGCACGCGAGAATCGAACTCTTGACCTTCTGTCTCGCGCGAGATTGCTTAACCTCTAGCCCACTGAGCCGTCTAGAGATCAAGTTTATACATAACTAGGACACTGGTAGCAAAAATATGAATAACACCTTTATAATCGATTATCAATTATTTAGTGACTATAATGGATGAAGTTCCAGTTAATTTGTAAAATAAAAGCTCATAATTAGGATAATATAAAAATACCATAAACAGGCGTAAGTAAATAAGTAAAAACACCATAAGCCAATTATCTGATAAATAAAGATTAAGAATATATATTCACTGATTCATTAGAGAAGTTATACATTTTTATTTACCCAATTTTAACAGGTTGGAGATACAAAAATTTTCCAGTTGTCCAATGGCTTTAAGAGTTTTTCCAATAAGAAAATATATTTATAAATTGTTATCGCTTAGCATAATGACTTCCTTGTCACTTGATTGATGGAAATTCAACCAACACTTAAGGCTGAACCACATGATGTCTGTTACAATGAATTGACCAATTGGTATAAACATGTAAGTCTGTCACGAGTGGAGAGCTGAATAACTAAGTGGTAAGATCTTTGACTGTGACACTGGATGCTGATACAAGCTCGGATTACATGAAAATATCAGAAATAAGGAATAAACAATATGACACTAGCTATGTCTATGAGATCGATTAATGTGGATGTTGATAAGTTAACCAAGTACAAACAATGCGTCTGTGCATACATGCCAACTTAAGGTCAAATTATAAACAAAATACGCTGTTAGAGGAAGTCAACTCTTCACCTACTCAAGGTGTCGGGCCAAACAGCGTTATCTGTGTCAGAAGGATTATTATATATGTACCTACGATTTTTGTGAATTGCAATTCCGTTTGTTGATTGAAAGTTCCTTCTTGTTTCGGTCTCCTACTTTGCATAGCAGATTTTGCACACCGTTGGATATGTACGTCGTAATGGAGTCGGACAGAAGAATGTAACAGATATAAATATAAGATGACAGGTTTCGTAACTAAATTTAAGGTAATAGCAACTAGTTACCTTTAATGAAAATTTGAAATTCTTCAGGTTTCACCTCTTTCATGTGCATCGCAATTTTTAAGGTTAACAATACAGTGAATGTAAACTTGTCTACTTCATAAAATCCTCTTGCTGTATAACGGTACACTTCAAATGTTAAATAATCAATGATATTTGCTATACGTTTTTGCATTTGTGGTGATTTCTGTGATCTAGCCATGGATATATCGAATAAACCAAGAAATTGACGTAATGATGTTTGGTACATTACATTAACCATACTCATTTCAACAATTAAAAAGTATAATAATGAACCACGTGACGCTACAGGACGATATTCTTCACGTGCTGCATTAATTTTTACTTCGGTATCAACTGCTACGTTTAACTTTTCTCTCACTTCATTCGATGTCATTTTAGTTACATTCAGCATTTCAATTAATGATTCATCTTCAACTAAACTACCTTCAGTGGTTGTTAAACGATATAACAGATTATCTTCTAATTCTTTCATTTTACGACGATTTGTCGCCACATCTTCAAGGAGTTTAGTTCTTTCCGTCTCTAGTTCCTTGAGAAATGAGAAAACAATATAGAAAACAAACATAAACGTTTAATACCAAGATTTTAATTGATAGAGTTTTATATCTCTGTAGCTGACTGATTAGTTTATTAACTTAAAAATTGTCCTTATTAAAAACTAGATAAAAAGTTGTTTGTCATGAGATTGACATTCGTTGAATTCAATGACGAGTGAAGTGATGAATAAAAATATGAGATGAGGTAGAAGTAACCTTAACCAAAACCTCCAAAATTGAGCAAAATATAAATTGGACTTTTCTCAAAGTTCAGGAAAGTTTCAAGCTGAATTAATTAATCGCAAATTAAGAAGTGATAATAATGTCAAAATCACGTTTAGTATTTAGGATTAAAACCAGAAGAATATAAAGCTTGGGATTTATACGAAGAGTTTAGGATTCAAGGTTAGAGTTTGGATTTAGATACGCATACAGACTAGGCATAAAGTCTAGTTCCAATCCCAAACCCTTGTCCTAAATCCTGGAATATAATCCAAACTGTAATTCATTAACCTAAAATTCTAATGTTATCTTTAATTCAAACTTTGAATCCTAAACTTTAAATCCTAATCCAAACTTTCGGTTCTAGTACTACACAGGGAAGGGAACCGATCTCACTTTTATGGTTCAGCTTTACTTCAGTGGTCAACGCCTTAAAATATAGTGTTCTTGATAGTAATAATCAAGTCGATAATAATAACGACAATGACAATAATTAATAATAACAACAAAATATGGCCTACTTTTTTCTCTGTTAATATTACCAAACCAAGAAGTTGGTCTTCAAGGCCACGTATTGTAACAGTGAAATCAATGATTGATGTTTTAGCATAAATTTCTGGTGTATATGATGGGTTTGGTAATTTTGTTGTAATATATAGACGAAATCCACTCATTATATCACATTCTTTATCACCAATTTTCACTTTATATGTTGAACCAGATTTAATGAAATTCTTTTCTAAAACGTTATCTAAAGCAGGATCAAGATCTTCACCAACATCTTCTATGAGTAATGGACGTCCAAGTGATAGTGAATCTTCCAAGTGTGTTCGAAAATATTTGTGATTCAATGATGTTATCTATGTAAGAATAAGATACAGTAAATAATGTTTGAATTCGATCATACCAAAATGTCTTTAAGTATGCATGTTTCGCTCCAAGGGGTTCGTGTAGATGGTTGAATTTCATAATTTACATCATAAAACGACATTAGACAACCATTAAGGGACAGAGAGCATTTGACAGTTATTTAATCATAATAAGGACTCGGTAGTGTTTCACGACTATCCCATCTGGGATCGAAACTCCGTACTTCTCAATACGTTTATTAACATGAAATGGGCATACATTTAAAAGGTGAAGCTAGGAAAATTTTGTTGCATAAGCCTACCAGTGGTCGGTTTAAAACGAACGTTATTCTGTAGAATTTTCTGAACAAAGTTAACAATAATAATAATAGTCATTCAACAGATTACTTGTTCATTGTAAAGTTCTAACCAATATCAATAGTCTGCCAGTTATTGATTAAAACTTAATTTTACGTTTTCATTCTTTTATCATCACTGCCGCTTCATTTGGTATGTTAATTTCGCTTTAATTATCTAAGTTGATTATGTGCTTCATGGTTTACCATATAAGTTGAATCTAACCGCACAATTCAACTTTACTAAAACTGGTAACTAAAAATACTATCGAGGCAATGCACTGAAAATGAGGATTTACCAATCAAAACTGATCAAATGGAGTCCTTAATATCAACAACTAAAATTTGTTTTTAAATATATTTTATTCAGATTAGTTGTGCTAGCTAAACCTTGGGTTTATACGCTGTTAACTAAATAGGTGATCGTAAAGAACCACTATCATTTTCACGAGTTTTTCACATATGAACTAGCAAAGCTATTTGAATATGTAATCTTCTCTCATATTAATGTAAAATCAGGATAATAAACAACATTCTGATAAAAACACTGGTAAAATTTGAATATCAATAAACACAGAGGTTTTTATATCTGGTAGCGTTCCAGTCACTTGAAACGTTAAAGAGCGCCAACAGAACTTATGAAAGGATGACATACTGCTTCTATACGGTGCGGGATTCTCATTTCCGTAGAGATCAGAAGCCGCATATTAAATTTGTATCTTGGAGAAATGGTCGTAGAACACTAGTGGATCCCCGCAGCCGATGAGACGAAGGAGGTAATTTGATTAGTGTTATTATCTTGTTCATGAAGGACTTCAATAGACGCTAGTGATAATTACTTCCCTGTCCAATTAACAAATTATTGCAGGTGACGAAATGTTTGTTCATTATCATATGAGCACACACTTTCAAAAACAAGTTAACCAATCACTTATTTCTAATTTTTTTAATCACACCCTAAAATTTCTTATCAATTGGTGGTGGGGTATCACAATGGCCGTGCAATTATTGTCAACCATAAAATTTACACATTTAATTCAGAATTTGTACTATTACTTTTATCTGTTAAAGTAGATATAAAGTATTAGCCAAATTGTAAATATCACCAAATGTAATTTTGTAGTTCAACTGACCTGCAATTCACTTTCAGCTTCTTTACGTCTTAGCCATGCTTTGCCTTGACCTTGAGGATCAATTAACAATGGGTAACGTTTAGCACGTGTTACAATCAACCCATTTTGAATTGATAATTCATCATTAGGTAAGCCTTGAACACTCCATTCGCTTAATGTCGCATTATCCACCAACATTGTGATGTAATTAATGTCCTTTTTTGAAGTATGAGTAGATTAGAAAAAATTTAAAAAAAACATGTAGAAACCATCAATAACTTAACCATACACTGTGGACTAATAGAATGAGTTAGGAACTGAAAATTTTACTTTCGTAATATTAGAAACATTTTAGACAAAATGTCAGATAGTCTTAGGACTTTCAGAATAGGGAACAATTTACATAATGAACTAGAGAAACGTATTCAATTCTTTGGACCAGTTTTACCGAGTAATCATGAACTAGTTTCTAAAACTCATTTGACCAATCAAAGAACGTGGAAGAATAACATGAATTCACTATATTTCAAGGTTCCTCGTCAGCTGCTTACAACCTGAAAATAGTAGTATTATCAGCATCGAGATTTATGGAAATTGTAGTAATGTAACAGTTGAATTCACAAGTCGATCTAAACGACATCACCACTGAAAACCTGGAAGCACTGGAGGGTTGTTTTATCCTAGTATGGGACAGTGCGCATCCGCGACCCCGCGTGAGCTCAATCCGTGTCAGGTGTGAGACAGTTATCCACCCAAGATAATGGATGAAGGGTTGCGCAAGAGTATTATTTGGTTGTTTTAAATCATACATGTATACCTTAGTGTAGGGCCATGATGAACAATTTATTGAAAATAAATTTCTTCGCCCGATTCGTTCTTTACCAAAATATCAAAAAGGGAATTTTCACCATAACATATTAATGTCATAGTTATTTAGCACATAAATCAAAATTGACTGAGTACAGATCAGATAAGAAGTGAGATTTAATAACTAGTGTCATGAAAAGAAAAATTATGCAACAAACATTTATGGATGAGTTCAGCACGGCAAAGCAAGATTGAATCTTTTTGGACACATAAATTTGGTTTAGGTCTTTTTATGGCAATTGCTATGGCAAACCTTAGTAACGTTGACATTTTTTGTTTATTAATTATCTTGAAGGAATTTAAGACATCATCACCATAATCACTGTCAATCAGATGGCATGAGATTGCGCTGCTGAAAATGTGCTGTCTTCATAGTCTAGGCTTCTATAGAATGTGCTCAGAGATGCGGATATTAATCCTCCCTTATTTTCTTCCTATGTGTGTGCGTTGGTATGTACATTTAAACTGATAGACATAATAAGCCGTAATACAAGGTGGGAATTTGTCCATAAATGACTGTATTAATCAGCAATTCGTTTGACACAGAGAGAACAACTTGGCAGTTGGATACATCCTTTTTATCATAGCTTTTAATCTGAAATCAGTCTTTCCAGATATTGTGTTACCCATGAATCCAATTCTTAAGAAGATAAGCTTTTGCTTTACCATAGTATGCTCCATTTTCTTCGCTTTAGTCTTCCCATATTTGGTTATGAAGTTCTATAACTTTAGCCTTTCATTAGTAAGTTATTGTCATAAGTTAACAACCGACATTTTCGAACCCCCGTTAGTTATTTATATAAAACCTGTTTGGCAACGAAAATTATGAAGGCAATTAAGCACAAAGGCAAGTCGTTCGTCATTTATATTTGTTACTTTGTAGCTTTGATTTTCGCTAGTTTAGATCTCAGTAGTTCTTTAGACTTAGGCTAGAAAACCATAAAGTACTAGACAAGTATTCTCTCTTAGTGAGGGATTCCTCAGAAATGCACATTAACGACTAACCAGGATTAAATTCAGGATATCTAGACCTCACAGAGAGCTATCAATCATTCAGCCATTGAGTTCACACCTAGTTGTTTCGATTTCCTAGTTTTCAATGGTTGTCTAAGGTCAACCCATAATGTAAGCTACAAAGTTCAACAACAATCCAAAAACCACGAATACTAATAATATGTTATTTTAATAAATCTTAGAAAGAACGTACATCAGAAAATGGTATTTTATTTTGTACTAATTCTCGACGCCAATTCTGATTTAGTAAATTACGAAAGTCTTGATTAAATGGTCCAGTATATGAAAGAAATCCAGTTGCTAAAAGTACATCTCCGACTAGCCGATTAATTTGCTCTTCAAATGTTTGACTTGCTTCTGTCCATCTAATACGTTCACCTAAATAAAACATTCAATATAAGGTATTCTGTAAATTGATTGAAATCTTTGATTAAAAGAACACAATATGAATTCAGTATTGCAGGAAAACAATAATTGTTTAATAATTTTAAGGCGTATATTAATCCAAACTTAAAATTTTGCGTTGTTTCCTGCTTCGTAAATTGTTCAAATTTGATAAATTCGTAAGATAACACTATTGTTTGAAACTATTAAAAAATCAATGGAAAAAAGATAGTAATTTGAGTCAGTGTGTTTGTGGAGATCGTTGAGTTTCAGTGAAAACATGAACTGATCTGAGTTAGACCACCAGTGAAATTCAATAAACCCAACAACCCTATAATTACGGTTATCATGTGCTCGGCAGTGCCTAGCTTCAAGTTCTGTGGGAAACTGTGACCATTGGAGCTAATCCATGTTGGGTGTGAGGCAGTTATCTAGTGGTGGTTAAGCGCACGTGCGCGGGACTGATAGGTCCTGGGTTCGAATCCCGCGAGACGGGATCATGGATGCGCTCTGCTGAGGAGTTCCACAATACGACGAGTGCTTCCAGGTTTGGGAGGTAAAATCAGACTCACGCGTTCGCGTCGTGCCTCCTGGATAGTGGGACGAATGACTCATGAACTAATGTGAGCGGTAACCCGAGTGGTAGAGATTGGGCTAATCACCCACTCGACCGATACCCTCAAATCAATTACGAACTCCACAAAAAAAACGCAGCAGAATTACTCTTGGATGGATAAACGGCAAAAAACTGACAAAAGTGGTGCATGTAATGTACGGGGTCGCTCCTCACGGTGTAAACTCCAACTGGTTGCAAAAACAGTTATTCTAGTCCCGGTAGTTGTTTCGTGCTTCGATGTGGCCTGTTTATCTCCAGAAGAGCCTACTAGGCTTCACCAACTTGTTTGGCTAGAAGGGGCACCTACCGAACACAACAGAAGGTGGTTGGAAAACATTATGGACTGATTGAAGTTAGACATTAACAAGGTTGGATTTCGGCTTATGCATTCATTCACAAAGCTAAGGGTTCTGAGTTCAATTCCTGCGTCCAGTAATTTTATACTGAGACAAACAGACTGTCCAGTGCCTCCAAATTTTTAATGGTGGTCGAGCTTAGACCGGTTCATGATTTCAGATAAGCAATTGTCAAAATGCATTTAGGATATTTCTTATAACATAGTCCACGCCTGTATAATTGATAGACTTTTGAAGAATTCAACCTGATCTTATTGATCACTGATTATTGGTGATACTTTAACAAACATGAGGTTGTTTGGTTAAATGATCAATTTTTAGATTTACTGGAATAATTTTAAAGAGATAACTTGTAAAAGTGTAGTAAGTTATGGTATTTTTAATAAATCATATCTTTATAATAGCCAACACTAGGTTTCATTTATACACAAGTGATTAGTTGGAATGGAATTTTAGAAATAAATGTTAACTACAACAAATTTTGTTGCTAGTTTATTGTTTTGACTAATAAGCACTTGAAAAATTTGTTTTTTATTCTTACCCGCAAGACCTTCTATCAATGCTGTAGCATTACTCATTTTTCTTCTACATCCGTCAGCCTCATCTAAGAGTTTCTGTTTGTCAGCCATTGCACGATCATATTCCGCTTGGACCAGATCTAATTCCCTTTGCTTCTCATCTAGTTGACCCTGAGCAACCGCCAATTCAGACAAAGCTCCTTCCAGTCTCTTTTCCTGTAGTGCTAACATTGACTATATATAAAAAATAAAGCAATAAAAAATTTGTTCATCAAAACGCTCTCATAGATTATGGCAAACAATTCAATGAGCAAACTTTTTACTGAGTATTCGTAGGGATTTGATTTAAAGATTTTTCACAGGGTAAACAGAAATAAGTTATCAAACCACAGAAAACTTGGGAGCACAAAAAATTCAAGTCTCACATAGAACTAGAGTTCAATAGTTCACACTCTTGGGATACTGAGACTGAATTGTGCCCCAAGTTGGAGATTTGGCTGGTAAGTATTTTACCATTAAATTGTTTAAATACTATTACTTTGTGATCTATATTTAAAACTCGATTTCTTTAGTAGCTGGTTTCATCTGGAAATGCATGGAAGACTTGACAAAAAGAGATGGTTGTCAAGATTAGTTTGAAAGTTCTTAATTTATTAAGTGATGATGTAATGTCCGTCATGATGTGAAAAATGTCAAAATACAATGACTTGAAAAAACAATCAAGAAAAATATTAATCTAATTTAGTTGAAAGATATGTTTCACTTCCACAGAAGTAATAGTTTGAACAAGAAGTTTGGCATTACACCTTATTATTTGTACTTTCCAACAAATCAATGATTTATCATTTATGTCTTGTCTGTTATATGTTTTTTTATCAACCAAGAGCTTCCTAACTTTATCTTGGTCACAAAGATAGGCATTTAGGTTGTCTAAGTAATCATTTCGATTTATTAGGCTTATTTCTGCGTGTCTTATCTAATGGTAAGTAAATTACCACTTTTCTTAGAATTTCATTTGATTAGTGATTTATAATATAGTCAAATGCGTTGGGCTTATTAACTGACATATCGAATTACTGTCAGGAGTACGATAAATAAATGTTATGTATAGTATAAAATTTATAAAAAATCATTCATATGAGATGGCAATAAGGTAAGTAGGAATAAAGTAACTTGAATGGATCTATATTACTGTGAGTTTTTGTATATAAACTTTGTGAAATCTATCTTCAAACTAGTCACTAGTGAGGACACGTTTATTATGCAGTAAGGAGCACGTGTTTTATCCAATTTAAGACTTGTCAGTTAAATGTATTCACTATCTAATGTTGATTTTCATACAGAGATTAGAGCTTAGTATGTTTCAGTTCAAATACCAAAACATCAATACTCACTGATCAATTGAGTTATAAAATCTTACAAATGTAGACCAAGTACTTGTTAATCTTGCCAGTACTTCTATCTTTAACCTTGTGATATTGTTTGTAATAGCTAAACTATACAGAAATAAATTCAGTTTTAGTCCTCTTAACAAGTGTTCGGTATATCATAGGATAAAGTGTTGGCCAAACTATAAATATTAGGAATTTTATTTCATTTATTGATAGAGAATATATTGTTTATATAATGTAGGTAGTTTTTGGGATTGGATTTTGTAAGGTTGTACTATTTTAGGTTATTATCAAAATTAGGAGTAATTTCTTAATGAACGACTACATTACGTATTTTTATCGTTTATCTAAATGTTTAAATATTGAATAGAAGATATATCGTTAGGTTTGTTATTAAAACCGAACTCAACAGATTGATTTGCCTAGATAGTTCTTACTTTATTCACGTGTTTTTCAGATAGAAGAGACTTTAATTCAAATCAGAAATATATAGGTAACAAAGAATATAAAGTTCTAGTAAACATAACATTTTTAAAAATGTTTATATACTAATAGAGTGTATGTATTTGTGATAATTTACCTTAAGTGGTAAAACTTCTTTATTAACAGCAAAAAATGAAGCCATAGCTTTCGTCCATGAACATAAACCAGCAACATCACCACAAACACGTTTAGCTTGTTCCATATTGAAATCATCCATTTCGAAATAAGGTAACATTAATTCCACTGTTTCTTCATTGATTGTGTCCTAAATTAAAAAATAATGTTGTTTTCACTATGGGTTATTAACATCATAATTAATTAACTCTACTTTTATAATAGATAATTTGTCAGAGCCAGTTCTAAATCAAAAGCAATTTTATTATATTCTGTCTATAAACGTTTGAAACTCTTGAAAAATGTTTCAAAAGGCTGGAGAGGCTGAATGACCACTTATCGTTCTTCAGAAACTTTCAAGAAAATTCTAGAAAACCCCTAGTTGTGTTTTCGTTACACTGATCGGAGAATAACGATTTCGTTATCTGTTTTAAAATCCCACTTAGAATCTACTAAAATTGCAAGGTCACATAATTCTACAAATACCCTTGTTTTCTGCAGACACATAGGCCATCGACGTAAACCTTCTCTCATGAGTTCGGTCTTTTATTTCCTATTTAAGCTTGAAGAATAGGTTTCTAAAAATTAGAAAGCGGTTAGAAGGTCGGTATATAAGGATAATGTCTAAAGCATATCGGTGAATGCTAATTCGTTACTGGGTTACACTAGTTAGAGTATTGTAAATCGTACTAACCACTTCTTACAGTAATGTACATTGTTAACTAAAGATAAGCTTGGAGTGATCAAATCAATATTATACGAATTAATTAGCTTTTGGTCTTGTGGGATACTGAAGAATTTAACGTCTTGGTCCTGCATGAAAATCGATAGCTCAACACTATAAATGAATTTAAATGTTGTTATGTATATATTCTTTATGTAAATCTGATTTCCATAGATTCATTCTATGTAGTTTTATGGGTATTTTCCCCTAAAATCTTCTGACAAATAATGATATTCATTATAAATTATCAGTTGTTTTTTGCATTAAGTTAGATATTCTATAATAATAATCATCAAAAATATTCAATGAGTAGATTTCTTTTATATTCGTGGTTCCTACTTAAACATTAATTACATTTTTAAGGTTGTCTTTGTTACTGAAGTACTTTTAACGTAAACAGCTCATCACTCAAAGCATATATGGAGTTAAGTGAAATACATATTGATCAGCTGTTTACTAATAATGGTTTAGTCAAATTGTAATAAAATGTTTTAAATTAGTATGTATTTATTCAGTTTACTAGTAAACAGTTAAGAATGATCAAATAAAAGTATTTTGTCATTTTGTGATATCAATAGTCGTTGGTAGAAATAGTATCTAGAAGTTTACGATTATTCGATACTATGTTTAAGGTATTGAATTTAAAAAAAATTGAAAACTTTACTGAATGTTCTTAGCTCATGAAGTCGTTTACGTAATAAAAATCTCTCAAAATTCCACACTGAAGGTTGTTGAACATAAGTCAACCACTTTACATTTGAAGACAGTCTATTCAGTAGTATATCTACAGAAATTTGATTGATAAAACATGTATGCTGAGCCAAACCAATCAAATCTCCTTGGATAAACCTAATCGGCAGATTAATTCTATAACTGATTGCATTTTACAATGGAAGTTTATGATTACAATAATATCACTAATTAAGATAAACATTTTCAACCGCCATTATATTTCATACCTTAGGAAAATTCAATAATCCATTTAAAAAGTTTGCACCACCCATAAGTTTTAATGCTTCATTCCAACTGGGTTTAGGACAAGGACGTTCGGGATCCGGTGTGACAGTATCCAATCTCTTTTGAAATAACAATAAGACACAATCCATAATACGCATAATCAAATGTGGTGGTCTACCAAGTTTTCTCACTAAAATATAATAAATTAAGTAAAAGAAATAATGAATTTATCTGAAGAGCACACGAGTCTTACTTCTTTAAATCATTCCTTAATTATGATGATAATTATAATATGAATATAGATCATACCTATTGTTCTAGTTATTAACTTTAAAATATATGAAAGAAAAATTACGGTCGGATTGAAGGCAGTAATTTAAAGCATTAATAATCTTAGTATATTGTTGGGTAACTAAGTGAATGAACAAAACTATATTTAAAAAATTATATTTAACAGAGAATCAGTCCTATTATACGAGGCTGAGGGGGAAAGGATTATTCAGTAAAGAATTATACTGCAGTAAGTTGATATGTTAAGTAGACGGAAATTTGCTTCCAATGATTTTAGGATGTAATTAATTCACTACGGAGACCTTTTTTATTCTCATGAACACTTTTTAAATCCTAGTGACTGTTTTAATTCAGTTGATCTGATATAGCAAGACAAATTGATCTTCTGTTTCTTTCTTGATAGATTAGATTTATATTGACTTGTCTATGCACTACATGATGTTAGAATTCAGAAAACTGTCCAGAATTCTTGAAGTTTCTTTAATATGCGTTAATCAATCAAATTGACGTCCATGGTTAATTTTTTAAAAAGGTATTGATATGAATGAGGCTATATTATATATGTTAATTATTCCATCATTAATGTTCATAAATGCATAAAAAAAGGTGAAGTTTAATTTTTTTGAATATATTCCCCTTCGTGGTTGATATAATTAGTCAGTTTTGTAAATGATGTTAATTCTATCCATTTTTTATATCAGAATCTTTTGGTTAGGATAAAATGAATGGACGTAAGTGTGTTGGATTGTGAAGAAAACCACAAAATATTGTTAAATTCATTGTGTTTTTTAGATGTTTACACATACATTTAGACTATCCATTCTGCTATCTCTAAAGAATAAAATACTTTTAAAAATGTCATTTAATAGTTATTGTCCCGTAAAGGTTACGGAATATTTAATTTATCGAATTCTTTCAACTGTTTCTGAGACAAGAATTTGATAGTGAGTTGTACTTTCTTTGAGGAATATCTGTACACAACAACGATAAAACTGATTTCGTCGAGTAACTCTTCTACCACAAATCGGGTGCCATCAAAATGTTTTTGATTAATAAGTGAGTATTATTATTTCATTCCTCTTGATGAAAACAAATGTGTCATTTATCCAGCCTATCCAAATCCGTAGTCGGATTAGTTGTATAGGTTTGGTCAACATACTTTGAGCCACAGCTTTGACAATTAGTTTAAATATAAGGAATCTTACTCATATCTCATTGAAATATGAATAAGTGAAACCAAAACTTTAAAATCATTGACAAATAGAGAACTATTAGATATATTAAACATTAATAACGCTTATTTATTTAACTTACGTTTATTATCACTGAGTACTTGAGAAAATGTGTATTTGATTAGTGACTTTCTGTCGAAGTAAATATAAGGGTTACATTGAAAGTAACGAGCACTTCCTCATTGCTTAAAAATATCCCTTAACGTTACATCACAGATAAATTGATAACATGATTACATTAAATGTTTTAGTTTCCTTCTAAGTTCTCTAGATAAATTATGTTCCAAAGTCTCTAAAAGTGACAAGATCATTACTCAGACTTGATATAGTTACACTGATCACCAATCAGTAATCAATCAGTTGTATCATTTGTATCATTTATAACTGAGTTATGTACAAATCGTGATTTCTTATTCATATTTTTTAGTAATCATTCGACTAATTTATGTGTTGTTTTATAGGTTTTGAGTCATAATAACGGAACTATTATAAGCAGAGATAGATGGTAGTTAGCAGTGCATCATCGTATTTGGAACTCGTCAACTGGCTGAACTTGCACCTCAGAGTTCATATTCACTCAGAGACTTGGACCTTTACCATTGACTCCAAAAGCCATCGCGCTACCCAAGGTACAGAGGTTTAAGTCCCTGAGTGAATGTCAACTTTGAGATGCAGGCTGATCTAGCTAGGGAGTTTGAAATCGGACGAAATTCTCACCTTGGATTCTATTGCTTATAATATTTGTGATTTCATGGGAATTTTGAGGCAGTCTGCACAGGAGAGACTGGTCAACTGCAGTTCTGAGCATCAACGGGAAGATTCAAACAACCAATAAAAATGAACAATCATGAAAGGTGCAGAGCTAACCAGTATTCTGTAAACTCCATAATCTTGTAACTTTATTAAGTGAGCAATACCAAGAAGCTGTACGCATATATTTAATCTCATCAGCTATTCACTCGTAATCTTAATTGTTTCTACATGAGGGTGTGTGTATGTCAGCATATCACTTTCTCGGTCTTTTATCTGTATGTTTACATGAATTTCCCTTCATCTCTCATCATTTACCTGGATTATTAAACATCTGAATTATATAGATTCTCCAAATACTTTCATATTCGACTCTTTTATTATACGCATTGTTATTAATGGGATTTGTCGACGGAATGTTAATAAAGTTTAGTGAGATCTATATCTCATTGGCACTGAAATCGTTCGAGTCATATTCATAATAAAAATCACAACAAAACAGATATTTTGTTTAGAATAAATACTCACCTGTAGAAATATGTGTTGGTTTAATTGTTTCTAATGCAGCTTCAGCTTCCATTAAAGCTGGTTTAGCTGCTTCTAATTTCATTTCAGCAGATGCTTTATCTACACTAATTCCATCAACAAGTACTTGTGCTTTATCTTTTACTATTTGTACTTGAGTTTTAACTTTTTGTGCTGCTGTCGCTTGAACAGTTACTTGTGTTAGAACTTCTTCTGATTTTTTATTAGCAATAGCAAGTTCTTTTTCTTTTTCAATTAATTCTTTACTTAATTCATTTACTGATTCAGTTGCTTCAACTAATTTTTTTAAACCAGTGTTCATACGTTCAGCTAATTGACCAATTTCATTATGTTTCATTTTATATATTTCCATGTAACCATTAATAAATGATAGATATGATTTGGGTGTAACATGAGTTTGACGACGAAAACGTTGAAAATAATCAGTACATGATTCAGCTACCAAATCCTATTATTATGGTCATTATTATTATTCACATTGTGCATTTCAGTTTTTTTTTATAAAAGGGATATAAAAAACAAAATACATAATTTTGATATCAGAAGGGGTTTTGTGAATATTATAGTAATTTTCAGTAGTTGAGATCATGAGTCAATTGAAGCTAGATCACCATGGAAAACCTGGAAGAACTAGACGGCCGTTTCGTCCTAGTATGGGACTCCTCAGCAGTGCGTATCCACGACCATGTCTCACGAGATTCGAACCCAAGACCTATCAGTCATGCGCGCGAGCGCTAAACCACTAGACCGGCATTCAAGTGCGTTAATGTATAACTTCAACCAATCCACGAAGTTGAGCGACCGTAGACCATTATCTTCAGTGAGTTGATGTCTCACAACAGACCCGGTTGAACTCCACTGGTCACTGCTTCTCACTAGAACTCCGAGATATATCTATTGAAGCCAGCCACTAGTGAGCATATGTTGATTAATATCAGAAGGGGTTAGTTAAAACGTCAGATTTTATAACTTAAGATAAGTATTTCTATTTCTCTTAGTTTTAGATTAGTAATTGATACCAGTAGATAAACGACAACTGGAAAATAATTATTTTCATTGATGAGAAAGGGTGCAACAATTAACTAAGTTTTTTATAATATCCTGTTTAGTAGACGAGGTGACGGTTCGTCAAACAGAAGAATGTATAGGAATAGCTTCTTCGCATATCGGTAAACATACTTATCTATAGTTTTACACCCATTTGCTATAAAATAAAATTGGTTAAATCCCTTATATACAGAACAAAAATAGTCTACTCGAAGGATACTATGAAGAGTTGGAGTTTATTGATAAAAGACTGACCGAAATAAGCTGTCTGAGAAGTATTTTTAGTGAAATGTATGAATCCAAGGAAGAATAACTTGGAAATATGGACCACGCATAAGAGACCTCTATTCATAAAACTAAAATTTGACGGGATTGTGCCTAGTGACGATAGATCTACGAAGACAGTTAATTGGGACATTTTACGTAGCTGATTCTAAACTGGCATTTTCTATTGGACTATTAATGTTTGCTCAAATAAAAAATAGGTTACCAGAGTTTATCTCTTCGATGAGTGACTACAAATTCAGTTGTTCCTGTGGAGAGATATATATTGGACGCACTACCGGATAACTTAACCAACGAAGAGGTGGACATTCCTCGGCTTGATTTAGAAAGGCCATAGCAATACGCAGCTCTGTCCTGGCAGACCTGGCTGACAATGATCATATGGTCAGTAAAATTAAATCATTTTGAGTGAATCATTGTATACCTTCGTCGTTTCCCAGTGAGTTTAGATCCCGTCTTCTTCATAAAGTAGAAGCTAAAAGTGTCTGAACCCATAATCCTAGTTTATGTGTTCAGAAGAACTTTGTAACGCCCCAGTTACTTCCTCCGCCGACTATGATGTTACTAATTTTTTCATATGTCGTATATGATGCCTTTTTATACCTTTATCCGTTTATATTCTTCACTATCCGACTTTTTCCGGATTCAGATTTGTGGATGTGCACCGCAAAGGAGTGCTATATTAGGCCTAGGACGAGACACCTGTCTACTGCTTTCTGGTTCTCAGTGCTGATCTAGCTAGGATCAGTTCGTGGTTTAAACTATGAAAATTCTACTAGTACAATAAATTCCTCTGTGTAATTTCATCACGTAGTCCTAATAATTTCTTTGTGATTGCTATTTTAAAGTCTGTTTATCCAAGTTTGACCTGTTTGAGTTTTTGAAGAGAATTTTTGTTATTTAAATATTCCTATCGTTACATGTACCACTGTCTTCTTCGTAGCGAATCATACTACCACAATATTCAATTCAATGAAGAACTAAGAAAGTTACCACATATTCAATGTCATCCGTTCATGTACCTAATGGAAAACTATGTATTCCTGTCTATGTCTACACTATAATTTTTGTTCAATTAGCTACAACAGTAATATGGTGAGTATTGTCTATTACGCGACAAAAGAAGCCCAAAAATAACTAAGCAGAATTTTTAGAAATAAGCTAATATTTTAATCATCAAATATAATGACATTTCACGGTATGTTGATAAAATATAAAGACTTGTCCGATTGTTTTCGAAAATTAATTCGAAAATATATTTATGTGCCATTCCAAAACTCATAAGATTTCATGATATTCATTTTAATTAAAACAAGGTATCTGGAATTAATCTATAATTCTCGTTAAAGGGGTGTAGGTTTAGACGGATAGGTTCCTATGAGTTAGCCAGCTTGTAAATCAATATTTTATTTTTCTAACAAGAAGGAAAGATTAAGTGTTACATGTAAGAGATGCTACTAAACTGTTTAAAAATAACATGCATTTTTAGTAGACCTATGGTATTAAATTGGCTTCATTTAGTAGAGATTTTTAAATTCCGTTATGTATTTTTAATGACGTGAAAATAGTGTGTTCGACTTTTGATCACAAAAAACCGAACTCACTTGAAACACACCCATTGTCTGTACTACAGCTTTTTTCACATTCGGTGTACAGACTATGTCAAAAGTAGATAAGAAATGATTCGATACAGCAATCAACGCGTCTTTAGGCCATCTTTGAAACCAATCCATTGTGCAACCAGAAATAAGACCAGGAAACTTCAAACTTCTATTACGAAACTTTTGTCCAACTGGTGAAAAGCATAATACAACATGTAGATTTTGTGTTATCCTACTTGAATAATATTCAGCTAATGTTTCATTAGTAATAGGTCGACGTGGAAATTCACGTTTCATAGGGCCAACTAGTTCTTGTAGAATTTCATCCATTTCATCCCGAGCAAATAAGTTGGCGATTTCACCAGAACTAAGCATATTATTTAAATATTCCAAGAATGACTCATCTTTGATTTCATTATCAGTAAATAAGAATGTTATCCCTTGTCCTTGGTGGCCGGCTGTCCGATAAAGATATTTCAAATCCTCAATAAGATTAGAGACATTATATGATCTGCAAAACAATAAGGAAAACTGTAATGTAAAAAAGGTTAGGTCACAAATGCAAGTGACTGGATATATTTCACTGAATGTTAGAACTAGATTTTTTCTAAGATTTATGGTACCTATAGATTACCTTGGAATTTATATCAGTAAGCTCAGTCATAAATGCTTCATGCTAAATAACAATTACTGAAGCGGTCAAATTAACAGATCAATTCACAAAAACTAATGGTTTTCCCTGAATTTGGGTACCTTGTAATTACCTCATGAAGTACTTTTGTCCATCAAATAGAAGTGGTTTGCATAAAAACTTGAGAAATGGCTACTGAAAACGTGTGGAAAAGCCCATAAGAGTAAAATACCTGAAAATTAAAACGAAAAATTGGCATCCACTGTACTATATAATCCTCAAAAAACTATCACAATAAATCTCTGGCTTGTTGATAAAGCTTTTGTAGAACTAGAAATGTAGTTACTAGAACCAGTAAAAAAACAAATTATTATAGTGTTTCTAACATGAAATAGTTTAAAATAAAAATTTATCTATTGCACCTACTAAAAATGTACTTGTTGAATGTGTCCTACTCACCCAGTTAGTTATGCTTATTACGAGTAATATCACTTCAAAGATTATTAACTACTTTGTTATTTCAACTGTCCACTTTTACTTAATATTAATCCCAGTTATCATTACGGTCTTCGTATATCTTACGATCAGTTGCTCTAATTCTTTACAAATGACTCAGATTGTAACAATTTATCGTTTCAGTTCTATTGACTGTTGATTCATGTTAACTTTATCTGTTCTTACTGATTCTCCTAAGAGGTATCTTAAACGCTTGTGCTACATTCGATGAATTTGATAACAAGAGGATCCATTAAAATTCATCACTTAGCAACCGTCTCTGAAAAAAAATCTGAATTTTATAGTGATAATGTGATTCTCTTCTACTTTGATTAAATAACGTATCAAGAACGCATCGTCAAGATGACTTAGATCTTTTGGTTTCAATGATAGAACGATAGAACAAAATATTCAAAGGTCAGATTGGTCATCTTATGTACTTAATTTACAAATGTGTTAATCCAATTCTTGTCAGACTGATTAGGTTTACAACCAACATTTTGAAGGTGGAGTTGTGAAGAATTTCCGGTAAAATTATACGATAATGACGACTTTGAGCGAGTTATTAACTAATCAAGAAATAATAATTATTCATAAAACGATTAAGAACGAAAAGTGATAAAACCTCTGTGGAATAATAGTTTACGTATAATTAATTGATCCTTACATCTTAAATTATTTATTGCTGTAGAAGAAAAAGTTACGTCTCCGCATGTGGAATTCAGTTAGTGTTGCGAATTAAGGTTATGACCATATCGTTTTCATCACCAAGTGACATCAGCTGTTATATAATCAGGCTTTGCCATTTGGTTGGCAAACTTGAGACTGTTGAAGATAAGATTTAGAGCTAATAATTAGATTAGGAGAATATTCTCTAACTACACAAACGCTCTTGACTATAGGTTGAATTACATCAAATATTCTAACATACAACATATGTAATTTAGCTTAAGCACCATGCCATATCCACTGTATGGTCGCACAGTCGGTATTTTTAATAATTTCAAGTATTTCACTAATCAAGTGTATCTTATTTCTACTGAGTTTCTAATAACATTCCAGTTATGTTTAACTAAGCTTTCAATTTCGTGCTAAAAACTATAAGGCTCTACCTTGATTTTGATTGGCGCACTCGAGGCCACTAACATAATATAATTTTATCGGTTGTCCATTTCAAAGTTAATTTGTATCACGCACTAACGACAGCTAACCTTTAGTATCTCAACATAGAGGTTAAAATAAATTATAGAATGTAAACCATAATATTGTGACTAAATAATATTGTAACTCAGAGTAATCGTACCCGACTGGAAGTTGTTGGATCTAGTTACTATGAGCGTCATGAGTGTGAACTATTGAGGGACCTCAAAAGTAGACAGGAGTTATCACTAATTGACCAGATGATATCAGTTCATGTTTGAAAGTCAAAAAAAGACACTTCTATCAATAGTAAACTTCAAATTCAAATGTTTTTTGTGAGGAAAATGAGTTCTAAAGTTAGCTGTAATCACTTGACATCAAGGAAACAATAAGTGAAAAATATCTAATTTAATAAATTACTGATTATTTATTTCTTACCGGCTTAATGTTATCTGAAAAGTTTTATAACCTGCTATAAATGAAGCTAAACGTGTAAGCGATTGTTTGCCTGAACCACCAACTCCAACCAACAATGCATGACCTTTAGGTGTTCTGATTACACGTGAAATTTTTACAAGATGTATCATAGCATCCTTGAAAAATACCAAATCTAATTTACTGCCACGTATTGCTTCATTGTACATTTGCATCAACATTTGTAAACGATTACTCAATTGTTCTAGACTTATGATTGGTTCGTATATTTTCGGTGCTTCAAAATCTGCATCATCTGTCTCTTCACCAGTTGCTTCTGCAGCATCCCTTAAGAAATCAACAAAGTACGGATCTGCCCAATCAGTTTGGTTTGCTAAGGCACCACATTCTTCAATTCCTGTAAAGAGAATATTATGCAAATTCAATAAACTGAATTATTCTGAACAACAATGATTCACTTTTTAAAGAAAAGAAAATTTGCATTGAAATCAAGTATATAACTATCGTACCACTGTTCTGTTATTGTTCCATCTTCAGTTACACGAAACTGGAACGCTAGGAAAAAGTAGTCTTATGTTTCGTTCTAGTTCAAGTGCATCTTGATAGTTTAATCTAACTTATTTACACCTGTTACTCTTTGAGGAGGAGAATAGGCCGCCCACTAAGATTCTCCGTCTGGTCTATCCTTCCCCATTGTTTTCATCTTTTTGATGTCTGCTTCCAATTCTAAGCGTTTTTGAAATTATTACAGACTAATTTAGGTTTTAGTAAACTCCTGAATATTGTTATTAAAATACCAAAAATAGTTAAATTAGAAATTAGGAACTCTGTTCTGATTTTTCCCGAAAACCCGATTTCAACTAAGTTTAATCCACAAATCTATTTACATTAAAGCCCTCATTATGTAGTGATGTCAGGTTCACGAATAATTTTGTCTGCTTGAAAAAGACATGTAAAATGTTCACAAATTTTATTTAGGGATTGCTATCTATGTAGGCCGTAACTTGAAGATGGTTTGGCAAGTGATTTTAGTTTTAGGTGAAATCAGATTTAATGTAGACATAAAACAGATAGTTATTGAACTTTGAATATTATGAGTTACATAGTTGCATAAAGATGACTCCGAAGTATGTATACCACCTGAATGTGTTAAATAATCGGGCTTAGTGGCACATTTAACAAATAATTGTTTAGATACAAGAACTGTCAAAAACCAGAGAATCGTGAACAGCTTTGCTTCGTATAAGTTGAATAACTCCTTAAAACGAAATGAAGGTAAAGACGTATCGCATAGTGAGTGGAGTTGAAAATATGGACCATTGAATTCCATGTCATTAAGGTATCATAATTTACTCAAGACCCAAGTGTCATGTGCTTGGTTGTTTTCAAGTTCATGAGTGTCAAACCCTAAGGAGTCACAAACCACGGTAAAACAGTTGTTAAGAAATCATCGATCATAATTTTCTCAATGAACGATATTAGGTTTTTTAAAAGCGCTTATATTTTCTGATTGTTAATATTTCGGAGTGAAATTGATCAGTCTCCATTAAAGCTATTTATGACAGTACGAGAATACAATTGATTATAGGCAACCTCTTACCATTTGAAAACCTTAGTGATCATTTAAACTCAGTAGTTTAGTGAATAATATCTTTGACATTTGAAGTGATAGGTACTAGGCTCCTATTTAAGCGTAAGCACCTTAATATTGGAATTACGGTACATCCGGCCAATTAGTCTCAAATAAGATGTTTATAGGTCAGTCCATTAGGGTACTGATAGAAAAATGATTTAAATTAAAATGACTGTCGGTTAGATTACCTTGTAAACTAATATCACTTTAATAAACATTTAAAATAAGGGGTTATTAAGACATATCTTATTAAGACAGTCTTTATCAATTAGTAGTCAAGAGTTAATATATATTAGGGTGAAAATTTGTTCGAAAGAAGTGCTTTCATATATAATCTAAATTTTGCTTACCGACTTGTTTTAATGTTTTGTCAAACCATTCACGATCACTATGTTCAGTGAAACGATCAGCAGTGACTCGAGTGCATTCATGCTGCCATAAAGCTAATAAAATAGATGGATTAGTGATAACATCTGACGTTGTGCGTAACATTCCTTGCCATATACGACTAACATCACGTAAATTAAATACATAATGAAATTTAGCTGGAGTTGGTAACATTTTCGCTTTAACACGTTGCCAAAGTTTTCTAGTCGCTGGAACTAAACATTGAACTGTTTTAATCACATCTGATGAAAAACCTCGTTCACTACAAAAATGCCCTAATCCTAATGAACCAAAAACTTTATCCATTGAAGCATTACTAGGTAGAGTACAATTGAATATATTGAATTGACGTTTAAGTCTTTGAGGTATATCATTACGACCTCCACCAGGATGAATCATAGCAGCAACAAACTATTTTTTAAAAGAACAAAAACAAACACAACAATTAATGCACTTTTTTAAACGTAAAATTGAATAAACTGATTCCAAAAATAAAAACATGATGTTCATACTACCATAAATGAGACCACTTTAAGAATTCTGAATAATAAATGACCCTGACAGACATTAATTATTTTGATCTGACTAATATTTGTAGGATTTGCATATGAAAGTGATACTCATGGATTTTAAAGATGCGGAACTGTGAAACTCAAACTTAGCAGCAAACTTAGCAAACATAGCAGATAAGATTGAAAAGCAATTAACAGATTCACTGAAAGAAATTAAACAACTAGGTTTTATTTCAGAAAAGATGTTCGAAATGTTGAAACCTACAGGAACGATGACACCAAGACTATATGGCCTACCAAAAATACACAAAAGTGGCTTACCCCTTCGACCAGTATTAGATATGAATAACTCAGCGTATCATACTATAGCAAAATGGTTGGTGCAAATTCTTAAACCATTATACAAAGAAATTGTCAAGCATAGTGTCAAGGATTCCTTTGAATTTGTTGAGAACATAAAAAATCCATCAGTCAAGAACAATTTCATGTTATCACTTGATGTATCATCTTTATTCACTAACATTCCACTACTAGAAACAGTTGATTTTATTTGCAATAACTAACAGAGAGACGCATAGTAACCCCGATTCCAGCATCCGCGATAAAACAGTTAATTCTTAGATGCATAATGAATGTACAATTCAGATTTGACAACGAATACTATAGACAGCTAGATGGGGTCGCCATGGGATCACCATTGGGCCCTCTACTGGCTGATATTTTCCTTGCAAACCTGGAAAACGGACCACTTAAAAGCATAATTAGCCATTTACCAACTTATTATCCCTATATAGACGACACCTTCATAGTACTAGAAAAAGAAAATGATAAGGACAATTTACTTTATACATTTAATAACGTCCATCCATCAATTAATTTTACATCAGATGAACAGAACGACAGCATATCATTTCTAGATGTCCAACTAAAAAGAAGAGCAGACGGAACTTTAAAAAGAGGGGTACACACGAAGTCTGCAGCAGGACAATACACTCATTTCTATAGTGCAGTTCCAATCAGATACAAAAGGAACTTGATAAAGATCTTGACACATCGGGCTAGAGTGATTTGCTTTGAAGACACCATTGAAGAAGAATTGAATAATATTCGGAACCTACTTAGTATGAATGGGTATCCCATGAAATTCATCGACAAACATATGATGGAGAAGAAAACAAGGACAAAGATACCCACCATCCATGAGAAGGTACTGTTCATAAAACTACAATTCATAAATGACACCATTGAAGAAATCTTGACTCAGAAACTAAGAAGAGCCGTACAAAAGACATTTAATGCTGCCAGATTAAATGCAATCTTCTACAACTATCCCAAAATAAGAACAGCCAACAAAGACAGACTGCCTGAACTCGCCAAATCTATGTGTATCTATCGTTTCAACTGCTCCTGTGGAGCCAGTTATTTTGGGCGTACAATTCGGCAAGTCCGTCATCGCATAACTGAACATCATCCGTCGTGGTTAAACAAAGGACAGGTAAAAGTGATTAAAAGTTCTATTCTCTCTCACTTGGTTAACACAGATCATCAAGTCGAATTGAATAAAGCTTTTAAGGTTATCTACAATATCCCATCTAATTTGCCACATGGTTTACGAGTGCGCCTCTTGCACATTGCGGAAGCCATCGCAATCCATGTTCAAAAACCTGACCTTTGCATTCAAAAGAGATTCGTACAACCACTTTCCCTGCCCTGGCCATCAGTTTAAGATTTCTTTCAAAAGAACTATTTTTCATACTTCTTCCACTTGTTTTTTTTAACTTTTGTAATTTTATTTCTGTTGCTTTTGAACTTAATAACTTCTCATCATTCATCTCTTGATTCTTACGTAACTACCATCCTATTGACCATCCGTTAAAATTCTGTTCCTTCTTTGTTACGCAACGTAGCAACTTCTTGATCACTTTGAATATTAATAATCCTCTTTCTTCCAAATATTCAATGTTAATTTAAATGTCATTATGTAATTATTACGTAACGTATCTACTCGATGAGTATTATATTATTATTGTAAAACTTATATATATTAGTGTAGAGCCATGATGAAAAACTCAAACTTGTTGAGACCTATAGCTTTATAGGTTTGAGGTAAGTTAAAGCTTCAATAAATATATCAAAGTGGTTAGACGATACTACCGATTGCTTAAAACACGCTGTAAAATTAGATTCACAGCCGATAGGAATACTTTAAAGATTATCTCAGTTTCGTTAGTCTATAGATAGATTAAGATGAGCATTCGAAAAATTTTTGTATTCAACGATATTATTCACTGTACAAGAGATATGCTCATATTTACATAACTGGGATAGAACATCAGTTTCTGAAGAGAAAATTTCATTTGATTAGGAAAACTGATTAAGAGAATATATTAAATAGTTAACTTTTAAAACAAGTACTTATTTCTCTTAGATCACTATTGTGTTGTCGAATTGTCTTAAATAGCGTAAAAGTGATTACATCATTGTTTCATTTAAATACGTTTACAATTCATAGTTTAAATAAATGTTCTAAATTTGGATAAATCAAATTGGTCAGAGTATCACTGGGTACAGCAGCATTATACTTCGTTTCCACGATGCATTTCGAATGATTTCGAAAAAACATTTCTCTGATCAACAACTAGGAAATTAAGGTATATAGACTAACTTGGACCGTTGGAAGATCATCCATAAAATCAAATCAATTTCGTTTCGTGTATAAGGAAAGAGAAAATATATCCACATCCTTTAAAAAAAACAATACAATTACATCGAATAGTTCAATCATACGAATATCAAAAATCGCCATTTGACCAAATTATTCATTCATTTAATGAAACTGATGTTGATTTGAATAAATTAGCTTATAATTTTGGACCATTTTCGGCGTACTATTTGCTAACTAGATCCCTAAATAGAAAAAGTGATCATCTAGTGTTTTAATAATTTTGATCAATGTTTTTGTTTTGGATAACAAATATAAAATAAAAGTCAGTTTGGATGCATTTAAATTATACCTGAATATCAATTATTGTTGTAAAATCACCAGGTTTATCTAAACTATAGAAACCGGACATTTCTATTAGTTGCCTAGTAATTTCATTAGTTATTTGATCACCCCATTCATTAATAATTGGCATATTGATATCATCAATGAATATTGTCATTTTCTTTCCAGCTGGTGGTCCAAATGTACTACCCATACGTTTGTCAACATAACTTTCAATGGTACGTTGAAACATATTTGGTGAAGTGGCACTTGAAAAGTTGACTGATTTAAATACATGCACTTCTGGATTGTATTTACCGCAGTAACCTTTGATAATAACCGTCTTTGCTGTACCCTAAAAATAGGCAATAAATTAGACGTATTTCATAGAGATGAACTTTAAAGACTTGCAAATAATTTTAACAAATTGTTTATGAATAAGAAAAGTTTTTGTACATGAACAGTTTATGGAGAAGTAAACAATAGTTGTTATTAAGGGCAAACAGATTTTTTATGAATAAAGAATCTATTCGAGTATTTTACATGTTATTCTGCAGACTACAAAAAGAAAGGTGTATAGACTAATCGTTTTCTTGAGCCATTACAACGGCAAGAATAAAATTTTAAGAGTCTCTGTACTGTTCTTATTTGGAGTGAGGTATCTGTTGTTTGAATCTATTGCCTAGGGTTGGTGTTTAGGGGTAGTATTAAATGGTGCGTTATAAACAATCTCTGTGGGAAGAATGGAGTACTTGGTAATTTTTTGTTCCATGATAACAAAACTAATTTTCCCTCATTATTTTGAACGTTCTGAGCAGAAAACAAAGGTAATTCTACAGCCCGGTTTAAGAAATATAAAATAACAGTCTTTATTTTAAATTGAGATCAAAAACTAAAGAAACTTTCTTCCATTTTGATTGACTCCTCCCTATATTACACTTTTATTTAATTGTCACCGACTGGATCCTATGGTACTTGAACTAGGACTTAAGTGTGCTTTTTTCAAGTTAATCTACTGTTTTATATTATAACAAATATATTTTCTTTGGTTGGATTATGTTTTGTTTAGATAAGCGTACTGGATTGTCATTTTGTGCCCACTAAAGACTAGCTTCAGGAGAAAATCTCCGGAGTCCTAGTAAGAAACTGTGACCACTGGGGCTAATCCATATTGGGCGGGAGGCAGTTACCTACCGAACACAATAGAAGGTGGTTGAGAAATATCATAGATTGATTGGAGTTAAATATTAACAAGGTTGGATTCCTATTTGATGGTCTAGAGTTTATGCATTCGTTCACAAAGCTGAGGGTTCTGAGTTTAATTCCTGCGACCAGGATTTCTAACTTTTTTGAACTCACAGGAGCGAAACATGAAGTACATATGGCATATCTGATCTATTGAAAAACTTATAAACATACGGATCGCCAGTAAAACCGCTTACAAATAAAGCAGTGGGACCACAGATAATAACATAATTTTATGACTCGGTGTCCAATACTCATATTGATAAACAAGTTCCCTATATCCAGGCCTTCAACAGGCTACTAGAAGAGAAGACTAAGAATTAAGGAGGAAGTTTATTTAGCTAAACTGAATCAGGCACAACGTGGTCTTCACATTTGCTGACTTTTGATTGGTCTACTGCATAACATGTCAACTAGAAATTTGTAATATTCTAAAAATGAAGTTCAAAGGAAAATGATTCATAAATTTTAGCTTACCTGTTCGCCTATCAACATGACTGGTTTACATTGTTTTGCAATTAAATCAAGTAAGAAATCTGTTCTTGTATTATCAACATTTGGTACAAGAATTCCAGTATATTCAGGTGTTTGATCATGTGGATATACATACAATGGTACCTTACTCTCCCAATGAGCCCAGTCACCTTGTTCGTTAACCATATATTCAAATATTGTATCATCTACCCCACATTTTGGCAGTGGTAATTTTCCGTTTCCCATTAAAAATTGTTGTAATTTTAAACGATCAGTTAATTCTAATAAAGCGCCTAATGACCACATTGCTGCAAATGTAATTAATCTTTCCATATGAAGTTGTTTAATTTCTTTCTCATCTAATCCTTGAAGTAAGCCTTCAAGTAGATTAATTGCTTGCCGAATGTAATTACATTGTAAAATCTATTAAATAAACGTAAAAAAAACAAACTTTTACATGTAAATGTAATAACTAATGACAAAATGATTCACATTATCAATGAACGTCAAAAATAAAATTAACACATTTTTTCAACACTTTAGTTAATTTCAGAAAGGGTTTTGTGAAGATTTTAGTCATTTCAATAGTTGAAATCATGAGTCAATTGAATTGGATTGGTTGAATTTAGACATTGACACCATCGAATTCCGGCTCAGTGGTCTAATGGTTGAGCGCTAGCGCGGGAGACTGACAGGTGATGGGTTGGAATCTTGCTAGGCGGCATCGTGGATGCTCACTTTAGTTAATTATTAATGAAACTTCAAGTAAACCATTCAATCTCCAATCTAAGTGTAACTGAATAATAATGTTCATTTCTCTGAACTCCCAGTTAACATTTCCTATTGTTTTTAATCTGTCATATGATACAAGCTAGTTTCAACATGACAAGGATTAGTGATTTGCTGATGACATACTTTTTACTGCTGTCTAGTCAGAATTATTCAATTATGCTTTAATCTTATTCAAAATCTTGATAATACGTTCACTGTTTGTTGTACATTTGTGACAGCGATCTATTGAGCTAAAATAAATCTTTTTAAATAATTAATGGGACTGATGATTAAGTGGGTTTCCATAATCTAGGATACACAATAAGATTTAGATAAGGATTTCTGAAAAGTACGAAATCATACCTTTTTTTAATGTAGAATAGATTTACAGTTATCGATAGGTGTCAACACAACAATACTAAAAGATCAATGAAAAGTACTTTTAGAAAAGAATATCTATCCCTTTATGAAAGTCGCCGTTCAAAATATACTTATGTTGACTGATACTAATGCGAAACACTACTGTTTGAAATCTAACATTATTTTAAATAAAAATATAATATATTAATTATTTTATACTTACTTCCATTTTTGGTTCCAAATTCTGAGTAACATAACGATAAGCATCTTCGAAGAATCCTTTGAAACTATTAAATATTAATTCAGTTACATTTGGTGAACGAGTTCGAAGCCATCCTATTAAGTAAGCAAAAAGGAGAAACTGCACGAAGAAGATACTTTGTTATAATCTTGAACTCTACAGAATGCTGTAAACTCATTTCAAAATTAAAATGACACGAAATGAGTTTGTATATAATACATTTAATTTTAGCACAAAATCATAGAGTTGTAGCAAACTTATTGCTTCATAAATTTCTTAAAATTCTGTCAATTGAGTTGAGGAATGTATTTCTTTCTTTATAAGAAAGATACTTTATACTTGCTTGCTTTAGTCCCAAGATAGTCGACTTATAATTTGCACTAAAGTATTCAGTAAATTAAAACACTAGTTTACGTTGAATAGAGGTACTAGCCTGATTTCATTTTGTGTGGAGTTTGTTAAACATTACTGAAAAATGTTAAATTCGCAAACAACAGTCGTTTAGTTGCGTTCAGTGTTCAAAGAATTTTCATCTAGTCTCAATCTGTGGTAAATAATAAACTCAAAACTATGAGTAAGGTTCACCAGTATTCTATCTCGATATGCAGAAGGAAACTCACCTTATTGGGAATTAGTATATCCGATTGCATTTTCTTCTTATCTGATTACTCTTTGTGTATCACTTTATACTTACTTACTTATCCCTACTAACCCTATTTTGATATTTTCCTCCAATTCCCTGAGCAATGGGTTCATCGGCCTGCCTCTCTTCAATATTCCATCAAGATTCCGAGTTGGCGCTTGCGTCGTGATGCAATTTGTTGAGTTCCTTAATATATGTTGTAATTCCTTTTGAGTGCATAACAATTTATGTTCATTATTGAGTTAGATTTTTAAGTATTTGCATAAACTCATGACACTTCATTTCCTTAATTGTACAACTGCTTCTCTTCAACATCTGTAACACCTGTTTCCAATTTGGGTGTACTCAGTGAATAATTTTTTTATTGCAAATGTTTCTGTGTTTTAATGTTCAATGTTCTTATTTTGATATATATATATATATATATATATATATATATATATATATATAATCCATCAGCTAATTTAATTTGAAATGATTTGAGTTATTTCGTTGTTCATACTTCTGACAGAAATTCGATCAGTCCTGGTTGGAATATGGACCGAAGATCTCAATAACAGGATAACCTGAATCACTTCAAATTAATATAAATCTTATACCAATTGCAACAGGGAGTGGAAACTGAACTCATTAGCTAAGTAGATGACACGCTGGTGTTTAAACCAAACAATAATGAGTTTCTGTCCCAGATTGAAAGTCCATTCTGGGATACATGCATATCTAACTAACGAGTCCAAAATAGGAAGAAGAAGCGCGTTCTGGATTACGCTGTTAGCCGCATTCCCTTTATCCTATATGAAAATTTAGTTTGAATTTACAGAAGTGGATATTCACAATATACAAATAATCATTAGTGAAAACTAGTACAAATGTATATAAGCCCAACAAAATAAACTTTGTACTAGTTTAGGTTTAAAAAAATGGGATTCGACTCACAGGAAACTCATTTAGTTTAAGACTTTCCAAAAACTTTTTGATTAAATTTCCAAGGTTCTTGTTCTCTTTACTCATTCAGATTTATAAACTACTTCACTTGTAATATTTATTAAATAAAAGTTCACTCATTTCAGTGACACTTTTATAATCTTACCTTTTAGTATAGGTTCCCATGTCATTATAGAACTTGACATAAAAATCATTCCATTTCTTGATACTGTAGCCGGTGATGCATTATCTATATTATGTACTTCAAACAAAATTTTTGCTGTTGGTGCCATCGGTATTCGATCACCATTAGCTAATGTTAATGTTTTATTATCATCTAATACAGAATTTAAATTTTCAATCCAAATAGCATCTACTGGTCCATCTAATATCAACCAGATATGTTCACCTTTTTTAACTTTATGTGTACGTCTCCATAAAGTGGAAAAAATACCATCAGTCCAATCATTTGTAGCTACATCTAATCTACCAAACATTTGTGGTGCTGTAATAGCCTTTGGATTCATACGCATTTCTCTATGTGGATCACCGATTTCAGTCATTGCTTTCATTAAAGAATTGATACACTTAGTTTTACCAGCACCTGATGGTCCAAGTGTCATAACACCATGTCTAACCCGTAATGTTTCATAAAGTTGTATACATTTTAATACCCAAGGTGGATGATAAATAAGACCAAGTTGATCAATCTGAAAATTATTAAGTAGAATGTATAGAGAAACACTGTTATGAATATTTGTTAAAATATGAACAAAAAGTGTGGCAGAAATTCTGAGCCAAATATATATGATAGCTCAGATCTAAAACATTTCTCCCATATAATCTCAATAAAGTTCCATAAATCCAAACAGTTCTCTCGATGAACGAGTCCGAGCATCTTTACGGGAATAATAAAAACCAAATAATGTCTAGAATAAATACTTACTCAACACTTCTTTAATTATGTTCAAATGTTAAATTTCTGTATAGTAAGAATGTATAAGAATCAGTATGTTGCTGCTATTCGAATTTAATATACTTATGAAGCGCATGGCTTCGTTTGTAGACACATTAGTTGTCCCGTTTATTATAAATTCCAAAATCTATTTGAATCGATAAGTCTCCGAAATCTGTATTGAATGCACAGATTTGAATTCCGCATTGTGACGTTAACTAAATACAAACATAATGAATAACTACTGATCTTTTACAGTTTTGATTTTGTCAGTTTATAGTTTTTTATGGTTGTAGAATGTTCATAAATCGCTCACTGATTTCGGCCCCAAAATGCCTTGGTACGGCCGACAGTGGGGAGAGTCCACTCTCTATCTCGAAGTGTCCTCACATGGCCACGCGTATACAGACACTGCCACGAAAGTTCTACTCACTGCCTTCTCGCGGCGAGAGTGTTGTTTATGAAATTTGGAGGACGTAGAGCGAATGTCCGACGCTTTAAACGGGTTGGTGGATACGGAGGGTCAACCTAAGGAAGTTGAAAAACTCTGATTCAAATCTATTGATGCACATGGGATCCAGGATCCTGAGGGAACAAATAGCGTATGAACCTATTGTTCATCACCTTCTACCATGAGACTGCATCTCCTAACATCGCTCCACTGTTTTGTGAATTAGACTTGTATGTCAAAGGCGAGGGAGTTTCCCCCTAAGAAAACCACCTGCTTCGGTTTGGGCGCTTGATCAGTATCCCAGCCCTTAGACAAATCGAATGTTTTTTGTGGCGCATATATATTTGGTGCTTCCGTGAACAAATGTTTATGTGTTCACATAAATGAACAAACTGATCTTAGCTAGACCAGGATCGAAAACCAGAAGGTACTGTACAATAGATCCGTTCTAGTACGAGATTCGGTAGCGTGTATTCGCGACAGGAATCGTGGTCCAGATAGCCGAGCACAACATCAAAATGACTGAAATCTAAATCGGTGAGGTGAATTAGGATGGAAATTTGTGCTTTCAAGGAAACAGAGTATTCAAGTCTAATCTGTTTAATGTGCATTATAAGCAATAAAACCATTGCTTTCTCAAGGGACTTTTATAAATTCATGACCAGATCAGTTTGTCAAAGCATACGTCTGAAATTATAAACAGTCTGAAACTTAACTCCTAGGTTTAGAAATATTTTTTTAGAATATGTTTTCCTTCATGTATACTGACCTATTTTATCGTTAACCTAGTGGACATTACACTTATCATTTCAGCTTCGTAATGAGTAATCGACATGTCGCCTACCTTATTAGTTTGCCTTTCCGTTTTGTTGAATGAAGTTCCCAAGATCTTTGCCTTCATCATTTAATTACTATTAAGTGACAGAGGGACCAGCAGCGTTACAGTATATTAACTACCGCGTAGACATTTTATTCATTCACTCGTGATTAAACTGTTCGACGCAATGTAAAATCTAAGCAGTAAGCTGACTTCCTAACATATGGTTCATATGTTCTGATGCAAACCTATAAATGATTTTTAAAATTTCGGTAGATATTTTAATGCTGCCGCTGTTAAAATGCAGATTAAACTAGTTTTTTATTATTATTGCCGCACAAAATATTTATGTGACTCTTTACATAAAGTTATCATGTAGAGAATATCTATCTCAGTGGTCATCGGGAAACAGTAGCCACACACACTTCGCTAATTAAAAGATTTGGGTGGTGAAAGGAAGGAGTTACGAACTCATGTTCAATTATACGATTCATACAATAAGTTATGTTCCCGAGTGTTAGATGAATCCATGTTTTATACAATCAACAATCTAGCCTTATATCATATAGGCTGTCAAGTATACTGTATCTTGATAAAAGGATTTAAAGAATTTTGCGGATTGATTTTACGATTAATTTAAAACAATTAATCCCTTTGATAAATTCCAATAATGGAATGAGAAGACGAAAGGTTATCAGGATTGTGTGATATATTTGCGTAATACATTTCGAGCGATCTGATCACAAATATACTTTACGAATAATATCTATTACTTAAAAGACACTGGAATCAATGAAGTTCCTTAGTTTTGAGTCCTTGTATGTCTAGATCAAATGCATATAGAAAAGCATAAGAAAACCTAGATAGACAGTGAGGATCTGGGGCTTCTTACTGGCTTTCAAATGATGTATGAGTACGTTATATCACTGGGTCATGAAATACGTTTTGAAACTTTATCATTATGTTCATCCTATCAAAGTTTTTTATGAGAATTCAAACAGTGGGACGTAAAAGTAATAGATTCTGTCGTACGGGAATAACTGAAAATTGGAAACTTGAAAAGGACATTTTTTAAAATGAAAAATATCACTTTTATGCACTGTTATTACCTTTTGTTAGCTGATGTAGCAGAACAAAGATTGGGGAAATCGTAATTCATGGAACCATTTTATAGATTAGTATTACACATTTGACTAATTAATCTGATTATTGTGTTTATATATTTTGCGTATCGTAAATTTTCGTTTAATACATTAACTATCACTATACCACTTATTATTTCTATTTCATTTCCAATCTATTATTCACAAGTGCTTTAGGCTTGTCGATGCACAATTGTGATTTCTCGTTTTAAGGCGTGATGTGGTTCGGTTTATTTACATAGGGACACATGTGTGCTTGAAATATGTATCGTGGAAGCTGGCCGCTAACTTGTCACATGACTCTAGGCAAAAGCTAGAAAAAGTTTGCCAATGGTGAACTTATAAGAATTTAGCTTGTGTCAGATTAAGGTTAACTGTGCAGGGCAGGCACATAACTGGTCAAGTGTAGGATGCTAGAAGTCGACATTATTGATTGATCACTTTTAAAAGTATTACAGTTCTATCTCAAATTATTGTAAAGACTATTTATATTCAATAAGAAATTTAACTTACTTGTTTTTCTAAAGAAGCTTCAACTTCTGGATAGCCTTTCTTATCCAACTGCATTCCAGGAAATAAATCCATAATTAATGACATAAATAATGGTTCATCTTCATCTACTAATTTACTTAAATTCATATCACGTAATACACGCATAACTATCATTGTTTCCGAATCTTGTGGATTAGCACGTTTAAATGCACCGAGTGTACGTAGAACTGATAAAATATTTCTTAAACCGAAATCATAATGAACCTATCAAATAGCAAAAAATTAGTCCGACAAATAAATAAATCAATAGTTCAAGTGTTAAAGATTTCGTCAATTCTGATCGTCTATCGGCACCATAATCTTAACTCAAAATTATTCCTGGAGTCAGAAAAACTGGCTACAAGCGCAGTTGGATGAGATATTTATAGATTCAGTTTCATACTTTACCATAGTCTTAACACAACCTTTTAGTTTTTGTTCGACATGTATTCGTCTCTTCCACTATCTTTTTTATATCTGCCTGTGGATAGTTACATTTCATATCACATTTTGCGAATGTCATTTCATTTGAACACTGGATACAAACTGGCGACATTAACGTAATATATCTGTGCAATTGTACGCATATATTACATTATAAGATTATATGATTTATTCGATATTGTAAAGAAAATGAGAATTGTGTATTAAATACGGTTGAAATTAATGACACTTTACAGGTAAATATTATATTTTATTCTAGAGTATACATGATGAAATTATATTTAATTATTATTGTACAGTTTAAGAAAATGCTATCCTCCGGTAAAACCATTTTTTAAAATTTCAATGGTTAAGATCATGGGTCAGTTGAAGCTAGACCACCATGGAAAACCTGGAAGAATTGAACGGCCGTCTCGTCCTATTGTGGGACCCCTCAGCAGTGCGCATCCACGACCTCGCCCCCTGCGAGGTTCGAACCCAGGACCTACTGGTTTCGTGCGCGAGCACTTAACCACTCGACCACTGAGCCGGCATCCAAGCTTCAACCGACTCATGATCCTAACCACTGGAATTACTATAATATCCACAAAACCCATCTGATATTAGTCTTTTAATTGTTTATTTGTTACTGTGCTTATGTTATAGGTAAAAACATGTCTATTGTAACTCTTCTAAGAAAAGTAATTTTCATTTGTTGCTGATTAGGTTAATTTATTTTTAGGCAAACTAGTAACTACGATCACTATAAACTCGTGTTTATTAAGAGTGAACTTCCCAATTTCGTCAGATTCATTGGCATGTACGGTGAATCCACCACTGATGTCCTATATTACGCGATCTTGGCATCATAGGTATTTCATCTGTGAAACAACTGACAAATGAGCAGCTTTAAATGTCTTTATTTTTATCTTATTTATACTTCCGTTTGTTCATATTCCAATTAATTATTAGTGAGATAATCTAAAAACAACTACACGTAACTGGAAAAAAACAAGTCCGGCGTCCGCAAGATTGATGATAATAAAAACTGTTTATTAAGTGTTTATTTCCCAGTATCATTTCTTCTTATATTCTTTATTTGAGTATAATTATGATTATCAGTACTTCATTCACAGCCTAATAATATTCATGAATATGTCTGTAAATACCTAAAGCTGCTTTTAATCATACAACAATATATCCCTCAAAATTAGTTGATGATGGTTATGAAAATTGTATTTGAAATATTCGCTTATACAAGCACATTTAAATGTTGCTTTTGAGTAGAGTAAGACTATGAAACTTGATCGACCAAATGGACTCTTTGGACATGTAAACAATGTCTATACCTCCAATTCATTTTAATTGGCATTGCAACACATTTCCTTGTTGCTCACTATCTGTGCATGGGTTCGAATTGATTAATTTCGTCACTCGTACTTTTATTTTGATAATAAACAAAACGATTATTATGTCTTGATCCAATTTGTTCGCTAAATTCTTAATTATAGTAATACGTTGGTATACAAGTTTTACATTTCGAATACTGTTGGCATTTCACATCAAATAACCTTAATTCTCGCTCTACATAGAACTATTTCTTGAACATGTTTGGACAACAGTTCAGCATTAACATGTTTTAAGTGTTATACATTGTTGGTAATCAACATTCTCATTATTAAACAGTTAGCCCACTGACACATGAGCAAAATACCATGGGTTAAAGCTGGCCACTTCGAGAACTGACTTTTCCAAATAAACAAACAGAGACAACTGTTTATGAGCCAACGATTAAAATCATCCAATGAAGATAAGGCATTACCCATGGAACTTAACCAATCAAATTGCAAAAAAAGCTGGGTAGGTTTACTGAAACAATGGCAACGTTAGTGGTTTGGGTCACATAGTCAGATCGAACCAATCACATGAGCAATTTTCGAAATAATAAAAGTGGATAGATTATATTCTCCCTTCACCTCACCTCACACGAAACTTGTCAGCCCCACTAGCGTCTCGTAGTCAGTAGTGCTTATCGACGTGTGATTGGCCAAGCCAGAGACAATAAGCTGTAGAGTAAATAACATCCAAATGAGGATTGGGAATTCAATTGGTGTCTGGACAGGTGGTAATGTTAAGCGGCTATTTTTAATGGGTATAACTAAATTCTCAGATATTAGCGACCAAGTATTGGCATATATTTTCGCTTCGTCGTAGCTACAATAGAGCATTGATTTCTAAATCTTATTCTTCATACGTAAGTATTTACATCTTCAGATAGACTTTATGAAGAAGTACTTTTTAAAAGGTCGAAATGATTTCGTAAATTGTATAATAAACACCGAATATTTCATAAATATCACATAATGTACGTTTTAGAAATTACCTCTATCTAAACCAGCAACTTACTTGTTTCGATAATTGTTCTTCACATAGTTTGTAAAGTGTATAGAATTTCTTAGATAAATCAACATTGTTCAAAAATCCACAAGCAGCTAATTTAACACGCATAATAATTGCTCGATCTGGTACCATCATAGCAACTGTACGAAAATTGATCTTTAAATTTTCCGGTAATTCTTGTCGACCAGCATAACCAGGATTCTAGATGGTAATGAATAAGCAGTGAAGAAATGAACCAAATCTGTTCAGATTTGTGACAGTTTTCTATTTCTTGTTAGGTCGGTAATAAATTCAATAATTATGTATACATAATGTGGATTCAAACTGTGAAGAGACTATTAAACTTGATGATAAGTGACGACTGACATAAAACCATGTTTCGGGTCTTCTCGCCAATTATCTTTAACGGCATGAAAATCATCTTTTCGTTGGAATGATTGTTCAAAGATCAACCAAGGATTTGATAAAGGTTGTGTTACTTTTTACACTGAATCGATTAGCAACTTCACCTCACTTTACAAAAATTCTGTAGGTAAAGTCATACGTAAGTGGTTACTCGTTGACATTTCAGCTGTAGTTATTTCAAGTGGGCAGTGATATTGTAGCGAACGAATACTTGGTGAAGAAAACCAATGTATTGTCTAGTGTAATTAAAGAGTTCTTGCATAAAATGTAAAAACCATACATTAAATACTTTGCAGATTTTCCTTTACACCCTTCAAGATCCTTTCAATTCTCAATTCCTTTTGTTCTATTTTTTTGATTCCTTCATTTCAATCTTTTTAACTTTTTTTGACAGGCATTCCACTTCTGACTGGTGTTACATACTACTTAGGTCAACAGACATACTTAGCATGTACCACAGTATTACTTGAGTTTCTTAGTCAAAAAATTTTTGTTGAAGTATAAAACCATAGGATATTATATACCACTGACTGAATATTATTGTTGGTACCTAGCAATAATCATGGTGAAATAAATCATCCAGAATTTATTTATTCTTCACACAAATAAATATTGTTAATGATTCTTCATATACCATTTGGTTAAACAGCATTTTATATAAAATATTTTATAGCAGGCAGATGACTGATAACTCCGCCTGTAGCTCTTCTAGAGTTACTGCCGGTCCCAAGCCCGGGTAAAGGAGGAGTGTTGGGCATGGGGTTAGCGTCCCCATCCCGTAGAAAACTAACTCGCTAAAAAAACGCTTACCAGAAAAAATAATTCAAACCATTTTAACTCTGCCCTGAGAGTTAGAAGGTCTTCATTCATCATTCATTTAGATGACTGATACATTTTCTAATTTAACATATGTAAGTTTCTGTTTACATGACACTCAATCGAATAATGAGAAGTAATATGGGGCATAACATTTCATAAACAGTTTGAGATAGACCCATATGAACTATTAAAGGTGCTTTAAAATGCAAATACATCCATAAAAGTGAAAAGGCCAGTTTCAGTTAACAAAATTTAATGGCATGAATCTTATCATCGGGACGTCTCTCAATTAATACAATCCTACAGCACGATATGATATGATTAGTACAAACATATTTGAGCATACTGAGTTTGTGACACCGATCAAAGTGGGCAAATAATTTAAATATTATCTAACCAGTCATTAAATAGCTAGGTTTATTAAATCAAGAGGTGATCGGCTTGCAATACGAAGATGAATATCCCAGATACAATTCTAATTAGAACATATTTTCAGATATCTCTGATATTGTTTCCAAATCCCGTAATTTATTTAGTCGGAAAACATCAAGTCTGACTACTTCTGATTGCTTTTTGTCTATTCTCTTAGAATAATAATATTTAAAGTTATCCAAGAATAATAGGTTGGAATAAAAATTACATATATATTGTAATTCCCTCCCTACTCAAAGTAGGTAACTTGAAATGTATATGTGTGATTGTTGTCCGTTTATATACAAGAGACTAAAGTATTAAAATGTACGACTGGATACGATTTTGTTTAAATGCTATTAGTGTGAATGAATTCTGACATCATTGGCTAAATACCGTTATATATTTCTGCATTCAATCACTTAGAAAATGGTATTATACTTATTGGCTAAGAGTTTTATTGGTTTGAAAACTTGAAATAAATGACCATCTGTCATTCTCGAAGTGATATTGGTTAATGAACGCGTTATATTCGTTGTCCTTCTAATCAATGACCGAGGTCAAATTAATTAGGTAAGAATTAGAATACAAACGTTCTTAAATATAGAATTCAGTAATTTAATTCATTAGCAAATGCAATAGCAATAAAAACAATTAAAATATAATTGGATCGAATGGACACAACTGGACTGGAATAATAGTAGTACTAGATTAGCAATAGAATCACACCTTTTTGTAATTGAATTTAATGTTTATTGTCATTGATACTTAGAAACATCAGAGATTGGATTGGAATATAAATAACATTGGCAATATCCAGCTACTGTGTCGTAGTGTAACCAATTTAACACTTTATTAGACTGGCTTGATCTGGGTTGTATTGAAATGAACTCAAATTGTCCTACAGTTTCAATTAGTCAGCATTTCTAAAGTATAGATCAGTAAAATAATTAATCACATAACTAAGTACAAGTTAACCAATACAACTGAACTAATGCATCAAACAGTCATATGCTGAGTTAGATACCGTATTTCAACGTGAATATACAATTATACTCATTTGAGACGTCTGTATTGAATCCCATAGAATGCTATCAAACTTAATTTTAAGTAAGAAAATTAATGTCACGACATGTAGTTGTCAGTTAAATTTGTAATACGATCCATAGCTAAGTTTACAGCAATGGATAATCAAGCCACAAAGATCAATATTACAGTTAATGAATATATGAAGTTAAACGTGCTTCAAATAAAAATTTAAATACTACAGCCTTTATTTTAAACAACAGAGATTTCAACTAACCATAGTCAAAAATATGCCGAATTCGGGGTCCATATCAACTGTATCACCATCAGTGAATATAAATTGTGGTTTTCTTTCTTTTTTACATGTTAGTACAATAGCAATTTGTTGCGCTGCCACAGACAGTACAGGTAATTCAATTCGATTGAATTCATCAAAACAACCCCACGAACCAGATTGTGCTAATCCTTTATAAATTCGACCCAAACCACGGTAATCCATTTGATCGGAACAATTGAATACAACTACATATTTACCAAGGCAGCGACCCATATCTTTGGTTGTTTCTGTTTTCCCAGTACCTGCCGGTCCAGCTGGTGCACCACCAAGTGACATACCAAGTGCTTGAGCTAAAGTAATGTAACACCTATACAAAAAAGAAGTTGCAGATATTGAATTACAATAAAATGAATATCAAACAAAATTTGACAGTTTTTATGATCCATCGGGCGAGATAAACTACAATCACACTGAAGATCATTTGAGATTTAAATGATTAACTGGTAATGTCTTGGGATTTGTATCTAGCTGGCGTAGGTTCAAACTCAAGAGGCAGCATCCGTTCGCTGGCGAATACAGGTATGGCTTTCTGAGGAGTGTCAATCAGTATGGGATCCAGATTTAGGGTTTTTTATCAACTGCTCCTGAGCACCTAAAATCCCTAAAATAGTGTAAAAATCAGGGATTTAAAAACCATGATCCCATTTAGATCAAAAAGACAATCCTACACTGTGATGTAGAAATACACAAAACAGGATATTAAAGAACAATAAGTATTGTTAAGTTCAACGTTGAAGGTTGAGGTCTATGAAAATGTGTCATGGAAATTAAAAGTAGGAGTACGTAAGAGAGTTGTAATTGATTCAGTAAGTCAGCACACACACATAGCATTTGTAAAGAACACATTCATTGACATTGATCGTTATAACCGTAAAACACTGTCAGACTGTAAAATTCTGTAGAAAAAGAAGAAACCAGATAAGATTTTCACCAAGTCAACTAATTTTCACTGTCTGTCATGTAATGTACATCAGCAATTATTAGTGATGTTAATTATCATTAAGTCTTCTAATGATAGGTATTCATTTGTTCAAAATAGATATTGAAATTAACTCCATATTTTAGGGTAAGGTGTCTATTCTTCACATGTCATATACTCCCTAAAATTCATACCTAAGATAGATAAATATAAAACCTTTTCGACTATTCAATTTTAGCCAGATAAAACTTCACATGTACTACTATATATCAATGTCCGTTTTCAACAACAGTTTCACAAATGCCATCAGCGGGACTAATTTGTGGACGATACTTGATAGACTGTGAAGTGACCTTGAGAATATTCACCTACTCACTAGGGTTAAAAGGTTATAAACTAGTGTAAAGAATTAGGATTTAGAGTTGAACGTTAGGGTTAAGAATTTGAGTTAGAGTTTTTATTATGAACTGACCTCCGCCATAATGTCAAATGATATTTAACCATATGCATGAATAGATTTCGCACCAACATCCAAGGCTTCTGGCTTCAATAAGCAATATCCCGTTAACTGAGTATTTAAGGCAGGCTAAATATCCTAGCAGAAATACGGATTTACTCGAAATTATTCAGAAGTCTGAACACCAGTTGTAGAGATAATTTATTGTTAGTGATTAATAAAAATCTGCAAGCGTACAGCAACCAAGCACACGGTGAAGCCAGGTAAAAATGATGCGCAGTGGACATGGCTGGTAAGCCAACTCCTTTTTTGCCAAGCGTTAATCAATATTTATAGGCAGACAAAATAAACTACAGACATATGGTGAGTCATGGACTATGAAATGTACACACATATACGCTCACATAAAAACAGTCAAGACTGATAAGCGAATAATTGACAAGGTCAAAATATGACTCAAGTAGAATGAATAGAATGGGATGTCCGAAAGCTAGAATAAGATATATTATGGACTTAAAGTAATAACTGACACTACAGGCTTACTATCCTAAATACGATTGGGTCGTCGATAAATTGTAGTTCCACCGTCACTTTAGTTAATGCTATTATATACCAGAAAAGTATCAAAAAATATTTTAAATTCATCCTTTTCATTCGAGATCTAACCTATTCATCATACCTGTCAGTTAATGGGGTAATAACCAATCGATCTGTACAACCTAGAAATTCATTTTGATAAATAAAATCTACATCAGTAATGCTAACGATGCATTGATCATTTTCTTCATTAAAATAAAATCTTGACTGTTTTAACCATTCAAAATCTTTAGGGGATTTGACACGCATTGTAACCTAGGATAGAGGAGAAACAAGTATAGTTTAAATGCATTATAAAGGAAGTTCGTCATTGTTCAAAATCTGAGTACAGTTAATTTATCTGATTAGAAAAATCTTATGCCAATAGACTTGATTTTGAAAGTTGCCTATTTTCACAAAGGTGAAAAAGTCAAATACTTCGAGGGTTGATAAAAAAGTGCTCAATAAACTCAATATCTGTTTGTAGATGCTATCAGAACTCATTCTACAGATCTAGGAAAAGTGAGCTGAGTAAAACCAATTTAGATATGTTTAAATACGTGGAAAGATTATGTGATTTTTAAAAAGTCGCCTGGTATATAAACTTTTACTCTATATGAGTTCCGGATTTTCACTTGTTGAAATGTTCTACGGAAACGCTGAAGTAATTATTTTGGTAAAGATAAATATATTCATGCATTTCCATAAGTTTTTTCTTTATAATTAAATCATTTTACCGATGCAAAATCAGCAGACTTGTACTTTCATTGTAGCTGGTTTATTGTAACTGTTAACCTACCAACAGTATTAAAATAAATATGTGAACAGACCAGTCTACGTAACGGCACAGCTATGAACTGTCTCACGAAAATTCCTAGATCTCTGCTATAATATCATCGATAAAGATTGTGAACCATTTTATCGTTTAAATTACAACACACAAAACAAACCACTCGTATACTATCTAAATATTCTTTTTCATTCATTATTAATTCAACAATAGTTTCTAAGAGCGGTGGATTTTATGTCATCATTTGTAGGTACACGCATTCTGTAATCAAATGCAATAAATTCATGAAACCTGTAGAATCAGTAACATAAGTTAAGTTGAACTAAGACTAATGATATTCAGGACAGAAAAATATTTGGTGGCTAAAAGAGATCAGCTCAAAGAGACATTTGTAATGTAAATATATAAAGTAGATAACTTACGAGATCATTGAAAATATCTCTTTGATGTACATGTATTGTAATTAATGTTTCATATTTTGTTCGATCAATTTTAGATAATTCTTGTGTTGTAACACCAATAAGTTCATTTAATATTTCTAAAAAGAAATAATTTGTTGTATTCATAATTTTTCGATCATTTTTGGCTTGTCTTAATGCTTCTTGTGCATCTCTTGTCCATAACATTTGTATACCAAGTAGACCAACTTGTGCTGGATATGAATTTTCAAATTCTAATAAGTTAAATTGTTGATCATTTATCGCAAAATATGCTGATCGAATAACTGAATGAAGTGAATTTCTTGATGTTTGTAATAATTCACCAAGCCATACTTCAACATTACCCTCAAAGAGAAAAATCAATTAATTAGAGTTGTAACTAGGAAATTATAACATAAAAATTGATTTCATTTATTTTATTAATATTGGAACTATCCCGTTTTTGATTAATTCACTGTAATCAGTATAAGTCGACGGGATAAACCAAACAATTATAAATTATCCCACTAACTTATTCAAAAATGTTTTAGTGAACGATTGTTTTCCGCAACTTCGTCATCAGGCTCTTCACTTATAAGTCCATTATTATTAAGTTATTGTACAAAAGCCAAAATAAAGCATGGTTAGGAAAATGTGTCATAAAACCTATTAACAATGACATCTTTTCTCACTTGGTAGATAGTGAACATTTTATTAAAATGGATGAAGCATACTCTGTTTTGTATTACGTTTCAAACAATCTGTCTAAAGGAGCTAGATTATGGCTTCTCTACATAGCTGGAGTTATCTGAATCAACTTCAGAAAACCTAACTTGTGTAGCCAAAAGAAGTATGTTCAGTCACTGTGTTTACCTTATTCCTAAACTGGATCACCAGACACCTGAACTAGATATTACAAATCTCTTATTCCATCAATTCCTTTTATGTTTATACCTTTGTTAATTTACACGTTTGTCTTTCTCAATTCACATGAATTTCTTACAATAATTACCTTGACAGCACCTCTCTTGTTGCATATTATGTTCACTCAATGTTTTTATTATTACCTCGATTAACAAGACAAAGTTCTTTTACTATGCACTTTATTGACATGATTTATTACTACTACATGGTGGTCTAACATTGATCGGTTTACGATCACAATTAAAACTGAACGATCTCCACAACCCTATACTACTATATTGACTGTAACTTGATATCTGACAACGAATCATCCTGAACATTTGTAAATGACTTTTTGAATTTAAAAATGACACAATGTTAAGGTATTTATGCAGTAACAGAAGTAAAATTTTATTATTTTCAACATATAACATTGTCTAATTCGTTAATGCATTCCTTATTTCGACCTATTTAAAATAACGCAATAATAATCGACTTAAAACTGTAGAGCATCATGACAACGTTATTGAAGACAACTGTTCTCTTAAGTATCCTTTGTTTTTGAACATCATAAATTAAATAAGAATTCGTACCTGTTGTTCAGGTAAGTGACTATGAACTCAGTAGCTAAGCAGACAACGCGATAACGTTTGAAGTGAAAGTACTGGGTTTGAATCCCAGAGTGAATACCATATCTGAGATGCAAATGCAACGGACTATCGGGTCTCGAATAGGAAAAAAAAATGCATACTAAGAGTCTCACTGTTAGCCACGTTTTACTAATTCTATATAGAAAGTGATTGTTTTGTTCATTTATGTAACGCGATAGTTGTTCAGTTGTTAGTTGTTTTCATCATTGAATTTAAGATTTTGCTGACTTTACGAAATCACTGATAACTTGTAAAATATATACATCTAGGAGTAAGTTTACTTTATTCGTAACAATTTGAATTATTGCAATTTTAATATTTTTAACTGATTTGTAAGAAGTCTCACTTGACGTATGTATACCCTGAACAGATTGTTTCGATATAGCCTTTGGATACAAACTTTAGTATATGGGCGTCTAAACTCATTAGTACAATGGGTAACGCGATAATGTTTGAAGTGATAAGTACTGTGTTTTAGTGTTAGTATGCCATACAGCTCTTTTCTCAGAGTAGCCAGTGGGTTCAAACTCACACAACCAATATCTTGTCTGAAGCATATAATTATAAACATGCTGTAAAAGAACTATTTATTGAAAATGACACAATATCCTGTATACAATTTAATTACATATAATAAATATATGACTTCAGAAGAAAATAACAATACTAGATGTATTATAGTAGTTTACAACATGTTATATCTAAAGAAAATAACATCAGGTTGTTTCCTCGGTTTGAATTGTGTTGTCTTATGTGATAGGGCCGTATTGACTGAAAAGCAGTTCTATAACGTCATTCTCTAACCGGATTATCGATTAGTTTACCTATATCACCAGTTAGACCAGTGAAATTTAATTTAACAATTGACACACCGATCAGTGAACAAAAACCAAGACAGTAACGTTTCTTTATCCTCGAGCTCTTTCTAGCTCAGTGGTTGATCAAATGATGAGGATAGAGAACAAGACAGTTCTATATTGTTCTCAATTCAATCATTACCCAAACACATACAGTGAAACCCTGACCACAAATCAACATAAGTAAATGATTTACGATGACGGCATTACTAGGCCATAAGTGGAAGAGAATTTAGTAATAGGTCTGTGATAAATTTACATTAACTCAATATAGATGTAACATATAACAAAAGCTTATGCATTATGGAAAGGCTTGGAAACAGGAGAAAACGAATAAATAAGACGATTTGGGCATTTAAATAATTAGAAAACAAAAATAAAAACAACAGATTTAAACAGAAGACAGTTCCAAAAGGTCAACTTGTTTAGTACTCTTCCCGTTATAATGCATAATTGTATTAACATAAATGCGATAGCAAACTGGTACTTACTTGTGCCATTACTTGATTCACTAATTGAATAGTTTCACCTTCTTGTGAGTTTACTGCCAATATTTTATCATAAACTTTATCATCGAATGTAACACTTTTAGTATTATCAAATACATTTAATAAATGTGCTTGAATTGTATGTGAATCAGATGCTTGGCCAAGTATTTCCAACAGAGCTGGATCAGAAACAAAAAAGAATCTTGGAAATATCAGACGTTTCTTTTCTAAATAACCCGTCAGTGATTTCTGGCATAATTCCAATTGTTCTAATAAATGTGGTAACAGTTGACTTAATGTATCATCCCCGGTACAACAGTTAACTACATTTGGTATTTCATGAGCTCTTTGAATAATACGTTGCCAACTTTTGTCGATATTTCCAAAACGTTTAGCTTCCTAGGGGAAAGATAATTTGTAAAAAAGCATATATTGGTATGACCAATTTGTAGAGACTGTGGCGTTTTCACAATTAAAATCACAACCACTTAAAACTTGGAAGCAGTAGGCGGCCTCTACGTCCTAGTGTGTAACTCTTCAGCAGTGAGCACCAACGACCCCGCGTATGGGAATCAAACCCGGGACGTTCAGCCTCGCGCGCAAACACCTAGCCTCTAGACCACTGAAACGGGACTCGACGGTGTTAATTTCTAACTTAAGCCAATACATGGTCTTGCGTGAGAGATCATGGATGAGAAGTCCCATGATGGAACGAAATGGCTGTTCAGTGCCTCCAGGTTTTCAATCATGGTTTAGCTAAGATCAGTTCGTGATTTATACTGTTAAAAAATGTGTATGTTTGTGTAGAGTGAAGTTATACCGATGTGTTTAATTACTAGCGGATAGAATCTTAGTAAAATGTTAGTTGGAATCCGAATACCTTAATGTAATTTACAATTGAATAAGGGACAGGAAATGACTAACTGCAACAAAGGGTAATCATCAAAGCCTTCTTTACACTGTCATTATTACATAATCAGATCGAGCAGATATTAAATTTATCAACAAATTGTTATGACAAGCGACCTTTAACTAATGATAATCAACTTTTCCACTCACTTGAGGTAATTGTTTAGCTATATCGCCACCAACAAATACAGCTTCTAAATATATCCATAAATTTTGTACTTGCAGCCAGTTGTCAATAATTTCACTAGTTGTAGTCAATTTTTGTACCCATTCTTGTATTTTAGGTTTAAATGGTGCATTATATCGATTTGATAGTAATGATCCTAATAACATTAGGGAATCTTCCATAAGAGTAACAACTTCATTGATACTATCACCTTTGAGTAATAATTCACCACGTGTTTTGAAGAGGCTGAATTGAAAATTCTGACTTGACCAATCATTCATAACAGTTTTAAGCTTAGCCTCAATATCTTTTTCCTTGACTGCTGAAATACAGATATCCTATAAACAAAGATAAAATTATATATTAATGTATATAGTTGTTGTCACAGACTGACTTAGATTAGATGTTGGAGACATGCGTCACAGGATGTCAACCCAGTGGTTTTATGGCTTTGACTGAATTAAGTATATAATTCAAACAGCCTTTATTTTGATTAGTTCAATGAAATTTGGAGATTTAAAAAGGTTATTAATCGTTAGTTTAATCAATGAAAGAAAAAATGTCGTCATTACCTACTCAAATAGAAATTAAAAGACAATATTTTTCTAGTTGTCTTGACTTTTTTTCTAAACCTTTGTAACCACGGTGTTCTTAAACCACCATCTCCAGTATAATACGAAATAAAAATTTTTGGGTTAACGATTTAGGAATCACTATTATATCAGTGATATCAACCCAATGAACTTAATGAATATCAGGCTGAGGTGTTTCGTAACAGTGTTCGAAATGTAATTCACTTAAAGCCTTTGGTTTACATATTATCACTATTATTTTTAGAAAACCTATGTTGGTGCAAACAACCATCATTTAGTATGGGGTTGTGGAGAGGGTCGAACTCCATTGAAATCTTGAGCCGATCAAAGTTAGAACACCGTTTAAAACCTAGAATTACTGAATGGCTTTTCCTGTAGGCCACTGAGCCGAGATTCGGTGGCGTACAATCGTAACTTAGCTGTAAACAACGATTGAATACAAAATAAAAGCAATTCATCTATGGTCCATCGCTTTAATATTCACAACGCTATGCGAATTAATATTGAAAACCCACTGAAGAGGTTCAATGTTTGTCTACTTTGATTCGCTAGCATTTAAACTGTAGCCATTTAGACCGTACGATTTTGATAGTGTGTAAAATATTGTTATGTGATTCGTGTTAGTATTTTTCCAGTTTAGGACGACAGTTTTTCTGAAGAATCCACGTTTTTCGTCCAAAAAATTGCGAGTGGAAATGAAAGAAGGAATCTAATTTGACCCAAAGCCAAACATAGATTTGTGCTACTATGAATGACGGTGGATTTCATCGGTCTCAACCACTACATTATTGAAATTGACTAGATCAGTGATACTAAAAATTCAATAATTATTCATATAAGACCATGGAAAGTTTTACTTCAGTATGAATGATTACCATAATTTATAATGGATATCTTACTGTAATGAATGAAGACTTAGGGTTAAACTTATCTAATGTGTATATGATATATGACAAACTGGTTTTTGACCAAGGCAATTCATTTATTTGATCATGAACTAGTGGTCAGGTTTATTATCAAATAATTCTTAACCTAACAATCTTGAACTTCAACACATAAGATGTATTTCAATGACTATCACGTAAATTTTTACTCCTTAGTATCTGTGTCTGAATAAACATTTAATGATTCATATTACTCCTCATTGATGCATACCCACGACCATGTCATAGATCAAAACTGCGACCTTCTTTTCAGTTAATGAAAATCAGAGATTTGGAAATCCTTGTTTTATAGCTACTAAGTTCAAAACATTAGAAATTCGGGAATAGTCCAGTGGTTCAAAATACTGCGATTATCAGTAACATTTTCATGTTCAATAAATATACCGTACACACTACATTCATTAATTTTTCCATCCATATAAGGACGTGTTCTGCATAAAGCAGCGTAATTCTCCTTAAAAATTTTATTCGAATCTTTAACATATTGAACACTAATATTTATTACCTGGACGTATCCACAACACATGGCTAACCACAGACATTGAAAATATCATATGATCCTTACAAAATCTAACTCCAAGTTCTATATACAAAGATCGATTGATATATGAAGCTATGAAGTTCGGAAGTCAGACTAAAGACTCTTTAGTATTCTCTGATTCATTGCAATTGTTATGTTTGCAATGAAAACTTCTTTTTGTTATATTCTATCATTCTCAAAGTATTTACCAAAATCAATATTAGTGATAGAATAACTCATTCAATATTTAACTCACTTCAATATCTTCTTTATATTTTAGTAATGGTGCTTCCATAATATTACGCAATAGAAAGTTGTCTGATTCTACATCAAATTTATGTTTTGTTAATTCTTCTATTCTTTCCCAATGTCTAGTAGCCATAGCTTTATTCGTCATCATTTCAAGTAATGGACATGTTTCATTAAAATCATCTATTGTTTTGCTAAGCTCTGTATATGCTTGCCATTCTTTAAGTGCTTTTGGTAATTTTCGACATCTAATAAATTAAGAGAAAATATTATATTTAGTGTAGATTTAGTGTTATGTAAGTTTTTCATATAATTTAATGTAATCAAATATAAATATGATTACAGATAGTTTTACTTATTGAATAGGAACTCTGTAAATAATTAGAGCTATGGTTTAGGGAAATCAAGCATGTTGTGAAAACTGAGACCATTCTTAATTTATGGTTTTTAATTAGACACCAGATTATAAGTTGATGACAGAACGTAGAGTATTTTATTTTCAAACTAGTGTATTCTTTATGATGTTAAGTTCTTTGAGTTGAATGATCTACCATTGACATTTTTGCTGTTATAAATGACAATTTCATTAACTCAAACCTTAAAGTAGTAAGGTTAATGACATTATTCAAAAATCCACAAGTTCATCTGCATAATGACTATGAAGTAAGTTTAATACAAACATATTTATAAAACTATCGATAAATTAAAGATGACGAGTTATAAAATGGAATTTCTCTTTTCTGAAGAAGTCCTAGCTTACTTCTTCTAGAAGCTGTTAGTACGTTAATGTCCAACGCAACAGTAATAGGTTAAGGAGTCTAAAAAATACAACACTTCAACCGGAACATAAAAATAAATCTACCATTAAAATTAATTACTTACCTATTTTGGAAGTCTAGCAATTGTTGATTGATTAAATCAATATCGACATCAGTCCATTGTATATCGTAATAACCACTGACAGTATCCAGTACAGAATCATATAACTGATATAATTTCTGTAATAAATTCAATTCTTTGCGTATTCTTTGTAAATCAGGATAATCTGTTATCGGTATGCCGAATAATTCTTCACCACCTGAATAAGTTTGATATTTACGCCATAAATCATCAAAACGTGCTTGATATAAACTTAAACGATCTGACGCTTCACGTGGGATGATACCAGGTTCCATTGGTCCACTAATTTATAAAGTGATGAAAATAATCCAAACCAAAAAATAATGCTGTTGTTTACTTGGAGTTTTGTTTTTTCAATGATGCACCAATCATTACGATCATTTAGGGTTGGTTTGAAGAAATGATTATTTGTTTCATAATGATAGTTGATTGAAATAGTTCTCATCTTAAACTAGTGTTAAGTATTTATGGTCTTATAACATATATATTTCACCTTAAAATTTACTGTGTTCTACTGCTAGACATGGCGCTACATTGAGACAGTTCACCCAAGATCAATTTAGAATCTTGAATATCAATAATTACAAACTCTTACTAATAGTATAGTGGTATGATGAAAACACTATTCAATACAATAAATCTTATTATGATAAAGGATTTTGTGCAATATTACAACAACTTGTAACTATTCAAAACATTATCAAAATACACTTGATAGTGGATATCTGCATCTGCAATTCAATCATTAGTCTTCTACATTTTCAGCTGTTTTAAAATATTTTGATTCATCAATATATAAGATGCTTGAATTCCATTATGTTTGTTTTAACTCAGAAGAAAGTCAGTCAGTCAGCTACAACGTAGGACCAGGCACATATATGCATCGGTCCAAGTTGCCATACCTCATTAACACAACAAGATGGACACCGGATTCATAAAAGTAGTTAATTCAGAGGTGGTAATATATAAAAGAAAGATTGCAATAAGGATATAGTACAGGGAGGAAGAATTAGTTCGTAGAAAGAAAGATATGAAGCAATTTTAATCTCTTAGTTTAAGGGAAAATAGAGAGTGTATACACCGACGCCATTGTGATCGATTCTGAGCCATGTCTCCAAGAGTCTCCAACCATTGGTTACGATAGTCACGCGGACCCCAATCAAGTAGTCTGCATCTACCAACATGGCTCAGACTAGAAGTTAGTGACTTCAAGCATTGATGCCACGTTTTGGTTTGGTCGCCCCTAACTTTCTTCCAACCATCTCCAATACCGGATAGCATTGTACGTCGTGGTAGTCGGTGTTCAGGCATACGTAACACGTGGCCCAACCATCTCAGTCGATAAAGATTCATGACCTCATCAACTGATTTATCATCATTCCCTAATACCCTAAACCTAACCTCAATATTACTTACCCGGTGATCCCAGCAGACGCCGGCAATATTTCTGAGGCATCTGTGATCAAACACTAGTAGCTTACGAGTGTCTTCTACTCTTAATGTCCATGTTTCGCTGTCGTAAAGTAGGACAGAACGGACTGCCACACAGTATACTCGTCCTTTTATTGATAAACGGATATCTCGCCTTCTCCATAGGTGACGTAAGTTGGCAAAAGCCAAACGAGCTTTTCGAATTCCTGCTGAGATTTCTCCAGACACCAACCCATTAGGGCTGATCAGACTTCCAAGATAAGTGAAGTTTTCAAAGCGTTTGACTACCTGACTCTCTATCCTTAGTTCAGGTGTTGACGCAGACCAGTCCTGAAGCAACAACCGTTGTTGGTACCTTGATGTGGTGATTGGGCTTGCCTATCGTGATGAAGCAACCGAGCTATACTGGCTGGAACTACTGTTCCTCAAGGTCCTACCATGCCAGACAGGTCGGTTGAAGAGTGGTAAGACTAAAAGCAACAAACCCAAGGTCCGAAGGCGAAGTCGTACTGCTGACTGTACAGAGGTGTGACAGTATTAAGGTGTTTCCTTCAGACAACCAGAATGACAGCGATGCTGCCTTCCCACAAGAAGGGGTGGAGTTAGAAAAGGTCGACCCTAAAAATGCACACTTCGCCTTGTCCCACGGATATCCGTCTCCGGCGGTAAGGTCCCAAAAAGTACAGAGCTAACACGAAAATTGCCCATAAAAAGGTCGTGTGTGACCGACCTCAAGCAGTTGTCCATTGGGCACTGGGGTCACGGTCCCAGGTCACTAAGACCACCTCTAAGACAATTCCTTTTTCAGATACCTCCAGAACAACCCTTCCTCGGTGTGGGCGACCGGGAAGTGATAACCGCACTCATACCTCTAACAGCACTCGAGACCACTGTATTCATAATCAACCTCCGTCTTCACTTTCTATTATTCCTCCTACATTGAATTTCGCCTCTAAACTTCCTTTTTCGGCTTCCCCATCAAATGTCACCATAGCCAACGATTCTAGTGCTCAAAACACTGTCCCAGGTCTACTGAAACCTCGCTCCAAACTACACATTGGAGCCTTCAACGTACGAACCCTATGTCAAATCGGTCAACTCAAAAGAAAAAACGAAAATGAATATTTATCAAGAACTGCAGTATTTTTGTTTAAGTTTCCCAGTATTGTCGCAATTCATAACCTATTAGCGTCTCATTATATACATTCAGGAATAATAATTCAGTTTGAACATTACTAAGACAGGTATGCTAATTAGACAGTTAGAAAATAGGTGTCTTAAACGTTTAGACTGGCCACCATAACCTCTGAACAAGTTAGCGACTAACTGAATTCAGTAGCTCTGTAAATTTTGTTTGAGTTCAACAGTGGATGTCAACACAGAAAAATAAAGTATCCTGTTAACGAGTCCCGAACAGGGTGAAACGTGCATCTTGGATTCTACAACATTTCATACGTCAAATATACACTACCGTTTTTAGAAAAATCTAGTTTTTAGCTGAACTATTTTCAAAACACAATACGTTAATTATCTGAAGTCAGAATTCAATCTATTCAAAATCTAATCCTTATAGAATTTATCGGATTTCAAAAACATGATAATATTATACATTGATACTAATAAATTGGACATACGCGGTATCATATTCACTGGTAAATACATTCAGATCTTGTTTGTATATTTCCACTCCATTAATTAATTCATTTTTAAACGTTGGTTGAATTTCCAAAAGATGATCTTGTACTTGTTGACTCTGTATTTTTAGTTTAGAGAAACCATAAGATAATGCATCTACACGTTCTGCATTACCATCATTAAAATATAATTCATAACGATTTAATAAAGCATATGATTCTTCAATAGGTCCTATAGTCATATCGAATTGAATTTCTGATGCTCTTAAATCAGATAAAGCAGCCATTTGTTCTCGAACATCATCCAAATCTTTTATTGGTCGACTAAGACGTTTCGAAAGATTATCAAATTGTTCAAGAATTTTATTCATTTCTGTTGCACAACGTTGATTCAATGCTTGACCGTAGACACGACGCCAATTTTGACATTCTCGAATTAAATTATCTTTTAAGTCATTACTTTTAAAGACTAGTGAACCAACTTGAGTTGATGATGGAATTAATTCAATTAACTTTTCCATTTTCTAGATTGAAGAAATAAATCAGAGAATCAGGAAAACAAAGCAAGTGTAGTTAACCAATAATTACTTCTTAATCTCATGCTACTAATGAGTAGTTTGTAACTTTTAACATGAATTTATTCCTTTAGATTGAATCACAGAAACAACGCTTAAGTAACCAATCAAAAAACAAACATTAAGTTGATACTATTTGAGAGCTATTATGTCATATATTAGGAAACAGCGAAAATTGGCGATAATGTGATTCATGGTTCGTATAGGTTAAATTAAAATAATTCTATCCAGAATCCTATATACCGATTTTTGGGAATTTCACGGATCTTTACAGTCTTGGAAAGATTGGATTATTATTGAAGAGCATAATTTTAATTGAATCGTCTAGAGAGATCTCTCTATTCTCTTCAGACTCAAACACCCGGCGCCAAGTGGATAACTTGATCAATAGACAAAATGTGAAATAAACCCGGTTGTCATAGGTTACATAATTTCTATTTATTCTATACGTACCTTAGTTAGATGATATTTTGCAATTTGTCTTGGAGTGTTTACCATAATAAATTAATATGGAAATGGATTTTTCTTCCAAGTTAATGCACTGGAGTCATTCCATGACCTTTTCAAAGTCAATAGTTTAAATTTAGAGGAAACTAATTACTACGATTATTTTAGTACCTAAATTAGAATACAAGAACTCTGTAAATAAATATCAATATTCCTTCAAAAGGTATGGCTAAACTCAAGAGATTAGACCTGGGATCTTGATTAAAAGGTTTCATGAACTCCTAAAATGTCTGGATTGGAATCCAGTTGTCAATATTTATAACTTGAAAATTCGCGATATCAAATGACTATCTTCTTACTCCATCAGTGATATCTGTCGTACTCTTTGGGCACAATCATTTGATTTAAACTCAAAAAGTTTAAGATATCGTTCTCGCCTAAAAATCTGACGCTACTGGGATAAATCTTTTTATATTCAACTGCGAGTACACATTCCTATAGGGTCCCATACTACAAAATGATATATCATGTACATTTTAATTGGTTGAAAATCTGTTTCACAATTATCTGAAACCTTGATGTGTATTAATAAAAATATTATGAAAATCTAGAAGCTTCATAGAATAGTATTAAAATGACGTTGATAATTAGGTAATTTCTTTGATAAAAAATCACATGAAACAATTGTTTGAGTTCAAGAAGTCTTGCATTTTTTTCATGAACAAAAAAACTGATTAACTTGTTACCAGTCAGTTGTATAACAGAAGTAAGCTTTACCGTAAGACTGAATTTTACTGACAGCCTACGTATTAATAAATCAAATGACAGTGTTTAGTTATTAAGCAGTTAACAATGAAAAGTCATTATATTACCGTAGATAAATAGTTTTGACAGAATTAGTGAATAATTTTATGCACACTGCTGAGGAGTCTCACAATAGGACGAAACGGCCGTCCAGTGCTTCCAGGTTTTCCATTGTGGTCTAGCTTCAACTGACTCATGATCTCAACCATTGGAATAATTATATGTTGAATTGTTTATTAAAATTAGTGAAAAGAGGGTTAGAGTTAGGTGTTACGATTAGTAGTGGTTAGAGTGTGAGAATACTCGTTATTCACAAATACACTCTTGACATCTCCCTGAGTGATACATCAGGTACGCTCAAATGCATTCAGTATAAGAAGCAGGTATTTAACATAATTTTCTTTACACAACGAGTTAAATTCACTATGTGGTTGCTCAAATGATATTTTTATTATTCTTAAGTGTATTATGAATTAGACAGACAATTTTTACTTGGTCGGTTAATTAACCCGTTTTTCAGATGCAGATTCGTTTACTGAGCTTCAAGACAAACTTTAATTGTAAGATCTGGTAATGTTACTCAGTTTCACAAGCTTCAGTAGATGGAATGGGGTTCGGACCTATGACGTGGTAGCTAAAAGTGGAACATATTAACCACTGAATCACTGTTCCTATGAATGGAACTGTAAAACAATAGATACTTTATTTCATACTGTTCATAAGTTAATAACGTACAGAGTAGTAATTCATTTGTCCATTAATTTCTGATAAAATTGGTTCAGTCTTCATGAACTCTGAAACAACAGTTTGAGGATCCTGGGGGAAAAACAAGAGAAAAGTGAATAAACATCACTTATGATAGAACACGAAGAAGTTCATTTATTACTCCAGTTAATATTTTTTTACTGTTATTTGTTAATAGAATGAATTATGAATTTATTTTTTCATCGTAGTCACACTAGTTTTTCATAAACAATGTAAGATATGGTATCGGTACAAATTGACACATTTCGTGTCAGAACAGTTAGAGGAAATTAATAAGACTCGAAGTAACTGAGTGAGAAAATCGATTAATACGATGACGAAAACTAAGAGTGTAAGGTATGCTTTAAACAGAATGAATAAAGCTGAAGAAAACAAAGTACGAAATTACATTAAAATCTAAGATTTGCAGGAATGAATGTGCCCATCTAACTTTCACAATTTTCGAGCAATAAGACATATGGTGGACTATCATTGATGATTGGGTCATACCCTAACACAGATGTCCACATTTCCTTCACTGATTAATCTAAAAGTCAATAACTTCGTGAACCTGTGCTGGACCATAATCTGATCGACATCCCTCTCTTTTCGTTCTACTCCAATGTCATCTACCATTGGACAGGCGGTCACTGAGCGTGAGTGATTCATTCGTTACGTACTACAATCGGTGGAGATTAACAGACATGTCAACAAGGTTATAATGTTTACTGGAAACTTTACTCCTAGCCTAAACAGTACCACTTTGATAGCTGCACGAAACATGACCGATAGCTCAAACGCACTTACATGCACTTACTTTCGGCACACGTATGACTTCTACTTTTATCGACTTTATTTCATGATCGTAAAGAAACACAAACGTCATGTAGTAAACGAACGACCTTACGGTACTTTTATTCAAAGCATAAATTCTGATTTTATTAAACGAGTCGAATAGAACTTAGTGATGATTCACAGTGTATTTATAACTATGAATTATAATTTATGTAAATCTTCTACATGTATCTTAGAGTAATTTACAAACCTACTCCTTAAAAGACTCTACTCGAGCAATTTGAGTTTTGATACACTTGTTTATAATGAAACATGTAGAGAGATTCGGTGAAGAGAACGTACAATCTGATATTATAATGTGTATTCATATAAAGTAATTTGTACAAGTTAATGAAATTAGAATAAAGCATTGTGATCTATAAACCGATTCACTAGATGAGTTTTGATCTCCGTTACCTTTAAAAGCCAGCACAATGTACTCCCTATCAATAGGTAAAGACGTAAACTTCTATCCCACGAATTTGCTAATATATTTTTTAAAAACTATTCGACTTTACTTGTTTTACCTACACCTTGTTGTTAGTCAAGTTTACTTTTACCTAAGTTTTCAAAAACATCAGGATAGTTCAAAGAAACACATGAATACAGTCCAAATTTAATCAGTTTAAGGCTCATTACTTGATTGTTTAGTGTTAAAATAATACTAAATACTAACTAGTGAACAACAAAAGATCACTGAATTTTGTTTGATGATAACATTGCATGTCATTATTAAGTGAATATCAAGTTTCCGCAGTAATCACCACAGATTGACCTTAAATGTGGCATTGTCAGAACAAGGTTTTACTTGACAGATGTTTGGTCGTAGCATGCAAGTCCTCAGCACTGTTCACCACCAACTTAATCACGAATCGAACCAAGGACCTTCAGACTTTACAAAGAAAAACCGTCATGAGAATTATTGGCTGATTTCCAATTATATCAGTTTCAACTCAGTCAATTTGTGACGCAGCGAGAAGATCACCCGACGTCAATTATGACAACTGTTTCTATTTAAATACTAGTTGAAACCTCTGTCTAATGCATCATAGTTTTCCATGATATTCAAATAAATAACTGTGTACAAGGGATACAAGCTACAAGTTAAAGCGATCTCCACAAACGTTCCTTAAATAAATACCAATTTTATGAATGGAAAAAATCAGTTATAGCAGAGGAAATATTGAACACTGATTCCATGAATTTTTGATACATACCGCCCAGGCATTCAGTTAGATCAATTTAGTTTAATTATGAGTTGTAAGTATTAGGAAAATAAACTTGGTTTCATTCTTCAACTAATGTTTTGTTGACAAGGGAGAATGAACTTTCTCCAACAAATGTTCAATGTCCACTTCATTGCAATTTATCTGGAGTTTCTTCCTGTCCGATTTCCTTTAGTATATCACCTAATATTACTTAATAAAATAAATAACTTGATCTTAAATCCTTTTTGAACATATAGCGTGTGATGGATCTTTGTTGTTGTGCCGTATGGCCAAGTATTCACACGAATTTTTTAAAATCCAAATTATTTATTGTCGTAATCGGATCTGTTTACCACTTATAACCGTTACTTACGGTTCTTGTGGAGTCATTGAACATCTATTTAACTGTGATAGTTTTCATTTTTCGTGATCGTAGTTCTTTTTTCGGTTATTGTCTTTCATTGTGACTGTCATACGGCTAGATGTTATAACACTTATAGTATGTTTTGTAAATAATCCCCACATAACTATTTTTAGGATCATGTTTTCTTACATCATATATTAAAGTGGTAGACACTACAGATACCTAATGAACTAAAGTTTATTAATGTATTGTTCATATTCTCATAATCGTACTGTGTTTCAGATAAATACAAAATTTAGGTTTCGGGATTGTATGAATATCTCAGTCATATGGCTAGAACTCTTGTTAGAACTAACAGTAAGTATATAAATTCATAAATGAACAAAAAAACAAGCAACAACTAACTGTCGTCCACAAATCTGAGAATTCATTGTATGCATTGGAGACTTTTTGGATTTCTTCTTTAAATGCATTAAATATCGTATTTAACTGAATTGAAATTTTAACTACATCTTTATGTTCGGCGATAATACGATGTAATGGTTTTATCGGTGAAGAAGACAGTTTAGCTTCTTCTCCTTGCAGTTCAGCTAACTGGTCAAGTTCCTGATAAAAAGAAAACGATATTTAGGAAAATGAATACCCATATTTAAAGGTTTGTTATGAGAGTATGAATAAAGAAAGATCATGGGTTCGAGCGCGAGAATGAATATTCTGGGTATGATCCGTGGTAGTTGGGTCATTTATGAGCACTGTTAAGTAGATCTGTACAAGAAAAAAACAATCGTTTCCTGTCTTCTGGTTTTCAATGGTGGTCCAACTGAGACCAATCCGAGATGTAAACCATGAAAATAAAGATGAGCTAAAGTATCATTATTGATGAAATATAATCTGAATTATATAGTTTCAATAAATTGTGTGTGTATAGTTTCAAAGTGCATCAGTGAAGTCTTGTAAATTTGGAGTATAAAACCAATGGATATAAAGCAGACTTATAAGCAGTCAGATGGTCTAAATAACGTAACTGGCTCATTCAAAAGTTTAAGTACCAGCAAGACTTTTATAAACATATGTGAATAAATACTTATTTATTGTATTTGATTTAACCAACACTAGTTCCACCAAATGATTTAAATTTCAGTAACTAAAAGAATAATCAGTGATTATAGTTCTACGAGTTCACAGAATTTCCTGTTACTTTTAGGTACGGAATTTTTGGATAATATGAGATTTCGCTACCTCTCATCACGGTAAATTCTATACAAAGAGTCCAGAACATTCGTAGCACTGAACTAGTGAGAAATCTCCTAGTTTGTTAAGTTAATAGTCATTAAACAACTAGAACCCCGTTATTTCATAACCATGGTATTTTCAATTTAACTTTTACAGACTATTTGTTTTTCCAAAGATGGATGGTGGCTAGCACTGGAATCCAGGATGCGCGTTTCACCCGATAAAAGACTGATCAATGAAAATATTCAAAACTCATTTTTAAAAACCGTGAAATTTTAAAAATCTTGAGTTAATTAATAGTCTGCAGAGTTAGATGAGAATGCTTTGCTTAAACGAAGTGGACAAAAGTTTACGTTCATGGTTGAAGTGTAATCAAACATCTCTAGAAAGATTATATTCCTTGTGAACTTTCTGAGAAACAGTCTGTTAACAAACGTTTCAGTTGTGTTCGTGATTACATTTTCATATATCTAAAACGTTGACATGATATTCGTGTAGAGTATACTTGATAGCAAGTTTTCGAAGTTAAAACATTCATGACTCAACGACTAGTAAAACATACTATATGGTCTAAACCTGAGTTATAATTAAATTCATCCAATCATGCTTGGATTATGGCCATTGTGCTGAACTTTAGTGTTATATGTTTAAAACACAATTAGTAGGAGGTCCTAGTTTGTTCTAGAATTGTTGATGGAATCGATGAACCTTGTAATTGTTAATCTCTGTATAATCATGCTAGTAAGTAAACAGATAATGATGGTGTTCTTTCTTGTGCCAAATTCCAAAGCCGATATTACAGATTAGTAGTTTTACTGAAATCTGGAAAGTTTACAGAAGAAATTGGTATTGAATATAACCTTTGGGAAAGCAAATAATTCACATAGTTTTGTGTTTAATCGTTCCCTGATGTTATCTGCTGATTCTGATAAATCTGAGTTTTCTAATATACCAATTTAAGTAAATTTTCTATGAACACAGTAATTAATAGACATAAATATTATAAAATATGGCTAATTTCATTTTATTTGTTTTGATTGTTTGAATAATCTAACTGATATTTAAAACTAAAATTGATCAGTCTCTATTTTCATGTGTGGATCTTGCCATGATATTGTCATTAAACGATAAGCATTTTTTCGTCAAGATAGATGGTGGTTAGGATTTTACTGCTGGCCATCATTAGTCTCTATTTAAAAATATAGTGAATTTTTTAATTTATCAAATTGTATGACTTGGTGATATAATCAACTGGTTACCTTTTGTTGTTGTTTCTGTGTAAGTATCATATGTTGCCATGGTTGAACATTTTGTGTCATTTTTAATATAATTGACATTGATTTATGCAAACCAGTTTGTAATTCATCCAGCGACGGCTGCATTACAACATTTGGTATGGATAAAATGAGATTGACTTTAAACAATGGTGTTTTTCGCTCTTCTTTCCCAGTTGCATGCTCCTGGTGAAACTTTAATGTCATCGGTTGAATTCGTAATTTTAACGAATCTAATGTATTTCGAGTGCCTTGATCAAACCGAAAAAAAAACAGAACAAGGATATAAATTTTTCAAAAAGATTATCGTTAATTCATTATATTAGCTGGCCATTTAGTAAACGAATGTAATAGTTCTGAATGTCAGGTTATAAAACAAGGGAACGATCAACCAGACGGATCTAAATACTTGATAAGTCACCTTTCTAAAGTATTTCATTCCTAACTATAAATATATTTTTGTCATATTCCAATGAGTAAAAAGTTTTATTTCAGACATTTCGTGACTTAATGTAAGCCACTTCTTCATGGTAAAATAACCAACATTAAACTAACACTAACAAAAATATATTTATTATTAACTCTCTACCCAATGCTCAGTTTGCTGGAAACTATCAAGTCCATCCTTGGTATGGATACCTATTTCACTCTTATTCGGCGACTCCGTGAACTTGTTATATCTTATTTAATTGTAATTCCTGAGTCTTTTATGACCGGTGATTTGTGTTGTTACAGTGAACCGAAAGTTGAAATAATTTTCAAAGCGACTGGATAATATTAGTAATCTGTTGATCCAATATCTCATGGTCTAGTCAAGTCATTGAAATTAACCTAGAACGCGAACTAGAATTCAAACCCTCTATACTCCATACAGTTAAATGACTTATCAATAATTTGATCCTATATAACAATTTCATGTTATCAATTATAATAAAGAAGTATTTGATATTTCGATAGCTTCGCAAATAAGATTTGCTTGACTTGTGGAAATCTCAAAAGAAGTAAGGAAAAAACTCTCCCAACAGTAATTAGATGTCATTTATTTTCATCCACAAACGTCTAAGATCAGGTTTTACTATTGTGACACTTTTCTCATAGCATGTATATGTGTGATACATAAATGCTATTGTAGTTGTCTGTCGTTCCGTCAATGAACAGAAGTAAACTCAAATAGTCCAAACTTTATACTGGCGAGACCGAAGGTCCTGGGTTCGGGTCATGTAGACGTGGTTGGGGGAAATACTGCCATGGAGTTCCATACCGGAACGAAAGAGCCGTCTAGTACCCCCAGATTTTCAATGTTGGTGTAACATTGGACGGTTCATGACCATAATTAGAACTCAACGGTTTCCACAACCCCCGTACTGAAAATGAAACTCATCAAAGATAAATATTATTATTTAAAAAGTTTGAATTAAACGCTTATTTAATCACATTCATTTATTGATATCATTTACAGTGAGAACGTAAGTCATTTAATGTAATTTTGGCTGAAAACTGTACATATGTGTCAAGTGAATAAATGAGACTTTTTGCTAAAGTTATAATTACTTGCTTTGTTTATTGATAAATTAAAAGTTGCTGGGAATCTACTGAGGTTAACAAACACTATATATTGATAGAAAAATAACTATCGGATTGCGAATTGTTATGCTTATTAGGAGCAGTTGAAGATGAATTCAAATATGACAATTGATTGAAAAAATAAAGGTACAGCGTTGCTAATATCCATAACAAAGAAAATAAGAATAGAAACCGATGTTAAAGATAATATAGACAATCGTACCATACATGAGTTCTTTATAAGTTTACTGAAAAATATTCAGAAGTTAGGAGTGTTTTAAAACTTATTTATACCTTCACCTAAACGTTCACTTGGTAGGATATTAAGTACGCACACTCAATTTTGTTGTTATGCTTTTGGAACCGAAAACTCGATTTCCACTAATTAAGGACTAAATAAAAATGTAAGAACACATTTTCATAGAGTTTCTATCTAGAAACCTGATTTCTTTAAAAATTATTTAGCAGTATGCAGTAATCACATTATTGGTACAATTAGTGGATAGTTTTATTTCATTCTACCTTTGCTCTTAATTATTTCCCTTCTATGAAATCTTTGAAAAATTATATGCTTTAAATGTAGACGTGATTAGATTTGATTCGATCAGTTTATCTTTAATTTCTGTAATTAGATGGTTTGTACTACTATAAAATATTCTTTACAACAAACTCCCGTTAGACTGTACATAAATAATTTTAAGAGCCAAGTTAAAGGTGAATATATATTCTAAAAAACACTGAATGAATATTTAAGATTATCCATAAAATAAGCTTTTTAGATGACCAGTGTAAACGTAGAAATGATTTACATGCAATATATGACTGAATCAGTTTGTATTTCGGTTGGAGTTGTGCGTATGCTAATGAAAATCATTATTAGTCACGTTGGTTGGAGGAAATAATAAGAAAAGTATTGATCAGATCAAGTGTTTAGTTAATATTTGCGCAGTGTATGAAATGAGAGGGATTAAATAAAGTGAACACTGAGACTTGACGAGGTGAGAGGTGTCAAGCATACTTCTGTTAGATCTGCAGATAACGTATTTTCAACGCTAGTGGCTATTGTTTCTACTATTTGAAGGACTCTGGGTTTGATCGAGTTTGGTAATTCACTATTATCACAATATATTATTAAAACTGACTCATTTATGCTGATTATATAGCCCAGTTGAATTAAACGGGCTAAGATTAAGTTGTTTACCGCCTTAACTAAACCTCTTTACGCGCATTAACAATCTAACTTGTTTTATAGGTGCAGTTAAATTAGTAAGTATGAATTAATTTACACAGTACATCAATAATGACTTACATTTTACTAATGCTTCTGTATTACGTTGAGTGAATTGATTTAAAAATGTAAAATATATACATGGTTTACATTCAAGACATCTTCCTCTACGTCTGTCCTGTGATATACACTCATAACCTTGTTCTGAACTTAAATTTTTTAACTGATTCTCATCTAGATCTGTTTTAATTAAATCCAACATTTCATTAACTGCCATTTCTATAAGATGACTTTTACTAAAAAGAAAAAAAAACGATGAAATGTATGACAGGAATTGCGAAACAATTTGAATAGTTACACGTTGTTATAAAATTATGAGTTCAATGTTCTAATGTTTACAGGTTGTTGCTAAAATATCAATATCCTTCAATATTATTATGAGTGAATATTCAGTACCGAGGTTGATATTTAACATTTTTGAAATTTAGTGAATATCTGGGCTATCTGTTCCTGCCATCTGGATATCTCAACAATTTATCTGTTTTCTTGTTTGCTTTAACACATCATTATACTTATTAGCATCATAACCCATTCAGGTGCGTGTGTGAAGAGTTTATAACGTTTCTCCGTACAAGTTACAAAAGTGCCCAATCAGACACATCGTGGTTGCTGACAATATGCATCGAAAAGAATATACATTATTCAGATGTCGATTTTTAAACTGCTAATATCTAACTGGCGACCACTCAATATTTATCGCAAGGGTCGATCAAGAAATAAGAAAAGGAAACATTAAAATACTTTGTACTGAGAATTCTATATTGTTCCAAGAATACAATATTGAATAAAGTCAATAATAAAAATAAGTATTCGGAGAATATGTAACTTTGAGAAATATATCTTAGGTGAATCTCACACACAGAGTGATCGAAATAGTTCGAAGCATATTTGTGTCTGTAATGTGAACCTTTAATAAGTTGACAACCTAAGAGGAAATAGTTGTTCAACTAGTTGCATACGTTCAGACCTTAAAAAATCAGTTTAATAGAGTAGTTATGCATAGGTTCATGTACTTGTCTTGAAGTCAAACTTTAGTTACATAGCGGTATACTTTGCACAAAAAAATCTTTTTTTAAGAAATATTTTTGATGTATAGATTATTCAGCAACCACATCTGTAATTTGTATCGGTTGATAAACGATACTATCATTTAGACTAATGAAATCCAAGAGAATTACTGCTTAAATCTTTCGTGATAAATAAACATTGTTTAATAGAAGACATTGTTTGGTTACCGTGCAAAGTGACTTAATATTATAGTGTACCTTATTTAATGTAAAAAATTAAGAAGCAAATTAAAAAAGAATTATAGATCCATGTTTCTTGCATATCAGGATGTGTCAACCAAGTGTGTACACAACAGACTGAAACAAACTCAAAAGACATAGTTCAAACTCAGTGGAACTGGTCCACACATTTTATTAGTACCTAAATAGTTTAATAACTAACGTTCATCTATCAGGTTTTATACATTATTTTAACAGAAAACAGTGACGAAATTAGTACATTTTTTGCAACTTCTTGAACTAGGCTTTCGCGCTGAGTTGTCGAGTTGTTAATCTCAATCGACAATTGTCAATCAACCCAAAACATATAAGTTAAACGCTCACCAATTAAAACGCCTTATCTAACTATCGAGAAACTGTATCAGCCTTTTACATAATTATGGTAAGTCTTTTGAATGATTCATTTCATGTGTTTTTTCCATTGTTCCGTGGGAATGTGTTTATTGTTCTGGTTGTTAATGACTGTATTATTTTGCATTTTTGTACTAATTGTATTAATTTTTGTTTTGTTAATTGTATTCATAGTCAAGACTGTGTGAGTGACAGTATATAGAGATTTTTTGGAAGGTCATCAGTAGGTAGGTTAAATCCTACCTAAGGAATTCTTCGAAATTTCAATGACACGTTTTTGGTGAATAACAACCAACGTTATATACATGTTCTGAATGATATTGTGTATTTTATACAAATGTTTTGTTCAACTTTCAGTTCAAGGAACAAAATCGGTAATCTAGTTACTGAGATTGAGCACTAAGATTTACAAGAACTAATTAATATTACGCAACTGAGCGAAGATTTGATTGAAATTCCCAGATTTTCCAGCAGTCGACATTTTATTGCCTTCAAAGTTTTATTACGTCTGTTCACTTCTTAATTTGCATTACAGACTCACTTTACCTGGAAAACCATTGAAAATCAAGTATGACCTCCCAAGGTTCCTCCTACTGGAACAAAAGAATTGCACATTACTTACTAGTTTTTAGCAGTTTCCTAACTAAAGTCATTCAATTATGCAAACTAGAAACTGGGATTATCCTTTTTCAAGATTACAACTTTATGAAGATACTTCGAAATTCGAAGAATTGTTTCCTGCTCTTCAAGTCAGATTAACAATGTAGTATTATTCTAAAAATTGTCATGATGGAGTTTTGTTCTCTGACCTGGATGGTTTGGTCGTGGAGCTTTCATCGCTCTTCTGAACGACATCATCAGCACAAAATTCGGATAAACGTGAAGTGCTCGAATTTCTCTGTATGTGTTCCACAGCTTGTTCTGTACACCTCGACGTTGATTGTCTCTTACTGACCTTAAATTTGTCATTGTTGAACAAAAATCAAACCAATGGGAGACACAACCAAAACAATGACAAATTTACGGTCAATAAGAACCAATCAACGTCAAGATGTACAGGGCAAGCTATGGAACGCATATGGAGAAATTCGAACACTTCACTTCTATCTGAATTTCGTGCTGATGATGTCGTTCAGAAGAGCGATGAAAGCTCCACGACCGAACCATCCAGCTCAGAGAACAAAACTCCATCAAAATCATCCACCTGAGCTACAAATCTTCTCCACCATCTCAAAAATTGTCATTTATCACAAAATATCAAAAACGAAACTAACATGGATAGATTTTCAGCAGCATTTGCCACAGTTGTTTCAGTTATTTGAATAAATTGATCTAATGTAACTTGATCATCATCTGGTAAATCACATAAATTTGTTTCAGCCATTTCTTCAAAAACATCTTCAACACGACAGTTTAATATATCACTAGTACGTTTTATCAAAAGTTTTAAACTCTCAAGCTCATTAGAAACTTTTTTGACAACTATATAAAATAATAAAAGTTAAAGTTATACCATTAAACAAAGTAGAATGTGATAAAAAGATGGTATATGAAACTATATATATTTCATTTGCTGTATTCTAGAAAATTGTAGCAGAAATGACCAGTTAAAGTTTTTGTAATCGGCCGTGTAACACAATTATCTACTCAGTTTGAAACCATATTTCTATTGTGTGGCGGTCAGTGAGACTAACGTGTTGTCCGAATAAACGCAGGAGAAAACGTTTTATGACTTTCTATTATGTAGTTGGAAGTCGAGTTTATTAGGTGTTAGGGAATATGTAATTTTCATTTCTAGAATATTGATAGATGACCCTTACATCACAACTGATGAGGAAGATTGATTTTCATCTGAAAATTTATAAGTCTCGAATATTTCGAAATCTCGATAGCCACATATACAGCTTAGAACAGATTTGAAGAATGAATTTTCGTCAAATATCAGTTTTCAATTAATTAACATTCCAACGTGAACATAGGATTAGTTAATTTCACTGCGCACGAAGTACGATATCATATTCGAACGATAGAATTTAACTGTTAACTTAAAGAGACATTGTCATTATCAGTTAAGGACGGTTAATTACATTTGTATCCTGTGTAGAATTACATCAAGTGAATTAGCGGAAAATTATGTACATTTTAAAGTCGTCGGTTAGAAAGTGACTTATCGATAACATTTGTGGAAGCTGGCCTTGTGTTACAATTTGACTGTAATTAAAAATATAAATCATTAAATTCTAAGCCAACGAATGATTAATATCTTAATTTTGTCACCAGATTCGAAGGTACCAGAATCAACTTTGAATGGGGTTAAAACTTTTGATACTCACTACAAACGAGTATGTGATATCGAAAGATTTTAATTCAAATTATTCTTATTAAATTATTCGATTAGTGAAAAGTACTTCCAAGTGACTGAGTGATATATGTCTAGAAGTATTTTTGACAACAAGTTTTAATTCGCACCGAAATACTGATCGATAAATCTAATATGCCTAATACTAACAATTACAAAATATTTCATATGTTATCCAACGCCTATATGATGAACTCAATCTCATTGGCAACATTCCAGTATTTATAAACTCACTAAATCAATAATAATAGTTTATAAGTATTTTAACTCACAATCATCTATATTAGTAGAATTCCAGTTGAGTTGATAGATACCGGCGTTTAGAGCTTGACATAATTTATCACGGAATGGTTGAAATAAAGGTAACAGTACATTTGGAACGGATGCCCAAGTTTCTTCAATGGCATTTAATAGTTCTTCTAAGCTGGAAAAAGAAAAAAACAAAATTTAGGTGAGTAGATTATAATTTTCAACCTGATCGAATGAGGGGTATAAATTTGACATAAGACTGAGAATATATTCGTACATTGCGGTGTTAAGGACGGGACTATTATGAAGGAAATCTGAAAATGTAAGCCATTGAATTAAACTTAAAAGCTTAAAAGTATCATTCTCTCCACGACATCTGAAGATCCTAATCTTGATCCAAAATGGGCTTGAAGTTGCATACAAATAAAGAGTCTACAACTAGGATAAAGAACTGTATGGTGCTTTTTAATTTTCAATAGTTCTTCGGCTAATCTCAGAATATTATCAGAGTTACATCAAAAGATGAACAACAAGTAAAGCTCAACGTAATTATTTGGGAATATTTTACTTAACTAGTTACATGTAATTCAATTTTTCATCAAAAAACTGAATAAATACAAAAAAATATTGAGTCTACAAAATGATTGATTTCGTGAATAACAGGACCTTTATCTCAAACTTTTCTTCATGTCAAACAAACCTTTGTCATTTACAGGATGATTGCATGGGTATTTATCGGATAAAGTGAATATTCATCCATTTGAATGGATCAATTTTAAATCTGAAAACATTTGGCTATTTCAAAAATAAGAATTCAACCAATGATAGCAACAGTTAACTTATAAATTCTAAGAGTATCCTTGACATTCAATGATTATTTATGCAAGATTGCTTTTTATAAATACTTATTTTTATGATAGGATGTTGTGTTCAAATTTTTATGTAAAGAATGAAAGAAATGAATAACACTTCACTTCAGTTTATAAAAACAGGACCATTCCTAACTATAAGTCTTTGACTATTGTAAACATTCTTTTTAAGGAAACTACATCTACCCCTTTTGGATACTAAATAATGAACAAACTGTCTTATTAATTAGTTAATTATATCATGTTTGATACTAAATAATCATTTATTTTCTAACAAACAAGGAATACCAGTAAATAATAGTCTGTACTATTCATCTATATAATGAAATCCACTTGTAGCTCTTCTAGGGCTACTGGCTGTCCCAAGCCCGGTTAAGGGAAGATGATTGGGCGTAGGAAACAACCCTGCTGAAAAAACGCTAACCAGAATAATCACATGTGATTTACTGATATTAAGTTTATTAATCTGTTGTATGAAGGCTAACCAATTGGATAAGTGACTAATTATGATATCTGATGTTTTTTGATTAAAAGCATTTAAAGGAATATGAAGTTACTTAATATATACATATCTATGAAAGAGGTGATTTGACTATTTGATTATGCATTCGGCAGTTAGTATATAATTCTAATCTTTTGGATACACTGTTGAGTGGATCAACGAAGCACCATGTATTAATTCGCTAATTACTTAATTTTATCATCTTTCAGTAATAAACTATTCATTCTAAAATAAATAACGGTTATATGGTAATTTATGTTATGAAAATAGTTTAAGTTAAACTTACATATTATGTCTTTGTTTAAGCATGATTTCTTGAATTAATAAACGACTAGCTACTGATGGTATGTTGAAACCTAAACTTGAAATATAACGAGCTTCATGAACTAGTTCTAATATTGCCAAATCGAAGTTTACATAATAACGTTCTGTATCAGGATCACGTACAATTAATGATGATGATAAACTAGAATGTACATTTTCAATAGTTTGACACCAATGATGGTAATAGATTAATTCAAATTGAACTAGAGCCTCTGCAATACGATTAAAATTCTTCACACATTTTTGACCTTCATGTCCCTGTTGATTAAATAAGAATAAATGTTATTTGTAACTACAAATGATGACAAAAATTTATAAAATATTCTAAAATGTCTTTAGCTGATATTAGAGAAATAATTCTATAGATCTATCGATAGAAAAACTCCGCCTGGAGTCGCCCCGAGCGCTACTGCCGGTCCCAAGCCCGGATAAAGGAGGAGGGTTCAGCATGGGGTAAGCGACCCTATCCCGTAGATAACTAACTGGCTAAAAAATCGCTAACCAGAAAAATTTACTCAAACCTTGTAAACTCTGCCCTGGGAGTCAGAAGGTCTTCATTTAGAAGAACTATGACTCCTTATGATGAAAGCCGAGTTCCTTCGGAAGCCACGAGGCCGATGCCCTTTCTGACAACCAGAGCAACCATTTATTTAGGTACATGGAATACTCGTACAACGTGGGAGACTGGGAGAGTCTTCCCAGTTTCTGCTGCATCGATAGAAAACCTGTAGATTATAGTGGAAGTTCTAAAAAAGAAATATTTCATGACGCGTAGTTCCCGTGACTGATAATGATACACAAACTTCCTTTGTGCAAGTTACTACCCGGCTAGTGAATGAGAACACAAAAAAGGAAGAAGGTTGTTTATCGCATGCATACGCATATGTCTATTGTTTAGAAAATGAAAACATTTCTTGGCCAATCACATGTATTTTTGATTGGCACAACAAAGTGATCTTTTATTGATCCACTGTACCAGAATCAATATTGTTTCCAATCGAATAGTTTTATGATAACAGGGCAATAATCATTATATGATACTGTGAAACATCTTGCATACGAATTTAATTGACTATAGACATTTACTTAAGCTTAAAATTAACAAACTTATTTTTTATTGGCAGCTGAAACCATTCAAATTAACAAATATCATATTTAGCTATAATGGATTGGTGATGTTCACGGCAAATAAATGACAATCTGAACTATTATTAAAGCAGGTAGGCCTTGATATATGTTTTGTCAGTACATGGTATTGCGTGTATGTGACTAATGTTTCTTGAATTTCAATGCATATTCATGCGTTAAGTCGTGATAAAATCTATATTTAACAACTATATTTATTTGCCTGTTATAATCGTGTAACATCGATTTATTACATTAAAATTACCCAGAATTTAACAAATAATTCTTAGATTTTACTCAGCATACAAAAAATGTACGAAGTGCACTAATATGTTTGTCCATTCATTGACATTTCTGTCCCTTTTTAACAAGTTGTTTGTTCTATGTACTGAAAATATTGATATGACAACAGTTTATTTCAACTTCGATACTACTTTTCGAATGCTTACTGAATGCATTATATAGTATCATTGATTACCCTGTTATTATGATAATTAGTATGAAAATAAACTAAAAGCTTTACCGAATAAATTATAGTACACCTACCAAACTATCATTACTATACGTTTATGATATTAGTATCGTTAGACATGTGCTCAAATGAGTTATTTTCCAGAAATCAATTTTTATGAATATCAGAAGTATAAGAAAGGTGGATAGTGGCTAGCAGTAGAATCCAGGACGTGCATTCCATCCTATTTAGGACTCGTCAGCTGCACGTTGATGTTCAATCTGTGACTCGAACCCAGTTCCATTCGCTTCAAACGCCATCGCGCTATCCACTTAGCTAATGAGTCCTGATAACCACTTGTTTGTGCAATAGGGTGAAGTTTAATTCACTTGGTATTGTTTCGCCTGAGTTTTCCCATTGACATTTAAGACTGCAAGTGATTAGTCTGTTATTGGCATATGTGCATACTGTGCGTATTGCCTCGATATTGCCTTAATCCACTGCTAGCCACTATCCATCTTTGCACATAAAGCTTGTAAATTAAGGCTATATTGAGGCAATACGCACAGTATACACATGCCAATAACAGACTAATCAATTAGCGTCTTAAACGTCAATGGGAAGATTCACGCAAAACAATACCAAATGAATCAAAAGTATAAGCAATAAAAGATGGTTTTTGAATTTTTATTTCACAGAAATCCATCATTAAAGTATATGCAAATCAGATTACCTTCTGAACTGGTATAAACTAGGAAAATATAGATAACTATTGGTCAAACGACTCAGTACCGGCAATGTCACATGACATAAGACATAAAATCTTAAAGTTTTTCTGATAAGTAAGGATTTAGTGGTCTACATTTTTAAATGAAATTATAACACCAGAGTGCATAATAAACATTTAATTAATGACTAATATTTGGATCATTATCAAAATAGTTCAACCTGTTAACTATTCTAATATTCTATATTAAATTGATAACGTTAGTAAGAAATAGTTTATTTCAAAAGAATAAATGATCTAAGAACATAAATTTGCATATCTTTTGTATGATTGGGTAGAGGTTAGAGGCAAATGCATACCTCATCCTGTTTAAGGCTATTCAAGTGAATGCAAATACATCTTAATGTTAGTGTTCGAATCGAGACTTTAATCCAGTATATTTCACTTCAAACATCAACATTTTATCCACTGTGTTGTTGAGTTCAAATAGCCACTAACTTGTACTATCGGTATAAAAAATATTAGTAATGATTTATAACTTCCTGTCATTGATATTCAGGACTTCAACTAATTCATCAACAACTGAAAGTTATAAATGTTTATCACTATCTTCAGACCACTTGTAGAAGTGTGGCTATTTGACCTCAGTAATACAATGGGCAAAGTGTGGGTATTTTGATCAAAATATTCTGGATTCGAGTTTTAATATGAGCGTTAACACTAAGATGTCGATGAATCTAGCTGATGAGCCCTAAGTAGGATGAAACGAGCACCTTAAACACGTACTAAAATGATAAAAACATATTATTACTAGCTGTTAATAATCACGGTTAACAAATTGAAGAAGTATTACTTTTTTTAACGATTACTTACCCATAATACATCTGGACATTTTTCTTTAAATCGTTCCATTGGTATTTCAATTTGTTTGTATAAATGACGTGCCCAAAACATTTTACCAGCTATCGATGTCATATTTCTAGCTATTGGTGGATCATTTTTTTGTTTTTCATATAATTGACGAACCATTTCTAATTCATTAGCATAATTCTTTATAACCAATTCATATTTAGCTGATAAATCTAATTGACAACATTTAATTTGTTCAAATTTTTCTAAAATTCTTAACTGACGTTCAACCTAAACACATGTATATATATGTATATATTTATGGACTACTTTTTGTAAAAAAATTAGATTAAAGGTGAATTATTAATAGTAATTTCAAACTGTAAAACTAGAAGTGTTTGAAGTTCTTTATCTCTAACCTGTTATCAAAACATTTTTGAACCAAATTTCAAAGATAGGTGACCATTAAAAGACATACTGATATTTATACTATGGCTAGTAGGAGGACAGAGCAGTATTATAACTGTGGAAGATGTACTTGAAACAGTAGGAAGCTGATGCTTTCAAAGAGTCAGTAATTAAATAAAAACTAATGTTAACAGAATATTCTGCCCATTTTTCAAAAACGAAACAGTAAACAAATTAAGCAAATACATATTTGTATACAGATTTTATTCTTATATAATGGCTAGTTTACGAACACCATACATGACTCAAATAGTGAGAATACAATTGGATTTTACACTGGAATTATATTATATTATCATCGCACAAAAATTACATTTGATTAGAAATAAAATAAATGATTTACTAAACAAGTATTATAATAAATTAAAACATGACCTCACGGTTTCCTTTAATTCTAGCAAGCTGGAATTTTGAAAAACCATGTCTGTATATATTTAGTAGATACTGAATACTAAATTGATGTGAGGACAACTTTTAAAGCTGTTTGTCGTATTCAATCCAATCTAATCTAAAATATACTATACTATACTGTTGGTCATGGTAACTCAAATAAATACATTTTATCTAAACGTTTACACAAAGTTTGGACAGACTAATTTTAATCACAGCCATTAGTTTAGTCAAATGTCTCTTTCCAAGTTCCACGTAAAATGTTTTACTTCTTATCCTCGTATTTAAGTAATCAGTGTCTAAAATAATTGTTCAATGACTTTTTTTATTCTTCATGCTGCCTATAGTTTACTATTTTGAATTTCTCAGTTCTGTATGATAAACCATTCATCGTTTGTATATTAAGTTGTTAAAAATTGTTGAAAATGAGACCTAGGTTTCCTGCTAGTTAACATTCGTTATCAAGGCATACTTGTAATTTTGAGGAAACTGTTATCTGCTGTAGTAGAAGGTACATTTTGTCATTGATCATGGATTATATGTAGACTGCCACAAACCAACTAACATCTCAACATAGTAGACGTGATGTTAAACCATACAGACTAATGGGCAAATCTCAACTTAATGGAATTCGATCGAAACTATAAAAAACTCAGACAAATATAACATCGATGACCTGGTGATCGATTAATTGTTCATCGTTTCTTTTATGATTTATGAGGTTTAAGTAATAAGAATTTGTTTTCGTTACTTAATGATAGTGTTTGGAAGTATAGGGGAAATAAGGAAGTATTATAATGTTTGTATGGACTATGGGGAAGAGTTAGAAGTATAGTTTAATAAAAACCGAACGAACAGTTTACAGAAGATATGAACAATGCTATTTATTTCTAACTTTTTCCATTAGAGTTCTCGTTTTTCACTGTTCTCTGGACAAGACGTCAAATCAAAGGATGTAATGTTTATTGTGTTAAGATTGAAACAAACGAGTAAAATGTTGGCATTTGCCTTTATGTAGCATGATACAACAATACGATCTCTGCTATTAACTAAGTGAAGCAGAAATATGCTGACTGTTGTTTCTGTCTAATGTGAGATGAAATTCTCTTCTATAACTTCGAAATATAAAATATTTTCATTGCTTAGAGAGTAAAGAGAACCTTCTTGTGGCTTTCAGTATTATTTTTCTCTTAAAATATTAATTATTGTCCAGTCTTTAAATGCATAATCAATAGGTGACTTCTTATGGTTGGTCTAGCTGTAACTTCCTAAAGATATACTTAGAATTTCTAGGTAGTTTATTCTATAAATATTGCATTTCATAGAAATTATTATTTTACAACGAAACATTATTCAATATATAATGAAAAATATAAATGGGAGATAAAACAGAGCTAGTCAACAAGAAATGACTTCGTTTATTTTTAAATATCACGGTCATGAATTTTAGTAACATTTCCACTTTTAGTACAACACTTTATTGAGAGTTACTGAATTAAAGCCGCCAAGGTTTCTAAAATTTTGTTTGTTTATTTGTTGTGATATTTTGTGATGATATCTTCTAGTACAGATGATTTAGGATAATAAGAATTACATTGTCAGTATCTAATTTCTATTATCATGCAACTTTGTACTTGTTTACAGATAAATCAAAAACCAAAGAACAGTGTTATTTTGAGGCTATACGATAATTTAGCATCATACCGTGGGATAGTCTTTAGTTATATAACATCAAGTCATCATAAAATAATCATTTCTAAATAATAATAATAATAATAATAATAATATGTAACAGAAATACATAAGAATCGAACATACAGGCGCAGGTTGTTTAAACCATGCATCAAGGAAATCGCGAAGTTGTTGTGCTATTGTGTCGAATTGACTTTTGTACTCATCCAAGTCTCTATCAAACTGATAAAAATTCAGAAAAATTAAAATTAAACATTGTGTGTTATTATCATTTAATTTTACAACTAAACTAGAAAACTGATTCACATTTTGTAATTACTCATAAAGTGTTTCAACAGTATCACATATGGATTTAACTAGAATAGAACATAAAAAATATATTTATTGATAAACTAACGGTACAAAACCAACTGAACAACAGTCTTTACTATGTTATTCACAAGATAATGAACTCAGAAGTAACACTGAATTGAAGAAGGATTATGTAGAGAGTTATGCTTGCAGATAGATGGCTATATACATTTTTGGCTTTTTCCAGCAATTGTAAAATGCTACGAAATTATGTAATTTCAGTAATTAACTATCACCATAACATGACTGTAGTAGAACAAAATGAGCCATTAACATCTTCCATTAAGAGTATTCTTAATTAGTATCAGAAGGGGTTTTGTGGAGATTGTAGTAATTTCAACAGTTGAGGTCATGAGTCAATCGAAGCTAGATCACCATGGAAAACCTGGAAACAATGGACAGCCGCGAGGCGGGGTCGTGGATGCGCACTGCTGAGGAGTCTCACAATAGGACAAAACGGCCGTCCAATGCTTCCAGGTTTTCAATGGTGGTCTAGTTTCCATTGACTCATGATCTCAACTGTTGATATCCTTAATTAAACTTATGTACAGAATAATATTTCAGTCAATCACAGATACAGAAATAATTACGTAAACGACTTAGTTTATACGCTTTTAATAGTTCTATCGTGTTAACAAAAAAATTGTTTTTCTTTCTATCAAGAATTTTGCATGTCTTTCAGAATTGTATTCATAAGTCCTAAGTAATGAGAAAATTGATCATGATATTCATAATTTTGTAAATATAAACAAAAGACGAATCATATTCCATGTAAGATTGACCAGTCAATTTCTATTTTACTTACATCACGTTTAATTTGATCAGCTCCATCGAAATTTCTTTTATGTAAATTATCATAAAATGTTTTATATCGTACAACAATTGGATCAATTCCTTCAGCTTTAAAATCCAATAATACATTGAAATTATCTATATTTTCTAGAATTATTAAAATTTTCTTTAATCTTGATGTGTACACATCAAATTTGCCAAATATATAATTTTCACTAGATAAAATAAAGAATTTCAATAATCAGTATTTATGCAAGAAAAAACTGTGTCAAGCAGAAAAACTTTTCTTAAGGTTACAATAATCGAAACAAAGTGTTTTCGCTGATTATCCACACCTTACTCCAGTAGAATTTGATATAGTTTTCATCATTAGTCAATATTTAAGGAAGAGTGTTGTTCGATTTTGTGAATTAGTTGAAGTTGGACATTAACACCGTTGGATGCCGGCTTAGTAGTCTAGGAGTTAAGAGTTCGCGTGCCAGACTGTTAGATCCTGGGTTCAATATCTTGCGAGGCGGGATGATAGCTGTGCACTGATGAGGAGTCTCATACTTGGATGAGACGGCCATCTAGTGCTTCCAGGTTTTCCATGGTGGTCTAGCTTCAATTGACTTATGATCACAACTATTGAAATTACTATTATATCCACAAAAACATCTGGTTTGAGGAACAGCTGTGGAATTTAGACGATAATGGAATATTGTTTCGTGTAATTCAAATATCATTCAGAATAAACTATGCGTGACATTTATTATGATAAGATATTTGAGGTTTAACTTCTTTGGAATTCGTGGTTTATCTCGTTTTATTTCGAATTTTCAAATAAATTCGACAAGTGATATGGTACAGTTTGTCAACCTAAGTGTTTCTATAGTTACATTTCATTAGACGTGCTTTGAAATATTAAAAAGTAATTGACCTAAGCAGTTAGAAATTTTCAGTCATTCTTCATAAAACAAACCGTTTATTAATGTAAACCCTAATTCTTCCTGTTTATGACAAAACTCTGATATTTCTACATCTACTATCAGATAAAAATAATTTCATCATCTAGCGATCCAGATTATAGAAGTTAAATCTTGTTATGCATTCGGTAGTTGACTGGGAGGGCAGTATGTTGATCTCTAATTTTAATCCGGTCATAAATGAGGGTTTATTTAAAATTCAGTCAAATGTTCAGTGTCAAGAATTGAGTATGATGTTAGTCTGTTGGGAGCAGTCGCCAAAATGCAATGAGACTGAGATTTTTGCTGGTTGTCACTCATAAGCAAGACATGTCTAAAGTCTCCAGGTAATCAATAATTTCTAATATATTCGAATAAACTTTCATCCAGTGTTACGGCCAGTTGCATTATTACTGGTTTATTAAAAACGATGGACATAAATCTGAATAAGTTTAGCATAATAAAGTAGAAATGATGTATTCCGTTTATGGTTTCTTAGACTATTTTCCAATCTGGTCCCATTTAGTTTACCTTCTTGTAGGCTATTATGTTGTTAAATAAATAAACGTAATTGAAACGAAAATCAAATGGATTCTTTCCAGAATTCTAATTTCAAAGCTCTCACTTTGTTTGCCTAAGAAACTTTTATTAGTGCATAGAATTCAAAGTGAGGAACATATTCAAAGGTATTGAAAACTATAAAATTTCCTATAATAAATTGTGTAGTCTAATACAGTACTATTTAAACACTACAACTTATTGCCAACTTCCTCCACTCACCTGGAATCGAAAATAAAATACACTACAATCATGGGTCAGTAGTGGTAGCGTTGTTACTTGACTAACAGAATGCGATTAGCAATAGATTAATCAATAATTGGCATGAGTAGACTACCAAAATATGTACTAACTATATCAAGGAGTTGCTAATAAACAGTATTTATTTTTTCAGATAATGACCCATTGTGAGAGTTCTATTAGTACATAAGACTATATGATAATATCTTATGTAATTTTACAAAAATATCACTCTAGCTACGTTTGTCATTTGTAAAATAATGAAAATTTGGAATAACTACTGATAAGGTTTAGATCTTTGCTAATATATGAAATTCACTTGTATGGATATATTCAAACGTCTTTTAGTATACAGATGTCAGTCCTACTGGTCTACATTTTAGTACTGGTGAAGTGTAATTAAAGAAAATAGAATGTTCTTAATACAGAAATATTTCACGAACATCTGGTCTATTCTCGATTCTGTATTTTAGCATTTTTGACTTATATTGTGCAATGTTCATGAGACCCATTTGTTTATTCTATATGTATATAAATATTAAGCTTTTCAATTAATCATTACTAAATTTGAGGAAATGAGAACAGTACATATTCATTCATTCAGATAATTAATCTTATTGAGTCATTAAAATGTATAACAGAAATAATAGAAACATCATTATTAACTTCAAACTTTTCAAGATATTTTGTATTGCTGTCAATATAACTAATTACCTGAAATCGAATTGTCTACCGGATGGATTTTCTTGAAGTCTGTGTCGAACTTTACGGAAATTCTCTTGATATTCAACATTCAGTTGAATACATTCATTGATTCGATCAAGTAAAATATTTCTAGAAATGAATATTAAAAATACAGAAATAGATTCTGATCTAAAATTAAATCAAATATTTACATAAATATTTAATGTTAAATAGTTGTAATAAATTTTGGTTGTACCGAGAATGATCTGTTGAATAGCAGTGAAACTGATATTATTAAACATGATGTCTGAAAAAGAAGTCTTGTTGGTAAACAAAAATTTCCATGGAGTCCGGTATTTTTTGAACAGGTTGTGTCTTCTTTCTACTTTGTAAGGTTCAATGAAACATGGAGCTAAAAATTCTGCTTCATCTTTATGGTAAATAGTTAATGTTATATCCTAGCGAAGATTAAATTACCAGTAACTTCTGAGATCTATTAATGGACTAATATTATATACATATATTGTTATGGTATAACGGTTCAGTAACTAGATTATGTATATCCATATTTCTCTTATTATAAGCTTCATTTTGACTTATAGATTATTATTGTACGATTTACTGTACTTAAGTTATTTTCAGTTTATTAACTACCGTCTCCCACGTTCACAGCTACGTTTTAGCCTGATCTTGTATAAATGTTATTTCTTATTTTATGGTGTGATGCGGTCTGTTTGGCTAGTATATAAACCAAGTATGTTTGAAACAAATGATTTGCATAGCGGAAGCTGTTATCGGTGTTCTGAACTCAAGTGGACGGGCTAGGCGAACAAAGCTCAATAAGGACTCTAGGCTGCTCATACCGGTCGAACGTCATTGGTTTAGTAACGTATGAGAGCGAATAGGTCTTATTTCGATTGACGAGTAAGTTAAATGATAACCTAAAATCTTAAAGACTAAAAGTCGCAACATTCAAATTGTTATGTAAGAACCTTTTAAGTAACTCACTGAAGACAAGGTGATGTGAGACTGACTTTAGACAAATGTAGTTGCAAGTTGTTGCAAGTCTAGATACGGAAAAAATGGTAGACAATATCCTTAAGCTAGTGGTTAAGAACTGCTTGTACTTTAAAAATCATAAATGGATATGAAATTCAACAGTTATATGATAGTCTTAATGGACAAGTATCTTCATTCTGAATGAATGAAATGTTCATATAATAAACGTAAAGAGATCTTTGGGATTGTAGTCATTCGAAAGAAGCTGCTTTTGAATATTTAACTTTTGTGAGATAGCTGAACGTAATCATACATACTAGCATTGCAAACTATCCTAATGATAGTTTGTGGTAGTTACGATCCTATTATTTGATTATAAACGGAATACCTCATAAGTTTAAAATATTCCTAAAGGATTTTAACTTTATATACAAATGACTGTTGGTATCTACGTTGGATGCACAAAGCTGTGACTTTGAACACTGGATATTATGGACATAGAGAGAAAAAAACTATTTATGTTTAACTTGATGAATTTTTATTTCATACCAAAGGACTCACCGAATGAGATCAAGAATGGGAATAATACAGCTATGTCAGGCACTACAAATGTGTTGAATTTTCACTAAAACGATTATTTTCTGGTTATGAGGATCCCTATACCAAACCATGACTTATTTATTATGTATACAGAATTAGCTAAATATAGTCTTCTTTCCATTCCATGCTTGCTTATTGAAACTTTAAAATTAAATCTGTCGGATGTCTTTAAAGTTCCATTGTATGTTACAAATAATAAACTGTAAGACGAGATGGCAAACATGTATCAACTTAAAGTAAAATCGATCGCAAATGAAACAATAAATCTTGAGCATCTTCCTAAATAATCGATTGAAATAGCAAATGCACATATACACATACCGTGGTAAATCCCATATTCGACTAACACCATCTGTTACATACTTTCTACATGCAACAACCATTTGATTTGTTATTTTAATAAATAATGAAGTCATTCTTTCTGAATTATTATAATATTCAGAGATACTGTAAATCATACGAATAGCATTAAGTAGAACTGGTAATTGTTGACGTATTTTAGACTGAAAGTTGAAAAAAGGTTCAAATAAGTTTTTCACTCCATAAAAAATTAAGATTTCAATTTATTCTAATTTAGGTCAAAGATAAACATTATTTTGATCAGTAATTAAGAAAATTAATTTAATAGTTGAATTCATAAGTCAATTGAAGCTAGACCAACGTGGAAAACCTGGAAGCACTGGACGGCCGTTTCATGCTAGTATGGGACTCCTTAGCAGTGCTCATCCACGACCCCGCCAAGCGAGTTTCGAACCTAGGGTCTATCAATTTCGCACGCGAACGTCTAACCTCTAAACCGGTGCTTCCAGGTTTTCCATGGTGGTCTAGCTTCAATTCACTTATGAATTCAATTATTAAATTACCGAAATCTCCACAAAACCCCTGTCTGATTATAAGAAAATTAAATTTGTTTAGAGCTAATGTTGTCACTTGTATTCTCTATAATTGTTATTATTACTGTTAATAATATTTTTATTATCATTCCGATACTCATTTAACGAATACATATTGAGTGCCAGTGGAAGATTATGCAATTAGAAAGAATAAACCAATCTCCCTTAATTCTTGCTACTTTGACCACACCGCACAAATTCGATATAGTATTTTATAGTATATAGGCTATTCAATATTTATGATTATATTGGCTATTGCCATATGTTCTACAAAACAAACCTTTTAATGTGCTGTCATAGACTATTACTTCTATTTCGTGGTGGTCAGTTAACTTCTATGATATAAACAAGGTGATTTTTCACAAAAACCCATATTACTTAGTCATTTCTCCACTTGATAATCTGCACTAAGACGAAAATAGTTGCATTCCTCACATCTACTGAAATTATAATCAATTTATATTTTGGAGGTTAAAAGATAAAGATTTGGAAAGAGTGACGTAACTTCTACTGAGTTCAATTTTGCTTCATTTTCATTTTTTTACATAAATATAGTTTGTCAACTTATGCGGCCCTATCAGCAGTCGTCGGATTACTCAACATATAATACTTATTATTCGCCAAAGTTTATATTATGATTGGAATTGGTTTAGTTGGCTGGAGGTAGTCAACACGAAAATTCTGAAACAACGTTACGCTTTAGTAGGCATACCTAGAATCATTCGGGAACTGATACTCCATATGTGATTCAAATCCAGTACTAGTGGCAACACTGTAACTAGATCGATAAAATTCGACTATCGCCTAAAGAACTAGAGAAATACGACATTTGTCACTATTAAGTGATCAGTCGATTATAACCTAGTTAAATTTATTTCGGTTATTACATTCACTGATTAAAAATTAGTGATGTGATTTCTATGTATTTAAGATCATATGATCTTGTCATCAAATAATAAATGGTCATTTTGGGGCTAGATCACTATGATTTCGCAAACGAAAACTACTGCTTATCGACTGATATATGTTAGCATGAATAAAATGTCTGTAATTTATCAGAAGTCAAACAATACCTGTCAATAAATCTAAGTTTAAATGTTGTAAATTGTTATAATGATAACTATAACATCATTTAAATTAAAAATAAATGAAAAAGGATTTGAGATTTGTTCTGACGCTTACTGGATTTGTATTGGAAAATGAACCGAAAAAGTTATCCAGTGTAAACAGATACTTAAGATTATCTTTTGCTTCATTAACTCCATTAATGATGCGATCATCCTAACATTAAAAAATCAGCAATAAAGAGGGAATAAGAATAGATTGAACGTGAGTAAAGCAAGTAAATATAGAAAAGTAAATGAGAAAAAAACCTTCATTCACTTAATCGCTCATTTAAATTGGTTAATAAATTGTTAAAAATAGCAAGGTTCATTTGTCTAATCTGAAAACACATCAGCGCTGTGCATTCAATACTATATGATCACCATACTTCATTTAAACACACTAGCTTTCCAAATCATCTCTTCAAAGTATCTAGCCTTGGTTACCTTGGTTACTCTACGGTGATTCACTGGTGCAGTAAAGTTAATTCTGTGGAATATCGGTCACGACTTTATCAGGTCTATGCACGATGCTTTCAAATGTGCTGGAGAAGCAGAAATTCCCAATAATTACTTAAATGTAATTTTTCTCAACGGCTTCCTTTCACTTGAAAATTGGTCGACATATATTGCTTTAAAGTTAGCATAATGAATATTGTGTTACTCGGATAATTTACACAAGAATGAATATTGGAAGTTAACAGTCAGTTGCATTTAGTGTTAGCACTTCCCTTTTACTAAAACTGTTTGGAAGTGAATTTATGAATTAGTTATATCCGGTGACAGATGAATTATGCATGAAACATTTCTTTTCATGAACTTACCAGTTGACGCCACTGTTTGATTACACGTGCTTTTGCATAGTGCAAAGTAGAAATAATTGCTTGAATACTTGGATTACGCATTTCTTCAATTAAGCTAAATGCACAAATGAACAGTAGTGGTATAATAAGTAATTACCGAAAAAATCGTTACTATCAAATATGATTTACTTCGTGACATTACAAGATTCATATTTACAACATGAAACGATTAACAGAAGTTGCTCAATATCTGTTCTACAAATATTCAAGTTATAAAAATCTTAAGCTGCATCAAGGATGAATTTGATACTTTCAGAGCTCTTGAAAATCACTCACTTTAAGACCTATTAACGAGATTAGGTGGTTATTATTTTCATGTACAAATTGACTTATTCTGTGACATGAAGGTTAAAACCAATTTATTAGAGGTCGTCTGAAAGATTTCCCGTGAATAAATGTTGCTGAAAATGTCTCATTTTGGAGGATATACTGGATTTCTCGTGGTTTAAAGATACTTCCTAACTGTTAGTTTACGTTAAGTAATTGAATATTGATCTGTTCAAAGTAGGCATTAAAAATTACTTTTCCGTTTTGTCTATAGACTACAGCTCCACTACAGACGTCATGTTTAAGATATTTCTTCGTTACTATCTGACTGTTAACTAGGCTTGAATGTTAAATATCACTCTCTATATCGCCTATGAACTAAGGGTTTAGAAAATATTCCTGAGTACTGGACAAATGATTTTCGGAGTAAGGAATGAAAGTAAAACTACCCAAAAATTTCACCATATTATCCGAGTGCAAATGATCTGTTCTGGACTAAATATTTTTGTGTTAGAAGAAGGAGAGACGAAGACAGCAACTCTGGAGATGCTGGTTATCCTTGGGAAAAGCATCAGAGCCAGGAAACTCCCGTATATCTGCTGCCTTTGATTTTACTTCTTCCCAGTCAAAATATCTGAAGAGGTAGGATAACATTCTCTAGCCTTTGTGAAACAGTTGTGTTTGTCAAATTTAACCAACATATCAAGGTAGTAACTATGAAATTATCCGTTTTCAACAACTGATAGATGAACCACTTTATTATTGGCTATTTTAATTAAATAATGTTACACGATTAGTAAATTATTATTCAAACAAGTTTTATTTATAAAAGATAAATTATTATCTTATTGTTTGACCTCGTCTATATGAACAAGCTTCTATTATATTCTTAGTTAATTAAAACAAATTGAGTCAAATATGAAACTTGACAGAATAAAGAAGACAATCTCAAAAAAAGGCTAAGCGAATATTAAATGAGGACATCTTTTATTATTAAATAGTATACTGAATTTGAAAGATATTTAGCATTTATCTTTTAAGGTCGTAATTTGTTAATTGTCTGTTGTAGTATTAATTCAATAAATATTAAATAACTGCAATGAGTTAAGTAATATCTAATTGAACTAATGGAGTTAATCTAAACTGATAGACAGGAATCTATACACAAGAATGATGACTTAAATCGTATAATGACAAGATTCAATAAAAACGTGATAGAAATTTTGCATTGAGTTATATTGTAAGAGAATAATTCCCATCATTTGTGAATTTATTCCTGTTGAGTGTAATAACTACCTTTCATTGTAGTTAGTTAAAAGAAATTTTATCATTGAAGTTTTCATTTCTTCAGATTTACGAATTATTGGTCGAAGACAAAACTGAATGGATAACATGAAAATTAGTATAAATTGAGGTTATGATAGAAATTGACGACACAAAATTCATGGATTCAATCAAAATCTCTTTAAATTAGTCAACTTTTTCCCAATATTCAGTAATTATGTGAACTAAAGGCCTAAAATAATCTCGAAATATAGTTGAAGCCACTGTAGACTAAAGATAATCAGATAGATAGAGATGAAAATAAATTCTTAATGTTAAACAGTTGATCATTTCTCATGGAGGGGTCCAGTAAATAACTATGGTATGAAGTTTGCTGTTGTCATTAAGAAACGTTGACAAAAAAAATTATGTTTATAATAGATAGAAAAACTTGTAGTAAATATAGTTTTAAAGTATAACTCTCTAAAGATATGCACGGTATAACGAAATCTGGTCGTGCGAATGATCTTTTACTATGTATTGCTGACTCTGAATATGATAGTTTACAAGTAATGTTCTTAAACTCTCCTATACGAACTAACTGAGTAGGTTGTAAGAATTTTATTAAATCAACCGGAGAAATATTTCAGATTTTTCACTGACTTACTTAGTGAAACGAACTAAACGAGCTCGCCAATAGGTCAGTTCAGCCGAAGGTCCAACGTCATCCGATTCTCTACGAACTTGATCAGACTGGTTTAATATTTGTTCAATTTGATTAACCCATTTCTCAACTAAGCGAATTAAACGATCCATTGTTTCAGAACTATCAACTATAAATAGTAAACATGGAAGTGTCATCTGTTTAGAAAAAAATAGTTTAAGTTTCTACACAGAATTTGCGCAATTCAATGTTATATTTTTGTTTCTAATATTATCAAAGATTTTAGTAACTATTAATTATAACCCGAAAAGATGTCATCAAAACAGTGATATCCCTATTGAAGACTCGGAACGTTCACTGTATGTTTACTGATGTACATTTGTAAACTTTAATAAATAACTTATTTTACTTTAAATCCTAATACCACATTTCTCCAAATTATTTCTCCTATCATCCTATTGTCACCGATAAATATCGATAAGCCAACAATGACATATTTCTTTTTCTTGCAAGCCACTTTTAATTATTGAGAAATAAGTATTTTGAGAGGCTAAATTATTTGATATCTGTGAAGATTTGAAATTGCAAGTTGTGTGTATCATAGAAATAAAACATTTTAGACAAAATTAAAATCTTCATAGTTTAAGCTACTAACTAATATCCGCTAGAGCACCTTTGTGAACCTGGTAACACTGAACGATTGTTTCGTTATAGTATAAGATTGCTTAACAGTACCCAATCATAGTTAAAATCAATGTAAGATAAAGCTTACTAATATTTTCAATTTCACTCGTATTGATTATTTGTATAGCCGTTTCTGATTCTTGTCCGGCCGTCAAGTCCAATTTATCACTCATATTCTCTCTAGCACTTGAAAGTGCGTCTAAATATCGTCTGAGTACCGCAACAAATTCTTCCATATTTATTGTTTCTGATAGTGATTTTTCAATTGTATCGGATTCCTATATATTAGTTTGAAGAATATTTTATCATGAGCACAGTGGTTATAAAAAAAATTGGATGGTTCAAATGAATATATTCTACATAAAGAATCTGAACGTCTTGGGTTTATCCTCTGTGATGGTCATGGCCCTACATTACCGAATTGTCCATTACTAAAATGAAACAACTGTTGATTACCATCTGGTTTCCATTTTTATATCAAGTGGTGTACCTATTAAAGAAGCTATACTTATCGGTGCCAAAATATTTCTCCCTAGCTGTGAAGAAAGATAAATATATGAATATTACAGTGATCCAACTGACAGAGGATGACTAACGTTTCATGTTTCAACTTACAAATAGGTCGTAAACCTGACGAATAAATACGTATAGTTAGGGCGACTAAAGTGTTCAAAATATTTTAATAATCCAGCTTTTGTTCAAATTGCAAATTGGAATCAGCAGGTTAGTTATTATTATACCTTCCTTTATAAATCCACATAGTAATATTTAGGTGATTCAAGGAGGTTTTAGAAGTACGAGTTTTAACTTAAGAAGTAATCACAAAAAACGTATAACTTTCTTGAGTTCTAATTCACATGATATTGATTTACTTGAATCTTCCCATTGATGTTTAGGACTGAAGTTGATCAGTCTCTTATTGGCATACGTGCATACTGTGCGTATTGCTTCGACAATTGCCTTAATTTACAAGCATTATAAGCAAAGATGGATAGTGGCTAGCAGTGGAATCCAGGACGCCGACTTCTTCCTATTTAGGACTCGTCAGCTGCACGCGCCTGTATCTCAGAGTTGATTTTCACTCTGAGACTCGAAACCAGTACCATTCGCTTCAAACGCCATCGCGTTATCCACTGAGCACAGTATGCACGTATGCCTATAAGAGACTGATCACTTTCAATCCTAAAAATCAATGGGAGGGTTCAAGTAAAACAATACCAAGTGAATTAAACTTCACCCCATTGCACAAGCAAGTGGCTATCAAGACTCAGTAGCTAAGTAGATAACGCGATGGCGTTTGAGGCGAATGGTGCTGGGTTCGAGTCCTAAAGTGAACTTCAACTCTGTGATGCAGGTACGTTCAGCTGATGAGTCCTCAATAGGACGAAACGAGCGTTCTGGATTCCAATGCTAGACATTATCCATCTTTCTTGCGGTATGTTGGTCGTTTAGCTGAGCTGACACAAAACATTTTCAGTTTCTTTTGTCAACTCGACACATTCAATCATGTAAATCATAATCAGGAATTGAGTAGCATCTTATTTGGAACATTATATCTCTGACTATACAAAACTTTAGCTCAAGAAGCTATTCAGAAAAACAGAACAGGTTCGTTGGAGAATCATCAAAGGCCACTTAGAAACCAATCAATATAATACCTAAATAGCAGGTCAAAAGTGTGTAGCAAGCAAATAAGGTCAGTCAACATCAATCGTTGGAAGAACTATTACAGTGGTAAAAAATTAGAATGTGGCGAAAATAGATGAAATATAAGTGATTGATGGATCAAAGGAATGGTTAAAATATAGTACTCAGTATTTTGTTATGTAAGTTACACAGTTATTAGTACAGATAACTCACACATGGTAACCACTTTTTAATACCAGTCAAATTTATCAGGTTGGAAAAAGTGCATTTTCAACCAATGTAAACGTTTTTAATCTTATTTATGTGTGTTATCAAATTTCTATGCAATTGTAAATTCAGACAATGATCAAACTACTTTGCAACTAATATACCTTTATTTTATCAACGCATTTCCTTTATGTTAATGGAGTACAGTCCCTGAAATTATCGACATTCCAGATGTATTTAGTACTTTATCTATTTTTGTCTATAAGTCGGAAATATGAGATATTGTCTAGTAGTCAAAGTTTCTAAATAAATACCACTGAATGACTGTATAATGGTTTGTCATAATAAAATCTTTAATGCAATTTAAACACGTCGAACAAAAATTAAGAACCTTACACCTAATCCTTCGAACACTGGTAATGCGAGTTTTTCCAAGTAATTTTGTACAGATTCAAATAAACGTCCTTCTGTTGCATCTAATTGTTGAAATGAAACTTCTGTACCAATATTTGCTGTTGTAATAGCCTTGTCAGTAATTCGTAGAAAGATAAAACATGTACCACGTAGTACCTAAATTATAACGAAAAAAATGAGCGATCATATATGAAATATGAATAAAGCTGATAATTTTAAGTATAGCTGAATTCATGAATCGATCTAAGATAGATCACCATTGAAAACCTGAAAGAACTGGACGGCCATTTCATCCCAGTATGGGACTCTCCAGTAGTGCTCATCCACGATCTCGCATAAAAGACTTGAATGAATTCAACTATTAAAATTACTACAATTTCCATAAATCCACATACTGATAATGTTAAATATATACAAACACTTGAACTGTTCCCAATTCTACTTGTAAAACGAAACCACTTAGAATGTCTAGCAAGGTTATCAAAAATCTTTTATTAGGACGAAAATTTAAATTCATAGGACAGTTTTACTTGAATATGCTTAAACTATACTACAAGTGTTTAAAATTAAAGTTAGAAACTAACATTTCTTAAGGAAACTGTCCGTAATAAGACAAATATAAAATCAAGTGATTAGCTATATTTCTCAGTCAAGTCAGTTAAGTTACTGGTTTTTCAAACTATGTATTTATTAACCATCAGTCCAGTTAAAAATCATTGATTAACCGAAGCATTTAAAACAATTTGTATTTTATTATTGTGGATGTTAGTGGATGGTTAGTAAATAAATTAATCCTCTTCTGCTGTCCAGTTTTCTTCCATGTCTCGACAAAGCAATCACGATCCGTCGGAATCAGTGGCAGGTAGAATTTATTCATAATCAATATTTAGCTCAAGTCACAATCTTCACAAATAAATCTGTTCCAAGACATACCAAAAACATTTGGGAAAAGTTATCCAACTTTACAAATTATGTTATTCTGAGAACTTGACTTTTAGATCAACTTAATACATTCTTCACTTATGTAGTTATGGACGGTTTTGAACTTTTAGTTTAACTGGATAAATGTTACTTTTACATTGATAAGAAAATCTACACAAATCTGATCATCATTTAAAAGCTTCCAGTTACTATTTCATCAAACTAACAAAATTGTATAATTTACAGCATGTTTGAAATTAGTTTGATGTTTACTTCAAAAGTCTGTTTCATTCTTCTAACAAATAAACAATGACAGGATTGTTTGTAAATGATTACTAATAGTTTTAAAAGTTGACATAACTTTGTAATAAAACGTTGTTATATTTACTAAATTAGTTGCTGAAAGAATCGTTAGAGTAAGATGTTTCAAGATGTATATTTTAGATAAGTGTATCTCTAATCAGATAAGTTGGAAATTTATGGAAGTATGTAGGTTTTAAGATGACTCAGATTGATCTGTTTTCATATTACGTTAATGAAAAAGTTGCTATAGTACATTAATAAAAGCAATCCAATTCTGTCTTTCGGTTATGATCGATCATCCAAGAGCGATAATCATCGATTAGCTTAAAGATTTAAATCGATGATCGCCAGATCTATTTGTTAGTGAGAACATCCAAGCGTGGATAAATGTCTAGATAGCATAATAATGTAGAAGTTTTGTCATTTGCAAGTTCTGTAATGCAGAATAGTTTCCTTTAAGTTTATAAAATCGTCTTCTTATTAGATGACATATTTTGTGGCATACATTGATGACATATAATTGACTCATTGACATTTAATACATCTGAGTTTGTATAGCCATCAATTTACATATTCGTCTATAACAATGACTTGTATTCGGCGGCCTGCTTGATCATCTGGGCTACCTGTTCCTGCCATCTAGATATTTCAACAAGTTATCTATTTTTGTTTGTTTTAATATATCATTATGTTTATTAATCGCACAAACTATTCTGCTGCGTTTCTGAAAAGTGTACAACCTTTCGTTGTCAAAGTTACAAACAACTCAATAAGGGACAATGTGGCTGCTGGCAATATACAACGGAAAGAATGCACATTATTCAGATGTTCATTTAGTGAACTGCCAACATCTAACTGGCGATCACTCAATATTTATCGCCAGGACCGACGAAGAAGAAAGAAACGGAAACTTGTTAAAATTTTTTACGCTGAGAATTCTATATTGTACCAAAAATATAATATTGAATAAAGCTGATAATAATAATAATAATATTAGATAAACCACTCATTTTATTACATTAATTTTCGTACACACACTATCATTTGTAATGCCAACTCATTATTGATACTAGGTTTAACTAATTTATCGTCTTGTGGTCTTTTATTTATTGTTATAATCCAGTGGTTCATATCCCCAAATTTACTTAGTTTGTAGTTTAATATCACCGATGAGCGACTGTCTTACTTCTGATGTAGTTGAAACAAGACTAGATTCAAGTTTTTTTTTTAATTAATCTCTATCCGTTACTCAACCAAACAATAATCAGATTTTTATTTATGACTTACTTCGAAATGGTTACCTGAAGTTGTGATAAGAAACAATTACCGGTGGTGTTCAACTTCGTAAAATAACTTATGAACAATCACTTAACCGAAATATAATTCATGGAAAAACTACAAAAACTTTATAAACGTTTTATGCCTTATCAAAATTTTGAAAATATGTCATTTTATGTTTGCTAAAGAAATATTCACTTTTATACAACACTTACTTCATGAGTCCCAGTAGCAATAAATATTCTTTTTCTTGTTTGTCCAAAAGCCTGCACAATAAATAATATCCATCAGTATAGGGTTGTGGAATTTATTGAGTTTTGATTGAGATCATGAATGGATCAATGTTTAGACCACCAACGGAAACCTGGAAGAACTGGATGACCGTTTTGTTCCAGTATGGGATTCCTCAGGAGTGTGCATCAGCGACCCTGCACGTGTGGTTCTAACCCAGGACCTTTGTTCTACCGGTCGAACGCTAATATCGATCTATTGATGATCTCAATCAAGATAATAATTAATTTAGTGGATAGTATGTTTCAGTCAGGTGTCAATAACAGCTCTTAAAACAGAGTGACACTGGTTAGAGAAGAACTGAACACTAAGGGAGAGCTTTAATATTGTTATGAACTTCAATTTAAAAAATTGATTTGAGGTTTTTAATCATTACTCTTGTTTATGTCAGTTCGTGTCAAAAGCTATCTTCAAGAGTTGTTCAAAAAGAGAGAAACAAACACTTCCATTATGAAAATGTACTTTTTTTACAGAAAAAATTCACTAATTTTGACAACATTAATGCTACTTCAAATGTATCTATGAAAACATCAAGAACTAAATAGATTTTCATAGACATTTTACAGACAAAGAATATTTTTCCAAGGTTATTTCTGCTTAATATATTACTAAATAGGAATTAACTTAGTTTTGTACACTTCCTTTCATTGCACTAGACTATTAAAAATTAAGTTCAATTAAAACTTGTCGAGCCTGAAAGTGTCGAATGTTAAAATTTCATGAAGATATTCCATTATGTGAACGAATAATAAATTATATTCCTAAAGGATTTATAATGATGACGTAGCTTAGATTTCTTTCAGACTACCACAGTGGCGATACACAACTCATCGCGCACTAAACTACATGAAAATAAGTCAATATGAGATAAAATAGTAAATTGACCCTTGAATTCAAGAAAAAGCATGATATTTCACACTGTACTATATGCTAATAAAATGATTTATTTTCCAAATAATTTTCAATAGATTATCCTCGATCAAATATTTTTATAATTAACTAGATGGTATCTCAGTGAGTTGTTTTAGTAATTACTTAGTGACACTCTTTAATAGCAATGTATCCACATCAACATTCTTAAGGTTATTCAATATGTTTTGTTGAATCTAAAATATCACTGTTAGGCCGTCTATGTAAGTAAATTGAAGAAATTCCCTAGTGATTTAATGCAAAATGCACAAGTCTGATGTGATCAGTTTCCTAAAATAACCAATATAAGAGCGAACATACTGCGATCTGTTCCAATTCAGTTCTGAATTAAACGATCGAATTATTCATTGATTAGAAGATCCTAAATTTATAGCTGTATAGAGTTCTTAATACCTACGTGAAAGATGAATTATCTCTATGGTTATTAAAATTAATGAACTAATCTTTTTATCAGTGAATAGTGTATTTCATAGTAACTCGTTCATTCAAACAAATTACTTCAAAATATTGCAAAATCTCTGAAACTAACTTCTTGATAATAGAATAATAATCGTTTACTTCCTTTAGCTTGAAAGAATTCATCGAATTCGGACCACTGAAGTTAGATAATCGTTAAAGTGATAAGTAATGGTGTTATTAATAAATAGATTAACATATTCAGATAAATACTGGTGAAAAATGCGGTATACATTCATTGGAATTATCTTGAAACCTTCAAGAAAGCAAAAAGTTATCGCACTTTAATAATCTTATTAACTGACCACCAAGTATCAACCAATCTCATGTTTCTGTAATCCTTGGGTACTGAGCTAGTTCGAACGATTAGGTGGTAGTGTGTTTAAAGTGGCTCGACATTTTGTCGACTATGTTTTGATGCTAAATGACTAAAGGTAATCTGCAAGAAACCCATCAAGGAAATGATACACCCTGCGGAGTTCTTCTACTAACACTCAATGATTAATGGATACAAACATCTCAGTCCCGTGCTAGAAAGCTTGGTGTTAACTACTGAGACTGAGAAACTAGATGAAGAGCGTTAGAACTTGATATAAAACACAAATTACTCTCAAAATTCTAGGTACGCCTTGGTAATAAGCCATAATTAGAACAAAACCTAGGTTCGGTGATCATTTCAATAGACATAATGATAACCTAAGCTGCGTTCATTTTCTTTATAAACATATATGGAATTCATGAAAAGATAAAGTTTTTGATGTTTTTGGAATTGAGTCATTATGAAGTTCAGGAAGTTTGTTTTGTCCCATTCTCTGCCTATCCGCTTGGTGTATCTACAGTGTAGCGTTGATTTTTATTCGGAACTGAACCAAGTATCTACCATTTAAAATGCGAAAGCCTTATCTACTAAGCTACTGAGTCAAGGAACTGATCAAAATCCATTCCTAAATAGAAACAACGGGAAAACCCAAAATGTTATGAATAATAAACCATTTTTTTGTATTATATGAGTTATTCATATTGTGAACAAACGTCATAACTAACAAGTGACATGGGATTTTAAACTCTTTAAACCATATACCGAATGGAATTTCCAAAATAAATCAGTAGATTGTGTTTTTAACAGTATGATCTCAGTTTAATTAGAAATCTAAAGTAGACTGAGAGAATATTCCTGTTTTTAGGGTAACTTTTAAGTTTGTCGATTCATTTAAAATACTTTTTGGACTTTTCATATCGATCTTTATTTTCGAATCACTTCATTTGAGTAACATTTTCTTTGGCATTCAACATCATAGTCTTCTGCCCACCATAAAACACTAAAGAAACAATCAATCATTGATGGCTTATCGGTAAAAACCGATTTCCTGCATACTTAGTTTTCTCTAATAATAACAGTATTCTCTTTTGTTCTTTGATATGTAAATTATAATTTCATTTATTATTTTAAACAGTAGCAACTGGCCTCGGAGAACAGTAAAACATTTTCATCTTTCAATTCTGTTGGTGAACTTGCTTAATTAAGTTTGAATATAAAATAGAATATTTTATAGTCAATTACACATAGGTCTAGCAAATAATAATTTATTCTACATACTTTATCGTCCATTAATAGAGTATCAGTGATTAATTGAACTTCAAGTCGTATAGCTTGGGCCAACTATGAAATGAATAAAAAGAAGAAAAAAAGAAAAACAAATTAGTAAAGTAAATGAATACTTGACTTGGACGATATTTTGCGGGTTTTTTTCAAAGTCGTGTGATTGAATTTCAGGGTTTTCGACTGAACAAGATGTGGATGATCTGATTCAGAATGACAATATATGCTTTGTGAATTAACTATTCAACGTAAAAAACGAAATGTTAATTAATTAATATACATAGGTTATTTCGAAAATGAGAAGACTTTGTCAGAATATTAGCTTCCAGAAAATGACATATTCAACTTAACTGTCTCTAAAAAAAGCATGTTATTCGCTGGAACGTAAAATTACATAGAGGTGAGGACTATGGGAAATCATATCCAATACTTCATAGTTGACTTTTTCATACTTATTTAAAAATGTATTGTTTCAAGGACTATCTTATCTTAAATGTGACTTACTAAAACTCCGGCTTCGTGTTTACCTCAAGACACATAAACGTTGAGGTTAAATCATTGGTAGACAGAAGGAGTGGATGAACAGTTCGAAACTGTTGATAGAAAAACTGTTCAGTAAATTTTGGTTTTCAATTCTTCTTGAGGTAATTTTGTATTATGACGAAAAATAATCTTTTTATGATTAGTTGTTGACGTTGCTAAGTTTCATAAAAAATAAACGAAACTTATCGAGTTTCATTTAAAATATCACCAATTGAGTAAACCAAACCAATATTTAAATTAAAGTTCATACCCGTTGAACATGTCAGTAGCTATATGGACTGAGTAGTGGATAGGGCGATAGAGTTTAAAATGTAAGGTACTATGTTTGAATATGTCAGTGAACATCAAGTTGTAATAACTAAAAAATAACAATAAAGCTAATAATGACAAACAAATGAAGACCAATTTTGTATAAACAATGTCTTGTGGCCAAAGTGGTCACCACTTTCGTCACCCGATCTGAATCCCTAATATGATGAAATATAAACCGGAATAAGACAAATTTTTCTCAATTTATAATGAATCTGCCTCTCAAAGTTCAATATCTAGCATTGTTCGGTTCATTTAGTCCGTGAATGCTGCTGTGAGAGCATAATGTTTACTGGAAATTTAATTCCAAGGTCTAACTTTCTGTTTAGTTGTCTTTTTGATCCCGCAAGTTTGGTTGTGCTACAGTAGTATGTTCATAGAAGACTATATAGATGAATTTAGATTATTGAACCGAAGCAACCGGTGAAGATCAAACTGACATGCTAAATGAATGGAAAATGTCTGAAAAGTTAGCTTACATATCAAAACAGATGAACAATTTTATAAGCGAATGGAGATAGACAAGCATGAATATAGAGACCTGCACATCACAGATAAGATTACACTGAAATATGCGTGAGTCAGGTAAATCCACAAAATGCTTTTTACTAATCTGTCATATAGATGCACAAAATGGTTGTAACTCTGATTAATTGTTCATGTTTCAAGCCTATATGAGTCGTTACAAACCGTATAAAACAAATAAAATACTAGCCGATTGTTAATGAATAAAGAAAATTCGTTAAATAATTAACACTTACCGTTTGAATTATGTATAAATGCCTTCCATCCACCTAAATATACAAATATAATTTATAACTAAACAGATTGTATAATAGTCAAACTATTCAAAGTTAAATTACATCTAAGTAGACCGCAGTCTTTAGATACTTCTAAGAAGCACATAAAGTAATTCTATAACTATATCTTCTTTGTTAACCAAAATTAATTGAATAGAACGTAGCTATAAATGTATTTGACAATAAATATCGCTGTACCATAATTGGTGCAAAACATTAGAAAAAATTTCAACAACTGTAATTTTTTGTTATAATTTAACTGACGTTTAGGATTGCAATTGATCAGTCACTTTTGGCATATATGCATCCTGTGTGAATTGCCTCAATATTACCACTGAGTTACAAGCATTTAAATCAGAAATAGACGGTGGCTATCAATGAGGTCCACGACGCGTGTTTCGTTCTATTTAGGACTCGTCATCTGGATGGACTTGCATCCCATAGTTCACTCTGGGACTCGAGTCCAGTACCGTTCGCTTCAAACACCATCGCGGAATGCACTTAGCTACAGTTTCTAGATAGCCAGCGGCCTGTTCAATAGGGTGAATTTTGCTTTGTATTTATGTAAATATTGGTTGTTGGAATCTTTCCATTTATGTTTAATGAGTCTCGGAGTGAACATCCACTCTCGAATGCAGACATATTCAACGCACAAGTCTCAAATAGGACGAAGAGGCGTCCTAGATCTCAGTGCCAGCCATCTTCCATCTTTGCTTAGAATATATCTTGATTTTCATAATTTCGTTATTTATTATGGCATTCATTTTCAAAGTATAGAAATTATTGTAAACTTTCTGTTAGGGAAATGAAAGTACTTTACTGAAAATTCTCGTATTCTTTTAGACTAGACTTTACTGCAATAAAGCATTATCTCTCTTACTGCAAGTAATATTACACAGTTATCTCCGCTAAACTAATAAATAACTGTAGATGTATTTGTTCATAGCTTTTATTGTAACCATAAATGCATTCTTTATCCGACACCAGATTATTTTAGTGTTCAGGATAAAGTCGATGGACCTTCTAAATTATAATAAATGATTTATGAATTGTTGAGAGAATCTTATTTCATATCATATGAGACTTAGCTAAATTTTTGAAATCTCGTTGTACTAAATCTCTACTGTTAAATAGATTTCTTTTACGGTGATGGTCGGAGATAGTCGACAAGATATCTCTAAATACTATCTTACATCCCAACATAGCGTACGCGATGTCGAGTCGCTTAGACTAGTGGCCACATTGCAAACGAATCGATAAAATTCCACTAATACCAAGAATGACTAAATATATATGACAATGGTCATATTGATACTTAACTATTTAGTTACTCAAAAGTCTATAGTTTGTGCAATAATTTTTTTAAAAAATATATAATGAAATATTATGCTGATTAGGTTGTTAGCTCATTTACCTTACTAAGTGTACTAAACTTTTAACAACACCACACACTTTAGATAGTTTTATAGTCCAACACAAAGTAAGCGTGAAAGGAATACTGAGGAGATACATAGGTGGAAATTTTGCATATTAGAAATAAATTCAATTCTAAAAAATAGTTAAACTTAACATAGTTTTTTAAAAAACATTGAGGAGCACATTTCAATCTCAGTTTGATATACTTAATAATTATGGGTTTCGGACACATACTAAAACTAGAAACCAAGCTGCTTCAACTTTTTAACAATAATCATATGCTGCTAGAACTCGATGACTAATATTTTTCAATTTTTTGATAATCCCTACATTCCGTCAGCTTCAATCAGTAACAGACATGAATCTAAATATATTGATTTTCTGATTCCGACCTGATAACATGAATAAAAGCGTGCACAAGTTTGATTTAATTCTATTTTGTATTCGTTGAACCATTGTTAAAATGCTATCAGGGTTTTTTGATGCTTATATACCTGAATAAACTTGCATTAAGCTTTCATTTAATAATATTTTGATATTATTATTAACAGAACAGTATCTATCGAAAATTATGCGAAGATTCATAAATCACTTACAGTTGCCCGACGTTCTTCAACTAATTGTTTTAGTCGTTTACTTTTTTGTCGATTTGCTTCAACCTGACTAATTAATGTGCCACGAATTGTTTTTACATCCTAAGCAAAATTAAGAAAAAATTCATTCGATTAGAGAAATATTTCTGAAGCTTGGAATTATATTAAAATTACATATGAGTATTTGTACAGATAAACATTTAAGATAGTTCTCGTCTCTTCAAAGGAATAATATCGATAGTCAATATTTTTGGCAAGAAATACTTATTTACGTCTCCTTCATTACTATTATTGTTAAATTAAAAACAGGTAAAAATGAGGTATCAATATCGCTGAATAGTTGGAAATTATCGGTATTGTCTGCTTCAATATGTCAGTGGTAGAAAGGGAGTAAACGTAAGATTTTAAAGTAAATCTTTTTCATTTTGATGAATCTGGATGGTCTATTGAACAAATATCCCCTGTCTATTCAAAAATGACATTTAATATAGAATCTCAAAAACTCGGTTTTTTCGATTTCATTACAGACATAAATAAGGTGTCCAGGTGTTCATCTATTTTGGGTTCAGCCTCCTTTAGACCTTTTCCAATCAAGTTGTCAGTCTTGTTTTCATTTCATGAATGTTTGGTAGAAGTCACAAAATGAGAGCGTTGGTTGCAAGACATTCTAAGATTGATACATGCGTTAGTTTTAAATTACATATTATATGTTCATGTTCTCGTTCAATCTGCTCCTCTCTCTCTCTCTCTCTCTCTCTCTCTCTCTCTCTATATATATATATATATATATATATATATATATATATATAATGTTCGTAGTACATATTACAGAATAAATGAGGAGAAATTTTCAAAATGACAAAAGTAACACCTTGTTCATCCTATTGTGATATATGAATGCATTCTTGTTATTAAAAATGATAAGAAATTTACCTAAACTTTTTAACAATATTAACTTCTATTGTGAAGTAAATGGATTTCATTCAATGGTTTCTCATCGATTGCTTACAATCTAAGCATTATAGTTGATGAGAAACAGTGAAATCTGTTTCCGTTCTGGTCAAATTTATCGATGGGAAAAGTTCTATCAAAAATAAATCAATTTCGTTGAATACCATAGTTTATTCTACATCTAGTATCATTTTTATATGTTGATGATTGATCAGTGTGAGCTGTTGCCTTAAAATTTAATTTCATCAGTAAAATTTTTATCCAGAAATTCAATTCATAATAGACAAAGCTAGTATTTGATTTTAGATATCTTTAAATAGCATCAGATTGATATTTCTCTTCGCTGAGGTCAGTTATGGTATCACTGAAAACCTGTTTCCGAGCAATTAAAGATATTCAAGAGGGGAATATACAATTTATATCAAATGATTACTTTGATAAATGCTCAAATGTCCTTGGTTCATAAAAGTTCATATATTTGTTAAAAATGTTCATTTGCTTAAAATATTTTGTGTTTTATCAAATTTTTATTTGTTGTCTTAATTACAAGTCCGCGGCTAGAAATCAATGAAACTTAATAGACAAATATAATTTATGGTATATTTACATTCTTTCAGTACATTCAATTCCTTCAGTTTATGAAACCATCGAGTATCATCTAAATTTACAATTAATGTTGCTTATGGTTTAATACATAAATTCGTATTTGACAAATAAGTTACACAAAATAACGTTTATTGCTTGATTACAATCAGGGTTTTAACACAGTCAAATATTTTGAATATAACAAGTGACCTGATAAGTAGTCAAATTCATGTAAGATGGTAACCAGTAAGTAAACAACTGAAGGAATAATAGACTCAGATGTGCTTTGGATAACTTTTTATATCCTATCATATCGACAAAAGCATGAGTTGAATGACAGTGAATTCGAAAAAATACATCTGACGTCATATTCTAAATAAACCATCAGAAATCAACTGAATTCATATGTTTAAAATGGATCGCTTACATTTTCTTTCAAAGTACCATCCACCTGATCTGAAAATTTGAAAGGAAGTAAAACAAATATCTTTTTAATTACTGGGGACTAAGAATCGAATTGCATGTTTAAATCTAGACAGCCACTGAAAACTTGAAAGTACTGGATGGCCGATTCATTCTAATATGTGACTCCTCAACAGTGCACATACGTAACCTTCGGTCCTACATGAGAATTCCTAATCTCTAGACCAATGATCCGAGATTTATTGGTGTACACGTCTAACTTCAACCAATCTACTATAAAAGACTGAAGTGTTTGTAATGTCATCACAAAATACAAATGGTTGAAAATCATACTAGTGTGGTGTGTGCTTTAAATGATATGAAGCGAGAATTGGATTTAGAGCGTTTATCAGAAGTTTGAAACAAAGAGAAGCGAAAAGAGAACGGAGAGAAATCTCAATAACCATAGGATTGGAAGAATGATGGAGTGTGTAAACGACAACTCGAGGAAGATATGCAAGTGATGTATTTGATATATAATTTTCATATTTTACAAAGACACTGTTTGATTTAACAAAAAACAATTAATTAATTTACCGTACCTGAGTTTCCGTTCACTACATTTGTATATATACTTCTATAAGATAATTGATTTACGTAATATTTCAGCATTTTGTGAGCTAGTTCGATTAATAATTTACTACATTTACATTGTTTCAACTGACCATTTTTATTAAAATAGGATTCTGTTAGCACTACTATGTAAGGCTTTTACTTTACCCTCTTATGTGAACTTGTATTTATAGTAAAATGTTTTTTCAGTCACCTTCGCAACTTATTTAAATTATGGTTTGCAATATAAAAATATCAGTTAATCCCTGAAAAACTCTCTGTATCATTCTATTCAATCTCTATTTTCTCAAAATTATTTTGAATACAATTATTCCAACTATTTAGTTTCGTTACGTGTTACTGAAAAATAGAGTACAACTACTTTTCTAGTGTACTCTGATTTTTTCTTGACACCATTTTAGTAGTGTGTTCCTATTGTACTCTTTTACTTGCATTGAGATATAAAGATATCAATATTGTACCACCAATAATTTAAACTGAATTGTTATATTCTTGTACAACAATAATTCTTTAATCAATTAACTCATAAATTAAATACCATAACATAATTTAACTAACCTGATGTAATTAATGGGGGAGCTATTTCTGATTGATTGTTAGATGACATTTTAATAATTCGAATTTTTTAATCCTTCATTTGGATTCATTTTATTAATAGCAATTAAATTTATGAAAGGAAGGATAAAATTAATTAATGCACCATTTATAAGGTTCTTCATTATATAAATTAAGACAAGTTTATGTCAAATAAACGTTATGTCATTCGTATATATATATATATATATATATGCGTCGAAGATTGATTTGTTTACCATGGTGATAGTTCACATCAGAGATCAATAATTTTAAATAAACAACTAGACACTGAAGAGTACTGTATAAAGTTGTGTAATTATTAAGATTACACTGATTATTGAAGATGACGTTTTTTGTATGGAGTGAAATGAAAGTCATAAGTCTGACTTGTTAAAATGGTATTGTATAGGTAAAGAACCGTGGATCACCACGGAATATCGGACGAATGTTTTACCCCATCCTAGAATGACCCATCAGTCTTCAATGATGATAACACTAGGGGTCAAACGCAGGGAGTTCATGTCTTACTGTGAGAGCGTTACTTTTCACCCACTGAGTGAGAATTCAATGATCCACATTTCAAACCTCTTTTAGCTCATAATATTAGTATCATCGTCATCCGATGTCATATATGACATTCGTATCACGCCCAACATTACTGATATCCACCGATTACAATTTCTTAGTGGAACATTGTAAATTTATTTAAAAGTTAATTCTTAGTGAACAACTGATTACCATTTATCTAATTAGTTATAAGCAATAGTTAGATTTTAAAATAGTTCTCGTCATGGACTGATTAGGTTTGAAGAGCAATTGAAAATCAAGGGACATCGAATAAATTTTTAACGGTATTCTGAGATTCTTTGTCAGTGTATTAGCTAAATGGAGTGGAATTTGGAATAGGTAGCTTTTTAAAAAGATACTTGTCTTCAAAAATTACCAAGATTTTTTTTAAAACTTGACACCGAAAGGTTTAGAGAAAGAATTGGGATTAAAAATGACATTGATAAAATATTAGTTGCTACATATAAAAGTACAAATCAATCAGTCGATTAAGGTTTTCCTCAAAATTCTAATTGATACATCTGTCAGTCATCAATCCAAATAATGAAAACTAATCTGGCAAACTGAATCTATAAGCGATGAAAACTTTACTGACAAATTATTTTAACAATTTAAAACAACTAGTCTCTTTGATACATTTGAGATTGTATAACAAGAAGACAAAGACTATAAGAATTATGGATAAGGTTTATTGAAGCTTTGACCATACGGACATTTAAATCCTTTCTATTTATTCAAAATCGGTTTGTTCTCACCCCATACCTACTCTATTAACATTGTTTAATTATCTAGCTTCATATTATTTCTAACATTGTTTTCCTTATTATTTCTGCTGATCTTTTAATTTTTCATGTGTAAATGTTCTTAACAAATGTATGTCATCAGTTTGTTCGAAATGTATCGATCGAATATATCAGATAGTTCTAATGATCTTTGTCTTCAATCGCTTGTGGTCTCCATAAGGATTATACTTCGTAAATAATAAACTCAAGGTCACTGACTATTTTTAAAAGAAAAATAATTTACACCAATAAAGTAGTGAGAATCGTGCTTTGACATAACATCTTCAACTGATCAACAATGATGATGACCACCCTATTGTTTCTCGGCAGTTTAAATGAGTGTCAATGATTGTATACTTTGATTTTTGTACTTATTCATGAACTTTATTCTCTTTTGAAACTTATATGTCAGTGAAACCGTAACTCATAGTTTTAACTAAGTTTTATCATAAAGGTATAACATAACCTCACCAATGCAAGAAAGAGGCAATTTACTAGATAATTCGCATGTACTAATTCAATTATGTTAGATACGACTCAGTGATCAGGTTTGGTTTAATGTATTCAGCTTAAAACTCCATATTGTTTTGGCTGATAATACTATGTAGTTTTAAAACTGAATTAAATGAAGTGGGATTTGATCATGAATTCTTTGAAAACGGGTGGGAGTATACACCTCATACTTATATGAGGATCAGTATTTCAGTGGTCTATAGTATTCTCCGTGAATATGTCAAACAAATTAGATAGCTTAAGGGTAAATTTCCTGAAATAAATGTTACAGCAGAAATACTAAGATAACTATGGTTTAGTTGAGTAATTATTTGTTATGTAATTTTAAATACTATACCAATGTTTTATGCTCCTTAAATATTTCTTTTTAATCACAACTGTTTGACTAAGCCTTAAAGAAATAATATTAAGCGATCTTAACAGATTTCGAAGTAAACCAGATCATTATTTCATATTTTTCACAATAATAAGTTATATTCAAAATTTTAATGGACTCATCAGTGACGTTTATAACCAGCGTATGTTTAAATTTACATAAACCCAATTTATCGATGCCAATTGTTTTGCAAAAATTCAGTATAAATATAAACAGTGACAGTGAAATTAAAAAGTCCTACAAACTATTCTAAATTCTCATGTGAAAACGTTCTATGCATATATTTAACTATTCAGATACTTTTTTTTGAAGAATTATTGTGTCAGGTAGTTTTTGTTCGCAATACATTTAAAGGGATCGCATGTTGATTTGACATTCACCATTTGTATTTGAATGCTTTCATTTCAGTATTAACATGATCTGTATATGTCTAAATGACTAAAGGCCTCTAAATTCTATTGATTATTGTAATAGTATACATTCAGATTTGATCAAGATTGATAAGATCGATATTCACAGTTTTTTGGTAAACAAAAATAAACCAACCTTTATTATTTATCATACGTATTACTAAATTATTTGAAGTGCATCTCGTTATTAGGCAGGATCGAATCCCATTTTTCTGACAATCGGTGTTTATTAACACAGAAAATCATTGATAAAACATAATTATACTATGCAACTGATCACATCTATACCTTGTATTCTGTTGAGAATATTTGATAACATGCACCCAGCTTAGAGCTAACTAATTTTAACAAGTAGTAAATGTGTAATAAGGTATTCTTTAAAAGTTATTTTTTTCAGATTCTGTAATGAAAAACCTTTACAACATGTCCTCTAGTAATTTGACCTGAGATTTTTAATGATAAGGTTGAGTACAAGCATATATTGTAGGACGATTATTTATCAAAAAATCCTTTGGTGGTCTATTTACCTTTGATAATTTTCATTACCTTCATGCAGATCTTTAAACTAGAATGAAGTGTGAAACGTTGAAACTATGTATTTTTTTATTGCTAACATCTTTCCAAATATACTTTATGATACAGGGGGTTAATCAGAAATCGGCCAAATGATAATCTCACACTATTGAACAGGATTTGGCTTCCTTTACAACAGGCATACGTTATATATATATATGCCCAATAAATTGATAAGTATATTTCATTTATTGAATTTAGCCTCAATTACTTTACTATTCCGTAAAATTTAACTGGAATTCATTGTTTAAATACGTAATTTGTTTCACTAAATGATTATCGATATAATAGATTAATGTCCATCGAAGTACCACTGAAAATAAGAAAATACTATGAAGTGTTATTACCATTAGTTTGGGACTTCTCAGTTGTAATCACCTACTAACTAACACTAGGTCAAACTCAGACCCCTAAAGTTCGTCACCAATACTTGAGCTGGAATATAATGATTTGTATTTATAGATTAAGCCAGTTCATTGTTTCATAATTTAAACACAAATGATTAAGGTTTTAGAAAGTGGTAATAAGAAAACATTAGAAAAACATATTTTTAATATTTAATTCTTACCTTATTTAATTGATCAACACAAAAACTATCCTGAAGATTTTGATATTGAAATCACGATTTAATTATAGTGTTAAGATTCTTCTCAGTTCTATAAATTTTAAAAAACGTTTTCACTAAACAATTAACAGTGAACTACATAAAACCTACAATATTTCTAAGGTTTATTCTCTTTTTCATATGATGATATCCTCTTTTCTTAGTTAGGTTTATAGTTAAACATCGACCAGTTGAATTATTTCTCTAAATGAAGTAACAAAAGTCACCGATGATGTTATTATTGTATTTTTTCTCGGCTTCTGAAAACCAGAAAAAAAACAGTCCAATTTATATTTTTGTTAACTATATTAATTGCCTACTTTTTTGTATTATATGCATATATTCTCTCCAGTTTTATTGGTTACTATTTATACAGAGATGATATCGTAAAATTCTCAGTGTTAGCAACTGTTGCTAAGAGAGGTATCATAAACAAGTGTGCACAATATTGATTCGTTGGACAAAGTCGACCTTAGCAACCAATCAGAATGACTTCATGTATTGTACGATGATAATAAGAATGATACTGATTACTAGTAGTAATAACATTTTCTATTAGTTCATTTATTATACCTAGTGAATATTGTCTTTTTTCATTCAAGCCACCAGTCACAGAGTAATTGATGCATACATTTTTTATGTTACGTCAGATCATGAGTCCCTATCTTATTACATATATTCTTTACTTGATCTACATATACTACTTAAGTTCAGTTTTTCACTATTGTTGTTGTTAACTTTATCTTAATTCCACTTGAGATGAGTTTACTTCAATTCCTTTTCTTATTGAGATAATAAAACTTTAGCCGATTTCATATGATGCGTCTGAATGAAAATTTCGTCTATTCGCCAATCATTAGTATTACTAAGATTAAAAAACTTGATATCATTAATGACTAATTAGTATTCTATCGCTAATATATATATACCATGTTTTAGCTATTGAGTATTAAAATAAATGATTTAACAGTTGGAACATAGCAGCTAAGCCGCTAATAAGTTCCAAATATTTGCGCGACGATATATATCACGCCAAACTAAATGGATCAGTAGGGGTTAAACATTATCGTTTCCTTGATTGAAGGTCAAGCATCTTTGCTACTTTTCGGTATTTCACTGCTGGAAAGTCTCTTCTATTCTCCAGATAGCCAGTCTAGTTGTCGACACTTGTCTGCCTTTATTTAAGATCAAACATTACTCTTGATTATCATTGTTTCTTCCTTTATTTTCCGTGGAGTCCTCTTAGATCACATCATTACGTTCTTTAGTTTTAAGTCGTCTTCATGTGAATAAACTTCTATCTTAGTGTAAACACCAACGATAGAGGAACTGTTGCCAATATTCACACTTCGACATTTATTGTACGATGGTATCGATACATGTGAGTTTACATACGAACATAAAAGAACTCCAGGAACTGCTCTAATTTCACATCATACTTCAGTGATTAAATTTGAAGACAGTTATTTTCTACATATTTCTCTAAATTACATACCCACATTGATTCGGTGCTAAAGCCCTCTTTGGTGAACAAACTGGTTTCAATAAACGTTCAGTCCAAGATAGGTAAATATGTTCTTATCCTCTTAAGGAATGAGCAGTATACCGGATTATCAAGGAAGACTCTCCACTTATACTCACTGGGACCGTTGTACCTCAACGGACTATATTTCTATGAACATTGAGCGTTTTACTGTGCATAATTTATTTCTCGTAATTTTCTGTACTTCTGTTGCTTTTCTAGTTATCGCCCCTAAGATAGTATGATAAAATGCATCGACGGACTTATTCTACAGAGCTTCAAAATGACCTATCACTGTCAATCAAAAAAATTCTTTATGACAAGTTTAGTTTTGTCAATGTCATTCTTTTAAATCATGCTGATATTCTTTCAAAACTGAAAACATATTTTCAAACAATTCGTTAAAATAAAAATTGACGTTAACCATCTACTTGTACGTAAATTGTACAGAAGTTTGTTATTACAGCTTATAATCAAGTATTTAACTGTTACCACTGGTGGGATACTGGATTGAATCTTTGTTGGTGCATAAGCAAAATAATATAAACTCCATGACGTAATACAAAGGCGAAGCAGTTTCTTATGTTAAAATTCTCCTGCCTCATCCGTTTCTTTGATTTGCCGAAGATTTAGATAAAGTACAACCGTTACCGATTAATCCCAGTAATATTTTAAAATGCGTTACTCCTATACAGTTCGCAACAAAACAGTGAAGCCGAATATATTTTGAACATCAAATCATTTATTGTACATCTTGTATTGAAACACTGAATATCTTAGGATACAATAATGAAATTTATCTAATCACGAACGATAATAAATCTCAATGTGTTATGATAGAATACAATATTGAAGGGTTCACTAGAAGTAATAAGAGAAAAATGTTTGTTTTCAGTGCTAATTAAAACGAAAGTAAACCATGACATAGTTTAAAACGAGTAGGCTCAACGCAGGATAGTTGTAAAACATTTTAAACACAAAATATACTTCTAAAGAGTGAACAATTCTCTTGTACTAAACAAACTATTCACCCCATACAAAAGTAATAAAGTTGGGTTTGAGAATTTAACATGATTAACACGAGTTAAGTTTTAACTTATTGGATGATAATAAACGTGTAAAACCGACTTCCTTCACAACAGTATTCATGTACTATTTGGACTTGTTTCCAGAGTCAAATAAATCCTTATCACCAGTTTTTGTGTTCTCACTACGCGTCTTTCTGGGGGCCCCGGTACGAGGCTAGTTAAGCATTCCACACACATAACAGTAACAGATAACATAAGCATGTTACCGTTCTTGTCTCTAGATACCATTTCATCAGGGGCTTACGATAGTATTAACGATTAGACCATTTACTTGTACAGGATAATAAAATATGTTTACGAGTGACATAGAAACAAATGATTAGTTATTTTGCTCAGCACACCTAAGAACTCAGCTGTTCACCAAAAACTGAACACAGCTATCGGTTCTGAACCGGTGATAGCACACCAGTTATAAAAGATAGAAGCTCACTGGCATAGAAATTGAGCAAATCAACAAATAACAGCGTACACTACTATTAATACTACTGTTCAACAACGCAATGTTGTTTCCAATTAGCCCTCTGGAAGATTACATCCAATTTGATTACAAAAATGGAAATTAATGCTTGAAACGTTTGGGTATTTAAATTCTAACTAGCCATTTGAACCACTTTTTTATTAACAGGCAAAAGAAAAACACGATCGGATCAGAAGTATATTATTATATTTACACTTATTAAAATAACTGAAAACATTCCAAAATATTGACCACAAAAAATGTATATTTCTTCAAATAAAAAAATTGTCAAAAAGAAAACAAACATATAATTCATCCCTGAGTAACATTTGACAGTCAATATATTGATTTTGCAAATTATATAAACACATCAGATTATTATGACTACGATTGCGGATGCCGTATTAATTAATGATTGATGAATAAATCAATCTTCATCCACGATCTTGTTTTTTACTTTGCAACCACATAGTAGTCTCGTTTCCTTGCAGTAAGTAGCCAATAACAGTTTTACCAGTGTAGTAGTAATCAGTATTTAGTTCAAGTCACAACACTCACATAACCGTCTTGTTTCAAGTCATTACCCAAATATAGTACTATTAAGCACAACAAAAGGAGATGAATACATATTTAGAACTAAACATATAAGCGAATAATATTGCTTTCCCTTAAATGGTCATATATATTAAGTGAAGAAATCTGAGCATATAAAAATGACTAGAATATGGAGTGAAAGGCAGTTAGTTGGTTAGCTAATCATATGACAGTTCTAATTGGACTGAATTTTCAAACAAAAGAGGACATTTCACTTTTTGGATTAGATTTTTTTATTTAGTAATAATTAGACCACGCATCATATCCATTGAATTGCCATCTGGATGTAACTTATGTCGAATCCCAGTATATATATCTTCTACTAATAGATAACCATAATTATCTAATCCAACTATGCGGTAGGTATTCGTATCAGTTGAATGCTGTTGATCAATTACGCCAGGGTTATTTTCACTCAACGTTGGATCGACGTGAAGTTGAACTTTTTGATTACTAGATAACAAAATACAGACGTGAAAATTTCATACGTTATTACCATAATACAAAAAAGAATACTAATAATTTCTCTGTACGTATTTTTTTTAATTTTACAAAAAAAGAATGTTCAGTGCAATTACTATATAGATTAGTGTGACTAAGTGTAACCACTGGTTGGAAATGTGGAGTGACATAGATCAAGATAGGTTGAAATGACGCAGTTTCAAATTTATCGTAAACTATTTTTCTTACCATTAACTCAGTCTTTCTTCACGAATCATAATGTTACATCTGACGTTGTTTATCAATTTACATGTGTGTAGTTATACATGCATAGGGATAAACCATCATGATTTGTAAATTAGGGTGTTTGAAAATGTACCAATCTACGTAGAATGCATGTATGCTAAAAGAGACTGATCAATGGGAAGATTCAAACAACCAATACAAAAATGAATTAAAGTTCAACCCACTGCACAAGCTAGCGGCTTTATGGACTCTGGACCTAAGAAGATAACGCAATGGTATTTGATGCGAACGGTACTGGGTTTAAGTCCCGAAGTGAACATCAAATCTCGCGTGCAAGTATATTCAGCCGACGAGTCCTAAAAAGAACGAAACACACGTCCTGGATACCACTGCTAGTCAAGATTCTTCTCTGTTTATAATGTACCAAAATGGTTACAAAAACATAACCGGATGACCCAATAAGAGTAGATGATAAACATACTTAAAACAGGTCATAAGATTGAACTTAGATTTTTGATTTTGTACAAGTGTTCAAGTACGCATATCAAGGTTTCTTGAAGCCTTGACCATACGAAAATCTAAATCCACTCTATTCATTCAAAACTCGTTTGTTCTCACCCCAAAACCTAATCTAGTAGTGATGTTTTGTTATCCTGAGTGATGAGTTTTTAGTGAATTTGGTAAAAAGAATATTATTTGTCCATACGCCTATATTAATAATCATATGAATTTTTAAACGTTTGGATACTGATAATAATCAAGTGCTCATTGGTAACTAGCTTAAAGATGAAACTCTTGAATTTCTAGTGAAAAGCCGTGACCAATGGAGTTTAGTCATATCGAGTGAAGCAGTTACTCACCGATGGCAATGAAAGATGGTAAAGGAATGTAGTGAATCGGTTGAATCTGGGCATGTACATGATTGCAGTTCACGATAATTGTCTAAAGGTCAGTTGTTCGTGTGCGAGACTAAACGTCCTGGGTTCGACCCCCTGTGGTGTTGTGGATCTGGACTTCCGAGAAGTCCCATACTAGGATAAAATAGCTGTTCAAGGCTTCCTGCTTTTCAATGGCTGTCTAAGATCAGTACGTGATAGAAACTATGAAAATTGATGATTATAAGCAAACATATCAGATGCATAACAGTGTCATTTAGGCTTTCCATGGTACTGTTGCAGTGGTTTAATGAGTCAGGTTAATGATTAGTACGAGTAAACAACGAGGCACTAGCAATCCGTTAAACAACACAGTTTAGTTCAACAAGTTATCAACACAGAGAAAATAATTATAAGATAGAATTCAAATCACGAAACTAAGCCTAAGTAACGAAGTTATTTTTGTAATTTAAACAACTTCATTCGACTCGGAAATGCTTATTTTTAAACTGGAGTTAGTAAAAAGACTAAAAGGGGGAAAGTGGCTGTCAGAAAATCTGTAAACAGATCCACATGTAGCAATGAGGCCAGACATCAGAACTTTATGTGTAGTTAATTATTGATTCATATGGTGTATAAGTTTACTTCAACGTTAACTATACGGTTCATTGTAGAAGTGACATACCAGAATGTCATCTGGAGAGGTTGATTAGAAAAACACCCGACATTGTAAATCTCCAAACAAATTACTCTAGTCATCCTCTAAAATGAAAGTGGCAAGGACTGACCGACTGGATATGCGTTTACCAATTTACCCGCTCTTGCGGACCTAGGCATGTAGAATGTTTGTCAAGGCCACTTTTTGGTCGCATCCGGGAGCATCCAATAGTATAGGTCAAGCAAAGGGTTACATAAGCAAATTACATAATTGATTCTACCACACGTACTAAATACAAGTCATTCAACATTCAACTAATCACCTGAAATCCTTTACAACATCCAGTCAGAGTTACCAAGAGGTGTGTGCTTGAACCTACTTTACAATGAGGACGTTTTGGCTATTCATAATGTAAAAATCGAGATTACGTGTACAAAAACAACTAGTTAGATCTCTTTCTTCACCAGAACCTCAGTTTCTAGTTTCGTTTAGCTTATTTGAATCATCTCTCTCATCTCTTACTCCTATGTTTATAAAACGATTCTAATTTACTATTACTATTATAATTATTATCATTACAAAGATTATTTCTATGCATATTTCTTGATTATCGTTCACAAATCATTGCAACTTAACGATACTCACTTTTCACCCTATCAGCCATATATTTCTCACGGTTCATAAACTTCCTCCTTCAATGATGTGTGAGGGTAATAATCCTTTTCCAAATGTCCAATATATCTGCGATATCTCGCATTTTCAACTATATTTCTGTTTATTTACTGTTGGGTTTGCAACAGAAAAGTGTAATTCCTACTAGGGACTTCGTTTCAGTGATCTAAAGTCATATATATGTCTTCCGTGAACATAATACTTGTAGTGCACCACAACTTGCAGGATCAAAAAGACAACTAAACAGAAAGTTAGAGCTTGAAATTAAATTTCCAGTGAAAATAATGCAATCACACCAGTATTCACTGACTAAATGAACGGAATAATGCTAGATGTTGAACTTTGAGAGACAGATTCATTATATATTAGCAGAAATGTGTCCCATTCCTAAACAAATATTTATTTTTAATGGTTAAGATCATGAGTCAGTTGAAGCTAGACCACCATGGAAAATCTATTTATTTATATATTTATTTGGACACATGAATATTGGTACAAGAGAGCGCCAATATATATGCGCCACACAAAACAATGAAAATTCAAGAAGAATACAAAGAAAGAAAAAAAAGCTAAGGAGCGCAAAAAAAGAGAACAATAACGAAGAGATTGGTGTAAGGTAATGTGCTAGTAATCAGGGAACCCAAAGGTACAATAGGTAGAAATCTTTCAGTTAAGGAAGACACAACCACTTTTTATGAAGAAAGTAAAAGAAGGTTACAGCAGGATCGCCACTGGCTTCTATTCTGAGCCATATCTGATAACGTCTCTAGCCACTGTGTAGCACCATCTCTCGGACCCCAACCAGGGAGTCGTGAAGGACCGACAGAAGCCAGTCCTTTGCAGATTTCTTTTATACCACGACACCATGTCATGCACTGACCACCTCTCCGCTTCTTCCAACCAGTCCCAGAGTCGGCAAATAATGCACGACGTGGAATTCTCTGGGACGACATTCGGAGAACATGTCCAAGCCACCGAAGTCGGTGTTTCAAGATGGTGACATCGATTGCATTATCATCTCTGTGCCCGAACACACGATGCCGAGCCTCTGCATTACTCACATGGTGTTGCCACTGAATGTCAGCAATCCTTCGGAGACAGCGATGATCGAACACGGAGTCGTCTAACGTCCTCAACTCGGAGAGACCAGGTTTCACAAGCATAGAGCAAAACTGCTCTCACCGACGCGTTGTAGATCCGACCTTTTACAGCCAGACTAACATCACGAAGGCGCCAAAGATGGCCCAAATTGGCATAAGCCGCTCTGGCTTTCACTATACGTGCATTGATCTCATCACTCACACCCCCACCAGCACTTATGCAGCTACCCAGATACACGAACTTCTCGACTACTTCTATCTGCTCACCATCCAGGGTGAGTACAGGATTGGAATCCTGCCAGTCTTGTAGGAGTACTTTGCACTTCGAAGGTGCAAAGCACATACCATACCTACAGACACTGATTGCCAACTGATTAAGTGCGGATTGCATGCCTTGGGCATTATCGCACAGTAAGACAATATCGTCCGCATACTCAAGGTCGAGAAGTCTTTCTCCAGGCAACAGATCCACACCACCATTACTTACATTCATCAGAGCTGTTTCCAGAATGTCATCGAAAAATTCTGCCCACCGTCCAAGACGTCGATGAATGTTAGTGATTGGCATCCCATCATCCTCGCAGATTGTTTCACTCACACCAGACTTCTTGCTGCCAGTGGCTCGGATGAGCTGGAAGAGCTTCCGGTAGTTACCAGATGCAGCTGCTGCTTCCAGCTCATTAACACGCTTCGACCACCAGAGGGTGAATAATGTGGATAATAATAATAATAATAATAATAATAATAATAATAATAATGACAACAATATTAATAATAATAGTAATAATAATGACAATAATAGTAATGATAATTATTTGAATCGACGGATCGTTTTTCGGAGCGAGAAAAGTGGTTGCCATAGACATAGATCATGCCACGTTGAAAGCACCGGTTCTCGTCCGATCACCGCAGTTAAGCAACGTTGGGCCCGGTCAGTACTTGCATAGGTGACCGGCTGGGAATACCGGGTGTCGCCGGCTTAGCCCCCGAATGCCCTGGTACGGCCGAGAGTGGGGGGAGTCCGCTCTCCCTCTCGAAATACTCTCACACAGCCATGCGTATACAGCCTCTGCCAGGGAAGTCCTACTCATTGCCTTCTCGTGGCGGGGGTGTTGTTTACGAAAATGAGAGGACGAAAAGCGAATGTCCGGCGCTTTAACCGGATCACAAACCAATGGTGCACATGGGCTCCAGTATCCTGCAGGAACAAATGGCGTATGAACCAATCTTTGGTCACCGGCTACCATGGGATTGCATCTCCTTACGATGCTCCACTGCCTTGTAGTTTGGACCTTTAGGTCAAAGGCTCGGGGTGTGGTCCCCTAAGATAACCATCTGCTTCGGTTTGGGCACCCGGGCAGTATCACAGCCCACACACAAACGATGAACTCCATGGAAAACCTGGAAGCACTGGACGGCCGTTTCGTCCTATTGTGAGACTCCTCAGCGGTGCGCATCCGCGACCTCGCCCCCTGAGATTCGGACCCAGGACCTACTGGTTTCGCGCGCGAGTACTTAACCACTAGACAGCTGAGCCGGCATCCAGCGGTGTTAATGTCTAACTTCAACTAATCCACGAAATTGGGCGACACATCCACCATTGCCTTCAGTGAGTTACTATCTCACAACAGACCTGGTTGAACTCCACTGGTCACTACTTCTCACTAGATTTCCAGGATATACTTATGTATTTAAAATGATGTATTCAAATTCCACATAACAATTAATGAAATTCAAGCAGACATAATATATATACAACTGAAAATGAATACGCTGAAAAGGATTCCTTCCCGGAATAATTGTGTACATTTCAAATAAACCTTATTTGACAAATAACTTACGTATGAATCCAGCATTTCGTGTATAAGTGAAGCACCCATCCAAGATCATAATTTGAATTCGGATTATAGATCCTCGTGATTATTCTTTGAATGTAACTCACTACAAGTGAAATTAACTTGGCAATTGAAAATGTTGGTCTCTTATTACACGGATGAGATTTGATCAATACATGTTCTAAACATATCGTAGGTAGTTCATTGAATGCATTAATGCCACAGCCTAGAATTTAATTGTTTCAGGAAAAAAAGCTTTTAAAGAAAATAACCGTGATGTGAATTTTTCTAGTCTACAACAAATTAACCATAATATCTGTCCTATCATCAATCATTCATTCTTGAGTATTTTTCTCTTCATTTTTGTGAGCAGGCTGAGGTACTCTGTTCAGGCGCCCAGACTGAAACAGGTGATTTCCTAAGTGGGCAACGCCCTGAAGCCTATGCACACTACTGGTTTGGAATCAGGGTTTTCCAACTCACTTAACTAAACCTTTCGAGTCCATCAATCAAGGTCTAAGCGCTGATCGACTACTTTACGTCCTCTTACTTTGGTAAATAAACACCCCCATCTCATGAAGACAGCAAGCAAGACTTCCATAGCAGTCGCTATAAACGTATGACCTTAAGAGAGCACTCTGTGGGAAAGTGCAATATTTGGTTGCCTGAACCGTAGTAGGTAGAAGGGGGGATCAAAGCTGCAACTTTACGAATGCAGCCAAAAAGCTTTAATGACAGAGTGAGCGCATTATAACGGAATTTTAGTGAGTAAATGAAGCATACCTATTGACACGTAAAGTGGTCTAATCACCAAATAATTCTTTAGTTCATTTAAACCTGAGGATACAGTCATAGTGTGTATTATCATATCATTTTTTGGTAACTATTGAAAGCATCTAAATCCTTTACAAGCTTGAATAAAGAATAAAACAAAATACACTCTACCAATCAATAATTCCACGTGATTTGAATCGACTAAACGACAACGAACTAATACGCCAGCCAATTTTCCAATAATATTTTGTTGCGAAAGCGTCGAACTGACATCTTGATTATTACACCAATTAATATTTTCGACAACATAAATATCGTTTGGCCATTTAATAAGGATTTTAGGTCCATGATATTGAAGATCCTGTCGAAAAGAAGTGTATCAAATTCAATACAATGAAAGCTAGCTATTAAAAAGACCTGTCATCAGTATAAAGAGAAATGACCGAATTTTCAAGTTGGAAGCAGTAGATAGTGGAACCAACTAAATTAAGACTGATGCATTATTGATATTGAATGAAAACAGCGCATGATCAAAGCTACTCGGCTGCTGAACTGTATCCTATGTTGCAAGACCTAAAGTCCTTTTATTTTATCCTGGGTGAGGTCGTGGATCTCAAACTGCAATGAAAAAGTTGTGCAGTGCTCTCTAGATTTCAATGGTTGCTGTTTTGCTGATGCTGATTTGTGATGAAACAATTTAATATTTCAGTGCAACCAAAGTATACACCACTAAATGTTAAGTCGAATAAAGTAATATATTATTGGTCAGTGAGCAAAGATAGATACAAAAATAAATTAAAGAGAATATTTTATAAGTAACTCTGATTCTACTCTATGTTAACTGCTTATAATTTGCGTCAACAAACTATTGCCTCATCTAATCTGGTTCTCATTTTTAGGCCAGACTTTAAGTAACTGAGTTTACACAATCTAGTGGCCTCCAGTCTAGTATTCAAGCTAATTATCTAACTCATTATCGAGTGATACAGCATCAAGTCATATTTCATAGAATTCAAACGTATTGTGAGTCCCCAAATGCCCTGGTACGGCCGAGAGTGGGGGGAGTCCGCTCTCCCTCTCGAAATACACACAGCCATGCGTATACAGCCTCTGCCAGGGAAGTCCTACTCATTGCCTTCTCGTGGCGGGGGTGTTGTTTACGAAAATGAGAGGACGAAAAGCGAATGTCCGGCGCTTTAACCGGATCACAAACCAATGGTGCACATGGGCTCCAGTATCCTGCAGGAACAAATGGCGTATGAACCAATCTTTGGTCACCGGCTACCATGGGATTGCATCTCCTTACGATGTTCCACTGCCTTGTAGTTTGGACCTTTAGGTCAAAGGCTCGGGGTGTGGTCCCCTAAGATAACCATCTGCTTCGGTTTGGGCACCTGGGCAGTATCGCAGCCCACACGCAAATATGATGAACTGCCTATAATTATGGAAACTACTTTACTTGCTTCAACTAACAATCAAATGACTCAAATGATTATTATTATTATTATTATTATTATTATTATTATTATTATTATTATTATTTGCCACATTATTCACCCTCTTTTATACTTATACAGCGGTTCGTCTTTGGTGGAAATTCGACTGCATCTAAACGTTCTGGAGTCACTGTCCGGTTGAAAATTGTATGTTACCACTGAATATGAGTACTGAAGCAGTTTTTCTGAAACCACGTACAACATTCAAACTGGCTGCCTTCAACGTTCGCACACTTATGCAGGTCGGACAACAGATGGGGCTGGCTAAGTCTTTGGAAAGTCTTAATATCGATGTCTGCTGTCTATCCGAGACCCGTATTCAAGACTCTGGTGAAGTACTACAAATTCGCTCATCTGTCGCTTCGAAAAGCTTGTTTTACATGCACTTATCCGGGGACCCTGTGGCATCTTCATCTGGTCTTGTTGGCGTTGGTGTCGCACTAAGCGCTAGAGCTGAGGCAGCACTAATCGATTGGATCCCCATTAACAGTCGGTTATGTGTTGTTAGATTAGATTAGATTAGAAAGTTCCATCAAAGTGAGAAACGATGTCTTTTCGTCATCTCCGCCTATGCCCCGACAGATTGCAGCTCGGATGCAATCTCTTCGTTATTGTTCTTTTTTTCACGCTCCTTACTTTTTTTTCTTTCTCTTCGAATTCTCATTGTTTTGTGTGGCGCATATATATTGGCGCTCTCTTGTACCAATATTTATGTGTTTAAATAAAATAAATAAATAAATAAATAATAAACGTATTGTTCACTGTCAAGTGCTTGGACAAATCTCTTTTGTTATATCGACAAACATGAGTGAAAGTAAATTAGTAGAAGTCATCAGAGTCATGTAAATCAGTCAAGACTGTGGTCTGTGCCCGATGAACCTCAAGGAGAATAAAATTGGTTGAAATATAATACCGTAGATAATGATTAGTTTGTTCTTATAAGAAATCTGGAAATGCAATTTAGTAAGCAAATAAAGGTTGGTGGACTTTGAGAATTAAAAAATGAAACCTAAAACAAGAAATGAGGGTTTTGAACCAGTAGCCCAATGGGTGACAATCAGCAAATATTTGATCATTGACTAACTTTTTATTTTATTTAAACCAGTGTATTAAAAGCATCAACAACTTGCACAACTCCCCTTCTGATAGATAAATAAATAAATAACTGATGAAAAACTTTCAAACCATAGAAAAGAACTTACAACAAGAAATTCTTCATTGATATCACAAAAATTAGTATCACCTGAAATGATCTCTAAATGTTCAGCAATTAATTGTCTACAAGCCAAAACTACACTCAACGCTACAATATGTTGTACACAAGTCACACAATTCATAAACATTTGACTATTGGAAGTGGATAATGTTAAATGGAATGTGAATGCAGCTTGTCCAACAGGACTAATCCACTTATTCTCTCCTCGACCTAATAATATTGGAAAACATACAGAATAGTATTCATCATAAGATAGTTACAGTTTAAAGATTATCTTTAAAACAAACTGATATAGGAAAGTCATTGAAAACCAGGCAGCACAAGACAGCATTATTATCCTGATTTCTGTCTTCATAATGATGAGTACTTATGACTCAATCTAAGACAAGACTTAGGACTTTTAGATCCTACAGCGAATACGATTCTTTTAGATCAGTAAGTCTCAACCCAATACTGTCTAAGAGGTTCTAACGATTAATTGTCAAACACAAGACCTGAATTAGATCCCCAGAGGGGTCGAGAGTGTAAATTGTTGAGTTCAATACTAGGATGAAAAAGTTGCCCAGTGCTCTCTGAAACAGTGATTCAATGGTTAAAGCGTTCAGCTAGCAATGGAATTCAGGATGCATGTTTAGTCCTTTTTCAGATTTGTCAACTGAATAAATCTGTACTCAAGTGTTGTTTCTAACAAAGAGATTCGAAACCAGTAATAAATAGGACGAAAATTGCTTCCTGGATCCCACTGCTAAGTACAATCCATCTACTTTTATATAACATTGTAAAAAAATGACTGTATAGTGACAATCCTTTTAAGACGCACATACGCCAACAAAAACTAATCAAAATTTAGTTAGCAATATCAATAATATGATCATTTAAACCCCTTCTAGTAATGAAATAAACAATGGATTTAAGATATTACATAAGTAACTGAGAGAAGTAGGAACATTAGTAGATTTATATTAGTACTATAGTATGGATAAATAAACAGCTACAGGGTCAGAATAAGCTTGATTATATCAGTTTTTATAAACCGAGTATACATGCCAAAATTCATTGATCGAAATGAACTTTTAAAACCTTAACAATTTTTACCAGTATAGAGAGGATTGTGGAGATTGAAGAATATCCCCAGCTTAAGTCATAAATTGATCTTAGTTAGACCACCATTCAAAAATTAGAACGACTGTACGACTATTTTATTTAAGTATAGGGGAATCCTCATCAGTAAGCATTTACGAATCTGACACAGGACCTTAGGTCTTGAGCGCAAACGCAAATGGCATCCAGTGATGTACAAGTATTACTAACTTACACCTATTATACCTCGTGGAGCGGCACAGGCTTCCCACCAAGATTCGCAAACAAACCAACCAAGTACTATTTATTCTTTTGATATCTGCCTTCGATTCCCGGCTCCGTAAGTTCCGTGATCTTCCTCTTTTCCTTTTGCCTCCAGGATTCCAAGTTAGGGCTTGCTTTGTGATACGGTTCGATGATTTCCGCAATGCATGTCCTATCCACTTCTAGAGTACATTCCAGCTGGAAACTGGTTTGTTCTCCCCCACAGTAGATTGTTACTGATAGTGTCTGATCAACGGACATTAATTATCTTGCGTAGACAACTACTTATAAATACCTGGTGGTAGTTCTCTAAGTTTCAGCTCCGTACGGTAGAACTGTCTTGACATTCGTACTAAAGATTCTGAACTCGATGTTGGGTGACAGTTCTTTTGAGTTCCATGTGTCCTTCAATTGTAGGAATCCTACCTTGCTTTGGCAATCCGTGCTTTCTCATCTGCATCAGATCCTCCATGTTTATTGATGATGTTACTCAGGTACGTAAAATATTCCATCTCTTTCAGAGCCTCTCCATTAAGTGTGATTGGGTTGGTGCTCATTGTGTCGTATTTCAGGACCTTGTTTTTCCCCTTGTGTATGTTGAAGCCTACTGCTGCAGAGGCTGTTACTACACTAGCTGTCTTCACCTGTATTTATTGCTATGTACGGGATAGAAGAGCTAGGTCATCTGGGAAGCCTAAAAGGTTTAACAGCATCCAAGCTGTCCACTATATAACTTCGATGAATTCATGATATTAAGCAACCCTCACCCATCATCTGCAGTGGATAACAGTTGCACATTCGAAGTATTTGAACTACACTGGAAAAGGCTTCTCACTGGAACTTCAGGAGTAGTATCTTGAAGTTAGTCACTAGTGAGCACATAAGTATTACCAGTATAGGATTTGTGAAGATTATAGAATTTTTGTGAATGTATTATCATGAAAGCCTAACATACGTCTGAATTTCATATTAATCAGACAAACTGATGTGTTCATGATAGTCACGCTACCTTAATAAAATGTACTTTTGAACATGCGCACAACACTTAATAGAAGTTAGAATGATGTTCTTGTAGTGATAAATTCAAGAATGAGGCATTCTATAGGCTGATACTATTAGAGAAACTACCGAATTTCTCGCGTGAGATCAATCGTCCTGGGTTCGATCTATGGTGGGGGATCGTGAGTGAGCACTAATGAAGAGTCTCATACTGGGAAGAAATAGTTGTCTATTGGTCCCAGTTGTTGTTGAGCATAGGTTGGTTCCTGATTTCAACAAAATTTAACAATCTCCACAACCCTGATACTGACAAATAGTTTTTTACATAACTAGATTTTTTTATGATAAAATATAAATATGTCAACATTGATACAGAAGCTTTTCTGTCACATTTACTTTAATTCAGTCAACTCCTTTTTAAATATTTTAATATCTTTGATTCTTATGGCAATTTTTATTGACTTATTGACTTTTTGCCAAAAACGGGTATTTTCTTGGTCTATTTAATTAATATACAGCCTGTAAGTTAGTCACTGGATAAATTATACATACTTTTGACTAATGAAGGGTCCGCGTGATTCTTCTGACTAAATGGTTGAAAACTTAGGATAATATGGCTCGGAACCGACAAAGACAGAGTAGTCTGCACTCATTCTATGTTTTACCTCAGATCTTGAGTTTCAAAGTTATCTTATGCTTCTTACTATGCGAATTTATCCCCTCTTCTCGAGTCATATTGTCTATGCTTAATCTTTTCTACTACTATCACTGATACTGTTACTATATATACTACTCTAGCATCTGCTTTGATAATTTAATTATACTGGAATGACACGTTGTGGAAAAAGTGGAACCGAAGCATATACACGCAAAATTTTACTTTAACTATGACTGACTGGGATGGTATCGAAATCACTAACCAACCGTTAGACAATCATCTAAAACTGGAACCACTGAGGAGTTGTCTCGTCGCAATGTTAAACTACTCAGGAGTTAGCATTCACAAACCCTAGCCACTGATTATCGGTTCATGATCTCAGTATCAATCAGCAATCCTCACAACCTCACACTGAGATAGTATTGTATGTACTTACAGTATCAAGTTTTAATTATTTGATTTCCGTAAAATATCAAATAAATTATAAATAACAACATGATGATACATTGTTTACCTTTCCCTTTAGATTGAATATTAGAACATACCAGCAGACCAGAATTTGGATGGATTCGTTCAAAGAATCTAGAATACAAAATATATGTAGAGAAATACTTTCAGACACACAATCTTAGTAAATAGAGACAATTTAATGGAACAGCAAAAAATAAGTAACGACAGAATGAGAATAATTAACTATGGTGATGAAAATGTCTTATTAGAGTATTTAGATAAGCATGAAGTGAAACCGTACTGCTAGAGATGACTTGGTGACTAAAATACTTTAAGTTCCGAAAGTTTGATGGTAGGTTCAAATCATCTGCCTACTTCACTTTAAACAATCAAGTAATACCACTGGTTTCTGCAAAAAAAGTGTGACTCGACACTGAGCACACAAACTAAGCTATAATCGCTTGGTTGTACCATTTATTACATTACAAAAAAAGTGAACATATGAGAGATAAATTCACTTGGTATTGTTTTGCTTGTATCTTCCCATTGATGTTTACAACTGAAATTGAGTAGTCTGTTATGACGCGATGGCGTTTGAAGCGAATGGTATTGGGTTCGAGTCCCAGAATGAACATCAACTCGGAGATGCAAGCACATCCAGTTGACGAGTCCCAAATAGAAGGAAACGCGCGTCCTGGATTTCACTGCTAGCCACTATCCATCTTTGCTTATATGAGAGATAATTTTCTATATTTTTGAATCTATCATATGATTTATTGTAGGATAGTGTAGAAAAGTGTAGAAAATGGAGTATTAAGTACTTTTCAAAACCTAAACGTAGTACAGTGTCGTCCAGCCTATAAGAATAGAATTTTTGAGGGTATGAAATTTGTTCGATTTACTCCTTCTGACCCCGTATTGAGAAAAGATGGCACTCCCATTGACCGTCTGCATCATGCTGCATTTGCGCTTCCCTCCAAGCTTGATGTAATGCACTGCAAATGTTTCAAAACTACTTGTTAGTGATAAGAGTTAAACCGATTTTGATTCGTTTAACACTTATCGATGCATGTTGAGGACATTCTGTGAGATTATTTGCTCCCCCCCCATACTGCACATCAATATAACACAATCTTCATTTATAAATGAAATAGTACGGGAGGATTGTTTAACCTGAGGAAGTACTCATTTGTCAGGATTCTCTCCAGGCAGCCTAACGCTCCAAGATATAACAATGACTACTAGATACATCTAGCTGGTGATTCCGTAGTAGAACAAAATGTGAGTCTTGGATTCCACTACTAGCCACAATCCACCTCTGCTTAGAATGCTTGAGACTTAATAGCAATATCGAGGCAATCCGCACATGTTGCATATATGCCAAAAATGACTGATCGATTATAGTACTAAACATCAATGAGAGGATTCAAACAATCAATATATATGAAAAGATTACAGGAATTTGGGGTGCTTTTCAGTGATCAGGTATAGATTTATGTACGCTGCTTAGAACATACGCTTCAGTGGGAACTAATAACACTAATCAGATTTAAAAACTGAAAAAGATAGAACGAATCTGATAAAATACAGAAATGATAGAAGTAATTGAACTGATAACTTATTCATGGAACTGACAGCCGAAGGTCAAGCGAATGAACTCCAGAAGGCAGCATTGGTTAATTCGACAATACGACAGGATTATATATGCCAATTTTTTGTTAAGAATATTTGACGAAGACGGTAAAGCTTAGTTACTCACCAGACAATCTATAACTAACCAAGAATAGAAACAATGATCACAAATGGATCAAAGACTTTTTACTGGTGCATGTAGTAGGACAATGTGGTTTGAATCTGTAACTCGGTGACTGAAAACCATGTATTTTACTCTAAAATTCATTATCTACGATGTTCCCATTTGATTCATGTCAGGATACCAGACAAAGTAAATCTTACTGTTGTCTTTATTCCATAAAATATATCTATTTTTCAAAGAATTATCATCAATGTTTTTAGGGACCTTCTAGGAGATTCTGTTAGCAGCTTATTCTATCGGTCACCAAATCACAACATAAACATTCATTAGCTGGACTTCGAAATGTCTTATCACTCATGAGACTTAGGTATTTAAGTTTCTTCCATGAGAATTCAAACAATATTACCAAAATGAAACACTTAGTTTAACCGATCATCTAATTTTTTTGCATTTAACATCATATTTAAACTCCTACAAAAAGCCACTAAACTGTGTTTGACATCATTTAAAGAACCCTCAATAAAAATTTACTATTATTTAGGTGAAGCACACGTACACTTTGTAAATCCATATATTTTACGGAGTTTTACAGTATATAATATAAAAGAAACGATAAAAGCAGTTATCTATAAAAAAAATAATAAAACTTACTATCGACAATGAATGAACAATAAGAAATTTCACATTTTACATAACAGACTGATCTTAATTAGTAAACAATTGAAAACCAGGAAACACTGCACGGCTTTTTCGCAAGAATTCCGATAATCACCTCTCAAAACTAACCACCAGTGAGCCTATAATTGTGATTACTATGATGTATTTGTAAATATCGTTGGGTTTCATAGTTTATATTACGTATTGAACTTAAGCAACCAGTGAAACCAGGAACAATAGACTTACTGTTGACAGAAATCCCAACTAGATTCCATTGAGTTAGACCAAACAATCAATTTACCTAAATGTTCAGTATGAAGATTTGAAAAGTAATCTATCCAGTTGAAACCCAATGGAAGATCAGATAGAGTAGAACAATAGGAAATCTCTTTTTTGCATTTCGTTGAAAATTCCGTAATGAGAAAATTAACGATCTTCTGAAATCGGAAGGTAAACAAATCATTGCAACCAAGACAACATTGAGAGTATAATGGGGAAAAACCAAACTAATTAGCTCCGTAATATCAAATGAATGTAGTTATTCAATAACGATATAATGTATATGTTAAAAGAGATTGTTTATAGTGGACAAAAATTTGTTTCATTATGAGCATCACTGAACTGCAGGTGTACATCCAACTGGTGAGTTCCGAGTAGAACAAACGCGCGTTCAGGTTTTCACTGCTAGCCATAATCTATCCACTTTAAATGAACAAAATAGTTATAATAAATGAGTAATATGATGAGTTGTGCATCGAGTGATAACGAGATATGTTTGAGTTTTCCTCAGAATTATAAAAAGCGATAGGATGAAGATATATCTACCGACGTTATAATCTAGCTCCTACCAAAAACACACAACTACGCATGCATTCATATAGTATGTATACTAAATTATACAGAGAAAAAAGAATGCAATTCACTGTAGAATAAACAAAAAGCAATTTAACAAAATAATTTAAAACTAACCTTTTTCTCAGAGTCCGGTGTAAAACAATACAAAGTCTTTGAATCGGATAAATGAACTGAGGATAGGGAATTAGACAGTAGTTTATCATGTGTATTGTCTTCCAGATCAACACAAGGTACACACGGTATCCCAAGAAGGTTGAACGCATTTTCCAAACGTGTTGCTTCGATTTTCAAACAATCAATCTTAGGAAAAAAGATATATCATAAAAATGTAAGTTCATTTTAAGCTTTGAGTGTTAGCCTTCAAAAATCAAATTCTATCTTGTTAGTCTCTGATTTACGCTCATAACACTTGACTAAATTGTTATGCAAGGTGAGATCAAGGTTGAGCAGAAAAGTTACAATAATGGTTTACAAATTATGAGTACACGTAAGTTACCTAAATGATCAAAGCAAAGACATGTGGGATGATTTCGGGGAAACAAATAATTACCTTACAATATCCTATCCATACCAATATTTCTCACCTGTCATGTGACCTTTTGATAACGTGTAAACTTGTTATATCAGAATTTTACCACAGTACCTTAATTCGATCAGATATTTTTAAGAAGTTCAGAAACCCAAAAACGACTAAAAGAAATTGTAAAATCAGATTTTAATTAACTTACACTGAGAATAGCAATTAATGGTTGATCCTTTTGAACTTCAACCTCCTTATCATTATTACTTTCCAGGCGATGATATCCACCAGTTAAAATCGAATCTTTATACATCCATTTCCAGTATGAATAATTGTTTTCAAACAGATTAGGAGATTCGTTTGAAAGTAAAGCATAATGAGCAAGACTCGATGAGGGGAAATTATTCACCTCTGTCGTATTTAAAATCAATAGAACACGCCCACCATTGGCTATGTATTCAGTTACCTACCAAGAGACAGACAAAAACACTGCAAATATTCTGCTGAATTGTGTCCATGAGAAATAACAAGTAAAAGTATCCCCTTACAGTTAAAATCACGAACTAATCTTAGCTAGACCGCCACTGAAGACCTAACAACACTGGATGTTCTAGTATGGGACTCCTTACTAGTCTCCATCCACAATCCCGAAAGCGGGAATCGAACCCACGGCTTTCAGTCTCGTACGCTAACACCTAACCCCTAAACCGCTAGGCCGAGACCTAGAGGTGTTAATGTCTAACTTCAATCAATCCATAATTTTGAGCAACTCTTCATCCATTACCTACGGTGGATAACTGTCTCACAACCTACATAGATTGAACTCCACTGGCCACGGCTTCTCACTCGAAACCTAGAAGTCACATCTCAAAGCTAGTCACTAGTGAGCAGATGATTGTAATTAGTATGAGTAATTTGCGGAGAAAGTAGTACTTTGACAGTTGATCTTAGATCGTTATAAGCATGAAGATATTAAGTTTGGTTTTTATGTTCATTAGTTATTATCAGCTAGGGATATATGTAAACTCAAAGAAACTTGTTTTCTTTGAGATTTCAATTTAAATCATTCAAGGGTACAGTCGGCACATATTTACATTAAATACAGATAAGTGTGAGAACAAGTTAATTTAATAAGTAACATGAAACACTTAAGTCTTTGAAGCACATATGTAAAAGCTAGATTGTTTACCAAATAACTGAATATTTATTGGCGTCTTCTGTCTCCGGTTATTTATGGAACGATAGACTTGAAGTTGATGCACTTAGGAGCTAAGTATTATTACTAGGACTCAAAAAGTGATTTGTAGACGAATGGATTAACTTTCATTTGGTTAGTGGGCTGCATGAATGTATACTTGTGGGACTGTGTACAAAAAGTATAGGTATAATTTAGTTACTTAAAGCTGTGAGATGAAAGATAGCTGGGACTAGCGTCAGATACCGTGCGTGGTGTTCTGATAATCATTTAACTCAGTGGCGACTAACATTCATTCTTCATAAAAGTAAGATGCATATCATAATTGAATGAAACCCAAATTGGTCATTTTCTTAAATGTAGTATTATTAAGTAACACTCCATTCAAGTCATTTATCAATAATATGACCAGATAAAGTAGATCACCTTTTGAATTTGTCCCATTCACCGATCATCATCTACATAATCATGATGAACCAAATGCAATAGAAATTTGGGCTAGGCTATAATTCATGGACGAATCAATCAGATTTAAGATAGCAGAGTTTAGATTTCGGCGCAAACTTCATTCACTCATTTGGCTAAATACCATTTTGGCATTATAGCTTATATCGGTTAGTGATGAAAACACTAAGTCTAATTCCTAACCCTAACGTCCAACTGTAAATCATAATCATAGTTCTACATATTAATATAAAACCCTCATGTAACTCGGGTAAGTTGGTGGACATTCCAAGGTCATTTTAGAGTTGCTTGAAGGTCGTTCATAAATTATAGTCTCACCGAAATTTGATTAAATAGACCTAATAGTGGTCCAATCGCATGACAGACACGATCATGTGATTTCTACGGAACATGACACTATTTTCGATCTCACTGACGTAACAAACCAGAAAGAATGGTCGTTAAAGTGTTTTTCCACTCACGCATATACTAATCAGCTTGAGATTTATTTAACCGACAACAAACTTTTGGACCAACTTACACGTCTAGAACACCTTTCCTTTCTTATACTTTATCATTTAACTAATTAATATTTACCTCTCGAATCATATGGACTATGTGTAATCTGTCCTATGACCACTTATACAATTACCACCTTTACTGCTGTTATCTCGGTATGCTGATATTGTGTGGCAACCTAAACGCATGCACATACATATCGGGCTCTATGTTGAGCATGGCTAGATGATCTTTACATTTTAAAGTACGATATGAACTACTATGAGACTATCATAAGAAACTGAAACATTGCTAACGGTTTTCACCGTAATGCTTCGCACTTTTTCACTGAAAAAAAAACAGCCGACTATATTCATAATTCGATTTGATATTCAGACATGATAAGGTTATTTGTTAACAATTACTTTCTTAGAACATAGGATTGGTGTACGATACAATGTGAGACAAGCTTGGGAAAACACATTATTTGCATCTAGAAAATTACAGAGAATTATTTTTACGTTATTCTTGGGGGATAGCACAGAATCCTGAACAGATCATCAGAAATTACAGTGCCAGAAGTTTATGTTAGATATATATCGTTTCACTAAGAGACTTGATCGTTCAATCTAAGGAATTATGGTCGATGTTTATGAAACCTCTATTCCTGGTTATCAATGATGTATAACAGTTGAAAAGACAGTAATAAATGTTGCAGTTTACAAGTAAGCACAATCAAGACCTACTTTTAATCAAAAGTAATTCTTATTGTTAATTAAAGGCATAAAAGAAAATATACCAGTCACCAATGGTTTTATTTTTAGGCATATTTCAAATAACATTTTAAGTCACAATGTTGCATCATACTTAAGACTACTCAGAAAAACAGAGATGGGACAGCAGAGACTAAATCAAAATAGGTAACCATTCTAGAGAAATACGTAGACAAAAGTTGTCTACTCTATCTCTTTTATTCCGGTCCTAGTGATTTTAAGTATTGATTAGAATGGAATCCGCTAAAATATCATCGCTAGAATGTGTCTACATCATCGAAGCCAGTATTACAACTGGTGGAGTCTAGGTCTATTGGCTGAGATAGTCATCACCAATCGCAATGAATGACCATAACGTTATATCTCAAACTGATTAAAATTGATAACGCTAATTATTGGATTTTAAAGGAGTAGTCTAAGAATCAAGAGCCTACAGTGAAGTTCGAAAGTTTCCAGTTCGACTCCTGGTGGGGTTTCGGATATAACTTGAAAATCTGTTTCGGTTGTGTTCTTGTATTTGAAGTGTGCTCTTTGGTAGTCCTAGCTCCTCTGGTCTGTACATTTAACTTACAACCAGTTCATTAATTTCAGTTTCTTACATCTCACGAGACAAGCCCTCATACGTAAGCACTAAACGTCACACAATGTCTAGTTTATAAAGTAAACAGATGAACCTTCATGTAATTGCTAAGCGACGTAGAAACTTTATCGGCCAGAATACAGTGAGAGTCGAAATATGACTTATTAATATAAATTTTATGTTAGTAGTAAAGATTCCAGGAGTCTCAGTAGACATACTGAGGGATGATAAGTTAGTCAGACAACGTAGGACGTGAGACGAAGATGTGACATTTGAAAGGTTATGAAACTGTTGTCATATGGATCGGAAGAATTAGAGTAACCAGATATAAGCTATGTAGCCAGCAACATTATATTTGACATAATGGATGTGTAGATGAGGTGTTAAAGATCGAGGTAAAATAGTTGACTGATATATCTTCTGTGGCAATTTATCATACATACATAATTATAACTACACTTCATTCTAAAGCAACAGTTTTGTAACGATAATTATGGTTGATTATTAATATAGAAAAAACTAGATGTTAGTGGGTAAGATATTTACACACACACGAGAAAACATTTTCGGAGATGAAGAAATATAGTACTTTGAAAGCAAATTTAAACTTACGATCGTGAGGTCTTTTTGAAAGTCTACCGAATGAGGGACATCCTCAATAAATAATGAAGATTCAAGAACCACCAACAGCTTCCCAGAGGTAATCCATAATTCAGCCAAAAATTGCCTCCTTGGAAGAGGATACAATAAAGCAGTATCTGGTACAACTATATCTTGCATCTTTTTAACCAATTTCTGATAAACAGTAGAAACAGGAGTGGAAAGAACTTCTCCAGGTGACAAAACATAGTAAATATTAATCAAACTTATACGATTAGTTATCGATAAAGATTTTTTAAAAACATCATTTAATTGTTTGGAAAATTTGGATAAACAAAGAATGCTCCAAGTATTGGTCATCTAAATCTAAAACATGAAATATTTTTGAGAATCACCATAGAATACTGAGAAATTTAATAAATATAAAAGGGTACAGGCAGAAACAATGTAGGAGGACCTGATAGTCATGTATCGATAAAACATATCACACTTCCCCTACTCATATCAAGACGAGATAGAAAACAAAGAAGATGCAACCGATAGCAGAAAAGAACTGAGAGTAGAGAACAAAGGAGAACGTTGAAAGCATAGACGAACTGAAAAGGAACGTCACACACCACCAAGTGTTTACTACCAAGCACAGATAATCAGTTTTATTTTATTTTAACAAATAGACATTGGTACATGGAGGCACCAAATACATATGCGCCACACAAACCTCACTTGACATGTGTGAGGGCTGTGATATTGCCCGGGTGCCCAAACCGAAGCAGGTTTAACGACGAAAACATTAAACATTTGAGATTAGGATCATAATTTAGAATTGAAATATTGTCAGAAAAAATTAAATGTGGAGCTCGGTAATTTGCTGTAATGTTTAGTGCAATTAAATCAACTAACATTATAGATTGTATACATGGATTTATTTATTGACTAATTTATACTAACACCGCTTAGTTCAATATATTCATATTAACTTACCAGATAAGCAAATCATAAATAATTTAGTGTAATTTTTATTCAGCGGTTGAAGCTGCAGAGGATCTATTGTGTATGCATAAATAAATCTTCATTAACATTTTTGCCTTCTTCCTTATATCGAGCAATACCAGTCCCTGTCCACCATACAAGGTAAAGTAAACCGTTGCGTCCAGTCATAATAAAAAGCCACACCAGCATTTTGGCAAGACACAACAGGTATACACAAGCTAAACAAAAAACTTATTCCCTACATCAAGTCAAAGCATAAACGCTATTCCTAAGACCGTCATTAATAAGTGTCAGTACATCCTATGTATTTAATCTACTGTCGACTTTTTGTTTTAGTTACCTCTGTTCTAGATTCTTTCACAAACGCTGCTCATTCAGCTCCCCTAGCAAACAATCTACCTTCAGAGTAAACGTTAACCTGCCAAAGGCTGAACGTTATATTTAGCTTCGGAGGTACCAATAACAGTGGATCACAGAAAATATGAACATTTGATACTATGTAGAATGAATACAGAACTCTGTTTTGCTGAGTAAGCTATCAATCCTTGAGGCCGCTTTGGATCACATGGCAAGTAAATTATGAATATTCTTGTTGCAGAAAATATCTACGTTAGATCATTTTACCTATATTCCACTGTCTGAAGAATGAAACAGCATGATGAGCAGTGGTTAGTAGACTGACGTTCAGTAACCCAGTGTCATAACTAGGATACATTAAACGATTGTTTTTCTTCTCATCTAACGATCCATAAGAGTTCACTGCACAATTGCTGTTAAGCGGCTAGCATATTTTTGGGAATCCTATTGACTACCTATAAAAGTTATATCAACTACCTGGTCAAGCTTTTATCCGAAAAGAAAGCACACTACGGTGAGATGATGAACGCACAGTTTGTGGAAAGACTATTACCAGGTTACTTCAGATTCCATCTGCTTAGAATACCTAATCTGAATACAGTTTGAGCATGAAGACAAGTTTTCAACAAAGATCCATCCAGTAGCTTTCAAGTATGAGATGATAGTTTACTGACCATGAACTCACTAACCATTCCCTGCCGTACTGTCTGGCCGTTTAAACATAATAAAGTATAGCCGAAATGTACTGGTGGTGAAGTTTTTCAGAAAAAAAAAGGGCATTCATAATTTTTGAAATGTGCTTCAAAGTAGTTTTTAGGATCAGGGGCTTCCGCAGTGACAGAGTTATCGGCAACCAGTTTATCTAGTAATAGTGGCAGTTTATCATATTTTTCAGATGCATAAGTACTGGGTCCTTCGACATCAAATGTAACAAGTGTTGCCATTGTTCATTGTGGATTTGTTAAAGGCCTGAAACAGCGCAGTAAACAGTGATTACTAACGAGAGAATGAAAGGTTTGTATTCTAAAGTCGAATAACGCGGTGCATTCAGAAGACTGCATTTTGCAAATTATAGTTTTTGTGTCATCTTATAATTTTACTTTACGCAGGGCTTGGTTTTCCACAACACTAACTCTCTATCACTCTGCAGTGGAAAGAATATATTTGCATTAACGCCATTAAATGAATTAGTATCAAAAATTACATAGATGTGCCAGTTTGTGTTTAGCATGAAGGAGTGTGAAGAGCAGAATGTGTGAGACGAAAGCGATTGACAATAATTACCAAAAACACAAATGTAAAATGAAGACAATCTGATAATCGAAACTAAAAGTTGACAGCATAAGGTTTCGAATGAGTTACACAAACCCTGATTCAATGCCATATGCCAGAATTAACTGTTGTAAATCAAAGGAACTACAACTAAAGGACCGTTATAATTTTGTGAAATAAAGAATTATTAAATCTCGCCAAAAGTAAGCAAATAAATCTCGCTACATCTATTGATACTAATAACGCGTAACTAGCCAGCAAAAGCTAGCTGCATAGTGAGTTAAATCGATTTAACAAGTTTGTACACGAGCAAATATGGAATTATTCAAATGTAAAAAATTACTTAAAGTACAAACAAGTTAAATGAAGAATACACGCTTTCGTTACAAATGTACATGAATTATGGTGCCCACAATTTGAAATGGGAATTATGTTGAGAAATTGGTATTTTACAAAATCAAAATGACTCACTAGATTGATTGTCACTTTTCTTTACCGATTCGACTTGGAGCGAGACTATAATTTATGGATGAGCCAAACAAAATAACAGGTTTTGGATTTTGATATGAACTTTATTCATCCATCTGGCTAGATAATGTCCAGTCATTTACCTGATGTCAGTTCGTGATGAAAACTCTAAATCTAGTTCTTAACCTTAATCACAATTTTAATCCCTTAAACTCCTTTATAACTGCCATTTAGTCCTAGTTAACAGGTGAATATTCTCAGGGTCACTTCATCGTCGCTGAAAGGTCGTGCATAAATTAGTCTCATCCTACATGGATGAAACAGTTAGTATGAGTGGGTTTGACAATGTTTCTAAAAATGAAATTACAAACGCTGGTTCACAGATGACTGAACGTCCTGTTTATCGACAATTTAGTTATTACCCTGACATTCTGCACTTAAATGCTCTGGTACGACCGAAGATCAGTGTCAGCTCTCCCGCTCAAAATGCTCTCACATGGTCACACGTATACAGCTATTGCCAAGGAAGTCCTACTCACTGCCTTCTCGCGGCGAGGGTGTTTTCTCACGAAATTGATATGACAATAAGCGAATGTCCGGCGCTTTAATGGATTCGGTGGATATGGAGGATCCACCTAGGGAAGTTGAAAAACTCTGAATCCAAACCACTGGTGCACGTGGGCTCCAGTATCCTGAGGGAACAAGTGGCGTATGAACCTATTGTTGGTCACCGACTACCATGGAACTGCATCTCCTGACGTTGCTCCACTGCCTCGTGGATTAGATCTGGAGGCCAAAGGCTCGGTACGTAGCCCTCTAAGAAAATCATCTGATTCGGTTAGCGCTTTCGGGCAGTATTCCAGTCCTCGCACAAATCAAATGATTTATGTGACGCATATATATTTAGTGCCTTCTTGTACCAATGATTATGTTTAAATAAATAAATAAATCCTAACATCCAGTTATTATAATTATTCCACTTTATTTAATAACATGTTCAGTAAAAATGGTGTTAGTACTAACGATAACCGAAAAATCAGTCACAATAAATATATCAGTTTCTAGCAATGAGCTTTCATCATCGAAGTCGATTCATTAAGAATGTCAACAACAATGGTGACAGAACAAACTTGTATACTACTTTTAACAAACAGGTGATGTCAATAAATTTTCACACAAAACTTGGCAGAAGTAATGCCAAGTAAAGATGCTAGCATTCTCAACTATTGCAAATATAAGACGTCTCGTAACAATTTCAAACTCAATCGTGATGATGAAGCCAATAATTAATGTAAGATCAGGGTAGTATTAGAGTTTACGGATGACTATTCTTTACGCCATATGGGGACTGCGTCTAGCTATAAAACATTTTCTGATGACAAAAAGTACAATTGAAATCCCATACATATAACGGACTTTCACGCACGGTGCGATCGACCTTTAAACCTCCCCCATTTTATCGCCACGACCTTGAACAGATTAAGTAACCGCGGGTATTTTGTTTCTGCAGCGCGATTTTCAGCCGTTAAAATATTTGTATAGTCTATTGATGTCCGAAAACCACTAAAGTCTTTGCTAACAACATGAATGTATTTTTGTTTTTCAGGCGTAAGTCTCAGCTTAAATGCTACTTTTTAACATTTTCTAAATGCTGAGATCACCAGTTTTACTGGGTTTTTTTAATCTGGTTCAAGGTTGTGGGAAGCTTGGCGGGTTTTGAACTGGCTTCGTTTTCCGTTAATGTTTATCACATATTGTAAAAGATTTTAAAAAATCTTACGGAAGGATACTTTACTGAAGGAATTAAATTCAATAGTGATGTGAGAATATATGGAATAGGAGACGTTTTATCTCGAGATACTCAGCAGGAGAATTGTGAGAACATACTTTCATCATAATGTACTCAGAATATCGATCTGTCGTATTCAGTCTAAGCCATTTGATTACACATTATGATGATTTATGCGATAACAGACGACGTCAATTTTGTGTCCAAATAATTGCACCTACACTTCATAGACCCATTCATTGTATTATTCCGAAACCCTTTAATCATAGTTTTAATGCTGTCACTAGTGATTGGCTTCAGGAGGCATTTTCTATAGTTCTAGTGAGAAGCCGTGACCATTGGAATTCAACCGTGTCCTTTGTGAGGCATTTATCCACTGAAGACAACTGTAGACGATCGCATAATATAACGGATTGGTTGAAGTTAAACATTAGCGCCGTCGGATATCAGCTCAGCGATCTAGAAGTTAAGCGTTCACGAGCGAGACCGAAGGTACTGGGTTCGAGTTCCGCCGGTGCGTGATCGTGGATGAGCAGTGCAGAAGAGTCCCACACCGGAACGAGACGGCCGTCTAGTGCTCACAAGTTTTCAATGGTAGTCTAACATAAATCTATTTATGATATCAATCTTAATTCACCTATTAGCCTAAATATATCTCTCGTGGCACTGTCCGCAATATGTCGAGTTAGTAGAGTGTGTGGACATCCTGCTGACGCTTCACATAGTCCTAAATCAATGTAATGTCGAGTGCGGTATCGAATTGTAGACAAACATTACAAATAAATAATAAGTAAATAGGAACAAGGTAATACGCTTGTGAAGTTGCATACAGTGTATTCTAATTTTATGTGACATATACAGCAGACTTTCAGCTCTACAACATGTGCAAGAGTCTCGTCGAACTTGTCGATGACATGTATTTGATGCACTCGTCGTTTCGTACATTTTACACATGCACTCTGCATCACCCGGAACGTGTTCCTGTGCCAGCTGTAGTGGAATGAGAAGCATAGAACTTCTATAGCCTACAATATCCTAGCACTTGTTCAGCTAGCGTATTTATAGCTTGATAAAAATACCTGTAAATGTCTACATCTTCAAGTGTGTTAAACGCAAAACTTAACGTCGATATATAAGTGTGGAAAAGTCTTGACAATCAAAGGGATATGTGCTCAACTTCACTAGAGATAGATATTTAAGATACCATTACTCGTCTAAGTACATTTTAATTAACCAGTATCTAATAACTATTTTATGGAAAGCCGCATGAAACTATGTTCGTGTGCTGGTTTGTAGTTTGGACCTCTGCGGTTTGAAACTATTTGTGGTCCATGACAAACTTTTCTGTCACAGGAGTATCACCACAATTTCATCAAGTAAATCAGATATCTAAGTGACACTCACTTTCTTTTTCGTTTCCATTCAAATCAAATCGGATGACTGCATCCAAAGTTATCAGTTTTCACTAAATGAAGCGATAAATACCCACACAGTTTGAGCAATGACATAAATGTTCCCTTCTTAACGTTGCTATTTCACAAAAACAAGCGACCATAGAAATATTAGTATCCAACGCACAGACTTTTAAGTTTGCAACTTTTTCCACATGGTTTTATATTGCTTTTCTATTAGTTCTTCCTCCTAATTTAATATTTATTGGCCGAAAATACTTTATTCCTGATAGTTTCTATTAATTTGTTATCTTATCTTGGGACTCAACGTCATACACTTAGTCTGTTAATTTCCACTTTGTACACCTCTTTTTGTTCATCAACGTTCGTTCATTAGCTCTTAACAAATAATAGATACGATACTAGCATAGAACCTTTTACATTTGATAAATTAAGTTATAATAGTAACTGTTCACTTTACGCAAACCTTACTAATATTTAAATATAATCTCTCCTGATGTCTAAGGCACCTGAAAAGATCTGAATCCGTCACTAAAGTGAACAACGTAAAGCTTTATATACATGCCTATCAGTCCGCATCGTACTGACTTTCCGCAGCTACACTAGACGTGTACCATGTACTTGGTTATGACATGTCACTACCTTGCATCTCGCTTACAGATATGAGTAAGAACGACAATAAACCGTTTGAATGGACATCATATGGTACTTCTTGCAGCCCACTCAAAATCGCTACATGTTGTGAGTTGTTTTTAAACAGTGCCGCTGACCTCAAACACACAGCAAATCCACAATCAGCCATCTCGTGTAGCGGCCCACAGAATGCATGTAAAAATGCCTGTAATGACCAGCCCAGTGATGTAGATCTTGACTTCTCACCCAGACACATACTCTGTTCCTCAACTAATTCTGTACAAATTGACTACATGGTAGATACTTGCAACAAGTCTGTATGCAACCATATCGATCCTAACTATTTCGATATAAACTCCAATAATTTCACCAATGATCCTTCCAATAGCAGTAAAATAGAACTTAGCCTCACTCAAACTATTCAAAACTTATTACCGTACAAATACCTAATCACTGTTCCAGGTAATTATGATCTCGAAATCACAAAAAATAACACTGAAAAAGTAATCAGAGAGGGTTTTGTGGAGATTCTAGTAATTTTGTAATTGAATTTATGAGCCAGTTGTAACTAGACCACCATACTACGATGAAACGCCGTCTAATGCTTCCAGGTTCTCCATGGTAGTCTAGCTTCAATTTATTCATGAATGCAATTATTAGCTTACTGAAAAAGTAATTGACCATATATTATAAGGAGTGCTGAACAGATTACAGTGTATGCATAATATCTGTGCGTATGATATACCTGGTAGTGCGAATTTAAAGTCTGTTAAAAACATTCCACTACAAGAGCGTGGATTGTCGTGATCTTGGTGTGCAACAAGAAGATTGAGTTAAGCACAAACTAAGGCTTCTTTTCCTCTCTCTTTCGGTTTGGTAGCATCACAGAAGCCATTCACCTCCTTAATGGTCAGTCATTACTGAGGCGTATTCCAACATTTAAAGATATTAGAATCATTCATGAAACGACTAATATCCAGCGTCAAATCTTCAATGAACTAAAGACCAATCAACCCAGTTTACGTACTAGCGACAGTCACAACGTTGACCACTGCAGAAACCCTAAAACACCATTTCCTACCCCCTTCTCAAAACGAGGCACGTATCATGTTGCCACTAGTCCTTAAAACAAGACTGCACATGAATCAGCCGCAACCACTCATCCTAAGCCTAAACACTTAAATATCCCCAAATCCCAACCCACTTATATCTCTATAGTCCATCAGAACTGCTCTGGAGGCTCCCACAAAGACCCCAAGAAGCCTAAAAATAATCCTCCCAGGAGCTATAGCCTTTCGGTCACTGAGATACGAAATAAAACTAAACTCTTTGTAGAAACTCACAAGTACACCGGCACCCTTAAACCCCAACATGCACTTGTCCACAGAGATATTATGTCCTACAGCAAACATATTGGACTGATAGTACTCACTCATCCCGACGTGAAGCTACACCCGACTAAAACTACGACTACATATGACACCAGTAAGCCTTATAGAGTGAACCTTGCAAGCTCTAGGAACAAGTAATCAACAGGAACACTCTTCATAGCAACAATCTCATGCAATTATCCATCTCTGACCTGAGACATGGAATCTCCCTAACCACCCACAACATAACTAAAATTGCCCACTGCACACAGGGGAACTATAATGCTAGGCTACTTGAGAACTTACCTAGTGATTCTAGATACTATCGGAGTCAATCCATCCTACACAACTCTTTGATCACCCCTAATTTGATGTATACACTACTTCATTCTTTTTTATTTTTCTTCCTCTCGACAGTGCTGCCATGAGGTCTCTAAATGTTACGAGCGAATATCCCATTATTTTGAGAATGTCCTCTATATACTCCGAGCCAATGGAGAGTGACGCATCTTTCTCTTCGCCAATAACTATTCCTAGTCTTAAGAGCTCCTTGACTGAACATTCTGACCATTCCCCAAACCCATTACCTATCCATCCAACCCACTCTATTTTACCTGTCATTCCTAAACATACTTCCTTTTCCAAACTACCCTCTGACTACCTCACTCCCACTAGCCACATTGATAACAAACTAAACGAACATGAATATGAAGCTGGCACTCCTACTTCTTTCCCTTCTCCTCATTAAAAGAGTGATAAATCCACTAGGTCTCTGTCACGCCTTACCTGACGCTCAAGTTAATAAATGCTCGACCTGTACAAAATAAGATGATTCACCTACGCGCCCTACTAATTTTAAAAAACCATTAACGTATTTTGATAACGGTAAGTTGTTTGTCCTCCGATGTCACAAACTCATATCCCCAAATAAACGCCTATGAGCTCTTCCACTGCTATCAAGTCACTAAGAAGGGTGGTGGTTGTTTTATGTGTATATCTCAAAATATGAGAGCATAAATATGTAGCAGTGATGTCCTCAGTAAACTACCTGATCCGATTTGTCTTATTGTACATACTCATGAACGAATAATTCTAGTCGGATGTATATATCGAGCTCCTAACACTCGTAATTCAACTGACACCACTATCAGTGAGTCATTTGCTAAGGCTGTCTCTCTTTGTTACACCTTCAAAGTTGTTTGAGGTGATTTCACATCATCAATTGGAAGACACACTCTGGCTCGTTGTGCTTTGAAAGCA